AAAGGTAATACACATACTCCAATTAAAGAGGAGTTGAACACAGTGTACGGGGACTCTACACCATCATTTACTACTGTGAAATTTTGAGCAGCTAAATTTAAATGTGGCTGTACCAGCTTGAGTGATGATGAATGTTTGGAACAGCCAAAAACTGCAATCACTGATGAAAACATTTCTAAAATCAGCAAATGATGCTGCACGACTATTGAATCAAGGTTCTGAACTACACAATATAAATCTATGGATTCTTATTGTCAGTAAAGGCCCATTTAGAATAGCTTGAATGGATCAACTAAATATTATAAGTTTCTAGTCACGTACAATAACCTGCTGCTGGACATGGTCAGTGGGGTGATACGAGGACTGTCTGAAAAGTTTCCGACCTCAATATGTACATGGCAACTCAAATCAACCAAAGTGGGGGGGGGACATGTTTGGCCATCACTTGTGATAACTACCAATCAAAATTTCAGCTATTTTGAATGCGAGTTTTTTGTTTAAGAATTTGTTTTTTGAGTTGATGTGACCGTTTTTGCAAAAATGGAAAAAAATCGAGTATTGTGCTGTCATAAGATACCTGTTTTTGAAAGGTAATACAGTAAAAGTCCAGAAATCCGCAAGGCTTGGGACCAGAGGTTGTGTGGATTTTAGGATTTTGTGGAGTTCAGGACAGAAAAGATAAAGCATAATATTTGGACTAAAAGTTCAAAATAAATAAGGCGTATTAGATACATTTAATTAAATTATATACTTATTGCAATAATTATTATATGCATTAAATTAGTATTACAATATAAATTGATTATATTAGTCATTGTATTATATGTACACAGCATCGAGGTTTGCCAATTTCACCTTGTGCAAAGATTTCCGGTTTTAGAATCACTGTTGCTGTAAAATTCCAAAAGCTTTTCTTTATTTTTCCATATATCATACACAATCGTGTCGCAATTCCACACCATTCTGCTATAAATCAAGGAGTAGCACCTGCCTCCATCTTTTGCAAAATTTGCACTTTTTGCATTTAACCCATGCAACATGTTTACGTTTTTCAACATTGCAAGCAGGAAAATCATGAGTGCATTTCTTATCTGTCATTGTATTAAAAAGGGCTGAAATTTAAAATATTCTTAATTTATCCACAGAATATCCGGAGAAAAAAAAGGCAGCACTAAGCAATCTCGTGAAATAACAAAGCTCTGAAAAGACAACAATGTGAATCGTGAACTTGAACGAAGAGTTGAGTGAATCGTCTGCTTTTTTTACCTCGATGCAGATTACACGGGGGAAAAAAAAACTTTTATCTTATTTCTTTAAACTTTTTTTATGTCAATAACTTGGTATTTCCATTATGACATCATTATTTGGTAAGTTACTTTTTCTTCGATATTTCGTACTCAATGTTGCTGTTTCCAGAAACTATAAAATGAATGTTTATATTTTGAGAGGCTACATGGATTTCAAGAGTTGGCGGATTTCAGGTCTGCAGATTTTTGGTATTTGACTGTATACTTACTCCGATTAAAGAGGAGTTGGACACAGTGTACGGGGACTCTGCACCATCATTTACTACTGTGAAATTTTGGGCAGCTGAATTTAAACGTGGCCGTACCAGCTTGAGTGACAAATGTTCGGGACTACCAAAAACTGCAACCACTGATGAAAACATCTCTAAAATCAGCAATTGATTCTGCACGACCATCGAATCAAGGAAAAGAGATAGCAGAGGCTATGAGCATATCCAAAGAACGTATCTGCCACATATTGACAAAGATTTAGTTATGAGCAAGCTGCCTGCATGTTGGGTTCCGCACTTGCTCACTTTGGACCAAAAACACGTCCGAATGAACATTTGCACTGTTCTGTTGGCGCAACACATCTAAATTTTTCTGACTATTAATCATTGTAGATGAAACCTGGATTCATCATTACAGCCCACAAATAAAAAATGCAGTCAAAAGAGCGGACTGCTAAGGGAGAATCGGCTCTAAAAAAGGTAACAACTGTTTCTTCTGCTGGGAAAGAGATGGTAACAGTTTTCTGGGCAGCCATGGTATTGTCTTGATAGATTATCTTGGAAAGGGTAAAAACTATTATTGGAGCATACTAAGCAAAATTACTTGACAAGCTGAAGGCTGAAATTGTAGAAAAAAGGCCACATTTGCAAAAGGAAAAAAAAAATGTTTCACCAAGACAATGCTCCAACTCACACCTCAGCGGTTACAAAGACGAAAATCCATGATTTACGGTTTGAATTGCTTGACAACCCATTTAACAGATAACACTTCTGGAAGCAAAATATACACCACACCTGGCACCAAGTGATTTTTTTGCTCCTTAAGCTAAAGAAGCGATTGGAGGACAAAGATTTTCGTCAAATGAGGAGACTTTGTAGAGAAAGATTCAACATATTATTTGGGCAGGTTGAAAGGACGGGAGGATCGGTGGAAGAAATGTAAAGACTTACGAGGAGACTATGTCGAAAAATAAAGGTAATTTTGGATTAAAAATATATTTTTCCTTTGTTAGGTCGGAAACTTTTCATACAGCCCTCGTATGTAACTGTTACAATTACTTTATACTTATGAGAATGGACCTTATTCACGACTTACATGCTAAATAATGTTTACTTAGCAGGTGACTGCTAAATATGATGAATTCAACTATATCTTGCATGGTGCGCTGAGCTCACAAGTCTTGTCTGATGTGGAATGATTCAAACTGAGTTCGTCTTGAAGTGCAGTCCCACCCAAAATAATAATAGTTACCCATAAAGACTCATGATTAAATTTATTCTCATGCTGCTGAACTGATCCTTATGGCAAGTACCCTTCATTCAAGTTTCAAAAAATTCCTAAATTGGTCAGTCATATAGTACGATTTAAATGAAAAGAAATTAGATGCAAATAAACAGTTCTTGCTACACAGCTCTGTGCAATATTTTGAATACTGCACAGTCAAATGTTTAGCCGCATTGAACTCATCATATTTAGCAATAAATATTCAATTTCCATTTTTGTAACACATAAATAATGTTAATTATTTTAGTCTTAACAGCACAATTAAAAGAAAAATTTTATTTAAAAAATTAAGTATGCAGTATCATAGAATTAAAACTTTGAGTACAATGAACGTGAAAACATTATAATTTGAATAAAAGACAGCAATAAATGTGTTAAATGTTTGAACATTAAAACAAACAAAACTTATGGGGAAAATGTTTCAATATTAAAAAATAAATATAATTTTAAAAGTTGGCTGTGCAGTTTCCATAAATACAATACATTTTGGCGCTAATAACAGGCAACAAAAAAATATGAGTTGGTTTCAATCCAGTAAACTCTCTAGCCCACAGGTTTGCATGTAATGCCACTAAGCTATCAATTAAGCACAAAAACAGTAGCAATAAATGTGTGAAGAAATTCCTGTTGCAAACTGAAACACAGGATAATTCAGAATTTTATGAAATAAGTGTAACATTAGAAACAGATGAAAGAGATGATATATCAAATGTATGAAATTAAATTTAGTGGCAAATGTGGCCATTTAACTTTTCTGTATGAGAGTAAAATGAGTCTCTACATTTTGATGAGTATGAAGTAATCAGGGTAATACCTTTATGCAACACTACAGTTTAATAAATAGATATGGAAACTACTACAAAATATTATGAATGCGAGAATAATGGCTTAGAATTCTAACTTATGTATCAAATAATCATGTGAATTAACAACTGCTCAAAGTGGTAGAAGCACTTTTCATAACAAAATATGCACAAATGTAAAGGAAACATTAGTCATCTTTCAAATAAATTTCAGAAAGTTATTAATTTATAGTTACATATCTTTATGATCTCCCTCTTTCGTACGATATAAGCAATCTATTAACTAGCTTAAATATTATATACATTTAAGAGGTAACACTCCTGGAAGCAAAATTTTAATAAAAATATTCTGATTATTAAGAATCTAAAAAATACTAAGCTCCACCTCATACATAAATGTGTCAAACATTTTGTTTGTAAGACAAGCCATTATTTTTAAGCTACCTCTGAAGCTGCCATTAAATTTAACAGTCAGCTGCTAAATTTTAAAATCACAAATAAGAGTGGGGCTACAAAAATACTGAAGTAATTGATGACTCATGAACAGTATGAATACAGTGCAAAGAAAGATCTCCATTTTCAGGGACTACAAAACATCCTTCAATCTTTATTAACATCTGGGCTTTACAAACTGTGTCCTTGTAATGCATACCCACTTCATTCCTTCTCAGGGCACACAACAGAATAAAAGAGTGACAGATTGCAACAGGTGGCTAAAAGCGAAGCATTTTTTTTTCTCTTAATTTCCATAAGGAAGAATTAGGCCTTGGCCAGGATTCTGAAGGACTGAATGAACAGCCTTGAAAAGCCATGTCCAAAGTACTGCAAGTAAAAGAATTGTAGAAAATTGCAATTTTTACAGAGCAGTCTGTTTCTAAATTCAGGGAGGAAACAAACTAAAGCTTCTCAAGAATTTTAAGCATGAAAAATGCACAAGCAAGCATAATAATATTCCTATTTCAGATACTTAGCAGCACAGCCAAAGTGCATCCCAAGATGAGGCAGAATATCTTTTAAGGTAATACAAGGATGAAGCAAAACAGCTACTCTAAGTATCCTTAGTCATGGAAAGACTACTTATGTGTTTGATGTTAACTTTTTCAGAATGCTTTTGGGTTAACTAATATTAATTAAGATGCTACATTATTTCATTGATTTCCAAATAAAGTAATAAGAAACAAATAAACACTAAAAATTAACTATAAAGGTTCACTAAATTATTAGTTAACGAAGTGCAGATGCTTTTAACCAGATTCCAAAACTCAACTTGAAATTATACAGCAGATGTCAATGAATAAAGCATATTTCAAATGGAATTAAATTAATAGTATGCCTAGAAATACCAACATATGAAAAAAAATGAATGCATATGAATTGATTAAAAATTACGAGTTACCCTTCCTGCTTGTTCAGCTAACTTGCCAGCAACATTTGCTTCTACAGCAGACTTCTTAGCATTCCGTTCATTCTCAGTGAATTTTTTTTTTAGTCTATCTAATCGGTCCTGCATTCCTGCTATGTCATCAACAGATTTATTTGCAATTTCTTGTGCAGCTGCAGTTTCACTAGCAATCTGTATGTGAAACAAGTGTAACTTTAAAGAAAAGAGACTAACACAACAATTTTAAACACACTTAATACAAATTCAAAAATTTTTTATGACACATTAGAAGTAGAGATATTCTAAATAAAAGTAATTATGAGTAAATTAATAAGACTATAACCTGTGCGAAAGCTGCACAGTAATAAATCAATAATTTATTATTTGAAAACTTATAATTTAAAATACTGACTAAATTTTTTTTACTTCTTTCATGATTTTAATTAAATTTCTGTTTGTTGGAGATGGTATATGAAAAAGTTTTCCAATAATAAATTATATATATATATATACACCAAAGAATATTAACATGTAAACATACTGAACAAGCATTAAAAAAAAAAAAAAGGATTCTGACACAGCAAGTAAGAAGAATTCAGTTTTATGTTTCTGTTGCATGCTACTAATTCATTAAAAGCAACATTTAGAGCTTCATTTACTAAAAATTAACGAAGGAACCTGTGCTACACGCACCAGATTTTAATAGAGAGTTTATGGCGCAAACCGATGCTTTCGATTTAGGGATGGGAGTAGTATTAACACAAAAGGATGAGAACAACACCGAATATCCCATCTTGTACTTAAGAAGTTTTCAGTGACAGAAGCTAAGTACAGCATAACTGAAAAAGAATGCGCATATATAATTTTTGCTGTAAAAAAAAACTGCATTATTATTTGGGCGATCCAAAATTTACTGTAATTACTGACCACAACCCCTTAGTTTGGTTAAAAACTAATGCAGGCTCTAATCCCAGGCTAATGCGGTGGGCTTTAGCCCTGCAGCCATATAATTTCCAAGTTATTCATCAAGCTGGGAAGAGGCACAAAAATGCTGACGGTCTAAGCAGGTCTGCAACTATATATATATATAAAAAACTTTAGCTTTAACTTGTATTTATCACTGTATTCTTTTGTGAATTTTATGTACTTTAATTGTGTCACTGGCCTTGATGTAATATCATGGTACTTTTACATGATTTTCTTTCTTACGTATGTGTGTAACTCTTAATCTCAATCAAATATACTTAAACATTTTGAGGAGCCAAATGTTTCTTCGAAGGGGAAAGGAGCTGTAACATTCCTCTTCTCTGAAGAACCTGCCCTAAAAGAAGAGACAGAGAACCCTCTTCTCGCCTCAGCCAGAAGAGGGGAGTCGACTTTCCCCCTGGTTGCAGGTGGAAGTAAGAGAAGAGATTGAGATGCGGAAGAGAAAACAGCGGACGCTGGTTTGTGCGCTCTACTGTAATGAAAATGTATTTGAAAGTTTTTCTAAAATGTAATCTGTAAATAGTTGTATATATAAGTAAATATTTAGTCAAGTCTTGTTCATTTCACGGAGATACGACTATGGTACAGTCTGAACATATGTTGCAATGAATATAATGCAGAAACTGCATCAATAATATATAATATAATTATCTTTACTTATTTGGATAACATAGAGACACAAAAAAAAAAAAAAAAAAAAAAAAAAAAAAACTAACCAGAACATACTAATTTCAGGTCATAAATGAAAATGCAACAGATGGAATGAAAATAAACTCAAAAAAGCACATCAAATCAACTAATTCCTTTTCATTATTGATAATTATGTATTAATGATAATTTTATATAAAGAGAAAGAGGTTAAAAGGAGTATAAATATTGTTTTTTACATTTTTCAAACACCTGTTTCACAGTAGTTTACAAAACTTCAGGATGTTTTAGTTTGAAAGATTACCTCTACTCAAACATAGTCATTATGTCTTAACAAGACAACTAGTTATGTATAAAGTATATCCTTATCATTTATACAAGTTTAGTTCTTCTAATTTTTTTAAAAACTACTACTGATGGGGAAATGATGGCTTCGCTTTGTTATATATTTAAACCACAAAGAAACCTTGCATCACACCAGTAGAAACATTCAGAGACCAAAGAAAATTTTCATGAAGTTTGGTTAAATGTGAACAGAATGTTGATTTTTTTAATGTGAATCACACTGGACCCAAGCAATCTGTATAATCTGATACATTGTGAATAAAAATTTTATCCTGACATTTTGTGAAGACAACATGAAAATGTATACCAGCAATGACAGAATTATAAAGTGAAGACAAATTTCTACATCATGACAAGATAATCCACACTGTTTATTATATGGGCTCTCCCCAAAGAATGACATTGTGCCTATTTCTCACCAACACTACTCATATGATCCAACTCTGTATGATTACAATCATTTTCATGGATGTAGAAGACCCTGCAAGAGAAGTGACTCCACTAAAGTTAATTAAGTGAAAATAATATAATAAAAAAAGATCCCTAAAATGGAGTTTCGATGAATTCCTTTTTAGACCAGTAGAGTAATATCAGGCTTCCCTAAAATGGAGTTTCGATGAATTCCTTTTTAGACCAGTACAGTAATATCAGTGTTATACCTTGTGAAATCAGTATGCCTAAAAAAACATATATTTCTTCTGAACTGGTTGAATGCCACGATTTTGTTCTTGATTTTTTGTTTGCAAGGTGTTGGTTCATATACTCATCTACAAAATGGTTAGTTTCAGTAACAATATGAAGCACGAGCAGTTCATCAAAAATCCGACTGCCTCACACACCATGGAGCCCAACAAGGGGATGCAGATTCCTACACCAGGGCTAGCCAGACCTATATGCAAACTGAAGTCCCACAGTTGGCTTTTCCAAAAGCAGGTACTCCCGTGAGTCCCCAAGCCGCTGACACAAGGACTAGTGACCAGCCAATTGACACTCACGAGGATGACACGGTGCCTCCTGTTTAACTAAAGCAGAGGCCAAAGCAGGGTGTTGAGGACAGTACCTCCCCCCTCAACTACCAGAATCCTCCTTTACAGTGACACAGGTCTCCATGCACGGCAAACACGTGGGCAGTTTTCTGGCCACTCCAAAAAATAGGGACAGGGTTGTTCCAGTTTCTTATGACGAGCCCAAAGCTCAGAAGAGGAAACCACAAGGGAGAAGGAAAATGAGAAAAGTTGCAGTTAAGAGGAGAGGAGGCAGAAAGGAGGAAAGATCACTGGGGCCCCAGGATTGTGACACCCGATCACCAAGACGGTAATCCCCTGAAGGATCGTCACCTGTTATGCTTTAGCTGGGCATGTTGGCACGGCCTTCACACTTAGGGTGGCCCTACTAGTAGCTATGCTCCCTTCGTACTTCACCCGTTCTGCCCAGTGACACCCCCGCCACGTTAAGGCAGCATAGCAGGACTTGGGGAGGGGTCACTGCCTATTGAAGTGCACAGAATAAAAGTAATTTTTATAATTTGAGTTTAATAAACTTAAAAAATGTGAATGCAATTTTTACCTGCCCAAGATCAATATCTGCAGCTTCTATGTCTTTATTGGCTTTCTCAATAGCAGTCTGAGCTCTCAGTTGAGCTTCACGGGCCTCTTCTAATGCTTCAAGTACCTGTTTTGCTGTATCAAGTATTGCTTCTGCATTTTCTCTATGCAAGGAAGAGAACCACACAATAAGCGATTCAGTAACTCAACCAGCAGTTACAAAGAAGTAAGAAGTTTATTAATAAGTTGATAAAATTAAAGAATAATAGGTATTTCTCAAATTACAATGACTACAATAATTTTACACATAGCGTGTCTTTAAATTCTGAAACCTTGTAACAGCACCAGTGCTGAAGAATCCTCTGTACCAGTAAACACATGTTCAACACACTGCTGGGGTTTTAAAAAAGTGTAAAACTCAAAAATGATTTCATTAATGCTTTTAAAATATGGTTCAGCAATTTTAATTATGCATGACTTACAAGCAGAAAGCTTAAAATTTCTATTCTCTTTAAATGCTCCTTTTATCTTAAATTAAAAACCGTATAAATTATGGCACGATTCCAGAATACTTACATATATTATCATAGCACCACTAAATTTTTATTAATTTCTTTTTAACCAAATATACTGAATTATGCTAGCTATTACTTTTATTAGCATAATCTTTTACACCTTTCAGTCAATCAATTGATATTCTGAATGGCAATAACACAGTTTAATATCAGAAACAGACAGGACTGTAAAAGCAAAACATTTAATCAAAGTATAAATAGATTTTGAATACTGAGTGCTACTAACAGTCATGTCCTGATGGCAAATCCATAAACTAATGCCAGTAGATAAGTTCAGGATTTTAAGAAATGCCCCATCATAAAACACCAGATTAATGAGGTACAACCTGTTCTAAATAGTTATAACAAAGACATGTTTTATAGTTTAAACATAAAATTTAAGTGCACATCTGTGCTAGAATTTAGTCTTTCCAAAAAAGTCTTAATGACTGAAAGATTCAATACTGACTCACACAAATAAAGCAACTATTCAATAAAAGAATCACAGAGATTTATCAAATACATACTGGTGTCTGAAACTGTTGTACAAGCAATGAAACTAAATAATGATCTTAAAACAAAATCATACAATAAAGAAGTAATTTTTTTTAACATTTTAAATTTTGCATTTAGCATTAAACATAAGACAAAATTTCACATTTCAGAAAAAGGAGGGTACCCTTGAAGCACAGAATATGAGAAATCACATTTAATTACAAATGTGCACAATCTCATGAACTTGAATAGGAGCAATTGCTCACAATATAGTGCACACGTACTCATGCATCTGAATATTCACTATTATTCATTACTTGCGAGATGCAAACTGTATGAACACTTTTCCTGAAAGACGGTTCTTTCTATAAACTAGTTCTACAAATGTAGGAAAAAGATCTGTGAAGAAATGATTCAATATCTGGCTTGGGAATGCTCAAAATGTGCGTATAAGATGACGAAAGGAAATAATATTTTAACTAATTATTTGGGCAAGGTTATCTGCCTAGTGGTGGCCTTGCAAGGGAAATATGGTTTGTAGTCACATTATGTATGTTCAGTGGTCTTATACACTTGGCTGCTGAAAGCTCTAGAATTAGGTAAGACTTAAACCCTTTTTTGCACTCAGTGCATTTTTCTCAACATACCTAAAGCATCACTGCCACATTGTAATTGTTTACACTTGAGGGTAAACATTCAAATCAGTTCTAGCTAACACTTCAAAATTTTACAGTGTAGCTTTCACACCTATTAAGAGAAAGACAATGTGCATTTACCAGACTTAAGCTACATTCACCAGCAAGTAAAAGAATGAGTCGCATGCATTTTCAAGTGAATTCTTTGGGTAAAATTAAAATATCATTCAGTTTTCCCTGGCTAAAGAACATTTTAAAACAAATCATTATTACTATCCTATTCTTTAGAGTTTGTTTTCATCTAACAGAAGTTTTTGTTTTACTTTAAGGCAAAGAACAAGACTGCACTATTTCACATTAAGACAATTTTAAAATAGAATAAAACAGCAATAAATCTGAAGTTCAGATATTAGAAATGGGGCAAGTTATGACAAAGAAGTAAAAGAAACTAAAAAGGCATTCAGATATGACTTTGAAAGATAAGAAACTCATTTAAAATAAATGCCAATACTCAGAAAAAATCTTAAATAGTTTATATTACCTATTGTATTAGATAATTTGTTCCTCTAAATGAACATAAACTTTTAGAAAAGAATTTAGAACATTACTCTGAATTCATGCCTAGTTTATATAATGCTCTACATTAATTTCTAATATGTAATTTAAATTGTAAAAACTGTTGAGGGGGAAAAAGGAAAAAACTTAATTACTTTAGCTCAAAGAAAAAGATTACGGTTTCCAGTAGGTGTTTAGGACATAAAACAAATAATACTTTTCTACAAGAAGACATTATATTTAAACAAATTATATCTATTTTTTCTTATGTTATATTTAAATAAATGATAAAATTTTACAGGAATTTCTCTCACTTTGCTCGATCAGCTCTGTTCTTTAAAGCTTGAGCTTCTGCCAAGTCACCTGCAGTAGCATTCAAAATGGCATCAATATTTGTTAAACTAGCAATAGTGTCATTGATTTCTCGAGCAAGATTAGTAATTTGTTCTGGTTCTAAAGATACGGATTGCTTTAAAGTCTGAAAAACAAATATAATTAGAGATCTCTATATTAGAACTAAAATTAACACAATCAACAGTGAAAGTACTTCCTAAGAAAAATACAAGATGTGATAATAAAATACTGCCCACATATAGCACCAAAGTTTCTATAGTTTACCTCATCAGCACGACTTCGAATTTCCAATGGCTTTGCTCCACCAGCTGTTAAAAATTTTTCAATTTTATCCAGCAAGTCTTCAACTATAACTGTTGCATTTTCAGATCGACCTTTAGCAGCTTCAGCTCGCTCAAATGCCATTCTTGCTTCTTCTAGAGCTTCATCGGCATCCTTTCTTGCATCATCTACCTAGGGGGGGGGAAGTTATTAGAAGCCTAGTAGTACCACTACTACGACTAGCCTAATGCTATGACTACTTACGATTTTGGACAAAAAAAAAACTGGCATTAACATTTTATAAGATTTCACTGAAAATTTAATACATAGATTTATAACTTTCAAAAATCATATACACATACCTAGATACACACACACACACACACAGACACATTAAAGTAAAAAAAGAAAAGCAGATGAATATTCACCCATGAGAATGACCATGTCACTAGAAAATGAAACTAAGCCATATATTAATAAAAAAGATGGAAAAGGATTTTTTTTTCATACATTTCCAAGATGTATGAAATTCATACACTGATGCTTTGTGCATGTTGATTAATATTTCGTCTTACTTTATTTAACTTTATTTATTATGAAATTCAAAGACAACAAATTTGAATGAAGTATTTTTTTTAAGATTACTTTCACTAGTAGAATAACAGCAAATGGAATATTTTTGCAGAAAAACATTGAGTTTCCTTAAACAAAGCCTGAAATTCAGATGTCTAATTACATTAAAGCCATAACACTTGGTACTTTTTTTTTTTTACCATTACCCCTTAAGGACCTGCAAAGAAAAGCATCGTTAAATGCTTTGCATTTTGCAATATGATAATGATCAATGATATAACACTACCAGGAAAGCAAAGTTGTTGAACCATATTCCTTTCTTATAACAAAATGCTTTCTTCCCATACATCTTGAAATAACCTATTTTCCTTAGCTATTTTTAATATCTTTCTTGATAATGATCCTGTCATTATGGAAACAAACTACCAATGCTCACTGGAAATTATAAGAAAAACCTCCAGGCATTGACATAACTAAGCAACTGCAACAGTACAGGCATGCACAGTGCAAGTTTAATTAAGGTAAGACATGTATGATTGCATTTCAATTTAAGATTTTCAAGTCGTTCAAAACTTAAATTTTAGCATATGCCCTCAATCTTTACTTGCTAGAACTGCACATAGATTTTGTTTCATGCTGCATATATAATCTCGCTGGGCCAATGTTGAATGCAGATGCTTTAATGAAAAACAGCCACTAACTTTTTTACTTAACTGAATAGATGAAGAAATACAAATAAATGTTACAAGAAAATAATGAAACTGAAGTCCACCACAGTGACAATACCCCAACCATCAATTAATTCATGGTATGGTTTTTAAATACGGAAAATATTACCACTGATACTAAATGACAAAGATTGTTGAGAATGAAAAAGATTTCAAATAAATATTTTGCAGGAATTCTCAACACGGCAATTACAAAAATAGAAATACTTGAAATATAGAACTTTATCACTGAATAAGAAATTATGTCTATATAAAATTAAAAAGAAAGTATATCAACTTACCTCGAAAGAAATATTTAATAAAACAAAATAAGCATCAACATTAAACTTTTACTGCAAACTTTGGTTCCCTTAAGGACAGAAAAATATTTTTCAATTTTTAAAATATCCATTTCATATTTTTAATTCTATAATTTCTACATGCAATCTTACAGTATTTGAATTAATGATCTAAACTCTGGAAATTTCCAAAAGCCATATTCACCGAAGTCCCAATAATTTCAGATGTCAGACTTCATTCCCTATATTATTTGAACAATTAGGAAAACTTTTACATTTACTAATGCTTTCCACTTTCCTAATAAAAAGGAATGAATTCTTTCAGATACTTATTTCACATAATTTTTTTTAACATTTTAAACAAGCAGAAAGATCAATGCTTAACATTACCAAACACTGAGGGAAGTAGTTTAAAAATTTTGAGAGATTACACTTATTACTATCATTTTAAAAGTTTTACACTTAAGACTATCTTAAGACTAGATTTTTAAAGTAACTATCAGATGATGGGGAAAAAAACTGACAAAATGAAAAAATTTAGGACTTTCAGAGTTCTGAAATTTATGCAACAATGTTAAGATAAGAAATGCTCAATGACATGGGTTGCTTTTAATTAAAAATACTGCAAAGTTTAGTCACATATTTATCACCAAATAGCAATTATACCGGATTTATTATGGGACAGACTATTAAAACAGCAGATTTAAAGCAATAAAAATATAAACAGCTACTTGTCATTATTATGTGATAAAGCATTCTTAGTATGTTTTATTATTGTAACTCAGAATCTGCACGTACTATTTTCAGACCTTCCTGCTTACTTAAGTTTCCAGTGGAAAAGCGCTGATAAATTGTTTGAGGCTGAAAAAAAAAAAAAAAAAAAAAAAAAAAGACACAGAAATTCAAGACTGGAGTTTTGGCAGTAATATCAATAATATGGGATTCTGCAGCAGTTGAAATTTTGAAAAGTTAAAACTATTGCAACTGCACATGCACATGAAGAATGCCAGGTTTCTTGAAAAATATGAATTTCATAAAGTAGGTATACAGAACTCATGATTTATCCGGCACAGGTACCATATGAATTTCACAGGCTTTAGAAACTACAAGCTGTTGATTTTTGTGAAGTGTTTAGAGTTTCCAGCATGAGTTTTCAAAAAATAGATGCAGACAAAACTTAGTTACTAAATAAGCGATAGGCAGAAAAAACAGCAGCTGCCCTCAATGAGGAAGTAAACACAAAGTCAATATGTCTGGAAAAAAGAATCTCACAGCTTGCACAGTACCACTACTGTACAAATCTGAAGTTATGCTGTGGTACGGAATCACATCTTCCTTTATCCAGGTTGCCACTCAAATAGGAAAATGACATTCCCTGACTTTTCCAGGTGTGTTTTAAGAAAATTCCAGTCTATTCCAGAAATAATGCACATTGGCTGTGCTAAGAGGTAAATTAATTATGGTACAACTTGAAAACATAAAAATTTTCCAATTACATATGACATATATATATGTATATATATCACATATGACTTAAAATATATAATCCCCAAAGCATTACTATTATAACTATAATAGGAATTGTTTTCTCTATTGAGGATTCAGATTAGAACCTGCCTATCTGAATTAAAAAATGTCTTTTTTTGCAGATATTTTTCAACTAAACGAAAGAAAAATCTATTTAATGATATTTTTAAATAAATTCAGGTATTTTATATTATTTAGTAGCATGAATAAGCAAAACATATATGCATTAAATTTCATGATGGTATGTCATCATAAATTAATGTCAGGATTATGCAGAGAAACTTTCCTGAAATTTGAAGGTTTTATTTACTAATAAATAATAAATAAATTTAGAGAGAAGAAGCAACATTAAATGACATAAATAAGATTAAAATAAAGATAATTATTTAAAAATTGAATTGGAATAATCAACGATATTTTGGTGAATATAGTAACATTAAATGGTTAGCCTAGGTGACTATTTACTATTTTTTTATTTTACTGCAAAATGACAAATAAGGCATTTATTAAAAAAAAGGGACGGTTACAAAGATTTTGTGATACATAATTCGCCCAGAAAGTGATCGGTTCCAACGGCGACGCAAAACTCGCTTTTTTTTGGGGGGGGTGGATATCTGTATGAAATTCCCTGACTTTTGCTGATTTTGACTAAAATATTAAAATTCCCTGACTTTTTACGGTTTTGCAGGTAGCGTGGCAACCCTGTTTATCACTGCCCTGGTTTTCTTTGGAAATGATTGTGGCACAACTTTCCAACCTGTTTCATTATAGAAAGACAGCTATGCACTATACAATTAACATTCAAGCAATCTGGAACATCTCTTCATTGTCAGTTAATTCCTGAAAGGGAAAACTTGGTAAAGATCATATATTGAGATGTTGTTGTTTTCAACTTCCAATAAAAATTAACACATTATTTAAAAAAAAAAAAAAAATCGCAGCAAATTTCATTAATATATTCTTTTGATCATAAAAGAATTTTAATCATATTTAATTTGTATGTCATATTATTTCATAGTCTTCCTTTAATTAAACTTTGCAAACTGTATTGTGGTGCTGTGATAAATATATACAAATGAAAAGGTGGCTTTGAGATTCAACATAATAAAATAATAGCTTAAAATCATAAATACAGAAACAAGTGAATGCGTGAATGTGGAAGTAAAATCGAACATCTGGATGGAAACTTACTTCTTCCAAGAGTTCTTTAGAGCTACCTTCTTTTTCTCGTATCTTTTTTTCAGCTTCTTTTGCTAAATCAAAAGCATCATCAGCTCGAGTTACAGCACCAACACAACCAAGACCACCACATTTGTCACATCCTGCTCCGCCACAAAGAGAATCACATTTTCCCTCAGAATCCGTAGATTTGTCGCTACGACCACAAACCTAAACACGAAAACAATTCAAATTTAAGCTGATTTTTAAAAATCAATTACTAAACATTATCGAATTTCTTCTAATATGAAACTACTTTGAAAGAAATTTAACAATATTTTACCGAATATTTAATTGCACTCCATAGCGAAATAATACACATACCTAAAAAACGTGGTAAATAATGCCAAAAGCTATAGAGTAGGCAGTGAAGAAAAAATGAGAATGGGAAAATTGATAACATCATTTATTACATTGTGTTGCGAGACTGTGTAAATTTCTTTCATTAAAAAAGTAAATCTTAAAATTTACACTCTCTAAAGAATTAAAATTTAAGCAAAAATAACATTAACTTACAATTAATAAGGATCCAAATTATGACAAAAATGAAATTAACTATTTGTTAAATGTAGAGGCAAATTATCCAGGATATCTGATTTTAACAGATGATAAAGTCACACAGTCTCTTGAAGGCAACCAAGGAGTTGAGAAAAATTGACATTTATGATAATGATACAAATAAAATCAATGTTAAATCCTATGAAAACAATTGCAAAATGTCCTCAGCAGTAAGAATGATTCTAATTCACATAATACAAAATATGTCCACATATGAAGAAATATTTTCTTTGAAATAAAACAAAATATGTATCTGTCATTCACAAATAAATAAAACTCTTATTTATTTGAAACAGTTGGTGAATAATGATGTTACTCCAGTTTGCCTTTGAAATTGAATGACGGTAGTCTAAAATAAACCACACATTGCTTGTCCAATAAAACAAATTCCTGTTTATTTAAACAGGTACACACACAAAGTTTGGGTAATTGGCATTGTACTGCATATTTCTTTGCCCCTGAAGAAGAAGGACCTATACCTGTTTGCCCTTCAAATCGAGTTGAATAAAATATACACCAAGCACAAGGCTGTTGCTTTGCTAATTTAAGTTTTACTTTGACATGTTTCTTTTCTACAATTTTAATATGCTTTACATGTCAGCTATTTTTTATAAAACGAGCCACATTTCAATGATCTATCAATAGGTAGATCTATAATACAAATTTCTAACAGCAATTTATATTCTAATGTCAGGTGACACTGGAATTTACCGGAATATCTTCCTTAATAAGCACTGTGGTGACATCATTTGTAATACTGAAACACTACCTATCAAACTATTCATGCTGAGATTTTCTTTTTGCTCAGATGGCAATAGTAAAAGAGTTCTAAATAAAAAGTAAACATTAGAGTTTGTTTTTTAAATTATTTGTTTTACTCCTGTTTCCTCATTAATAAATTTATTTACAAAAGTTTCTTTCATCAATTTGGGTCTCACTAATTGCAACATGGACTGTACACAACAGCACCTGAGGATTACTACTGAACAGCCCTAGTTCCAGCATTCTGGAATTGTGCTTCAATCTTAAAAAAAAAAAAAAAAAAAAAAAAAAAAAAAGAGAGAGAGAGAGATTTATCCAGGCAACTGCTAGTCTCTCTAATGTTGTTTCACTATTCTCGTGTGCACACATTTAATCGCAATCAATCCATACAAATGCTGTCACCAATTTCTAGTTTTTTTATTTTAATTAAGGACAAATGTATACTGTAAAGAACAAACTTCTTTAATTATTAACAAGTGAACAGGAGTAAAACAAGAGATAATTAGTTTCTCTTTTGAAAACAAATTCTAATCTTTATAATAATTCTTAAGTTAATAATTCTGAATTCTTTTACCATTGCCACGTGAGTAAAAAGAAAAGAACAATGTGAAGAATTTGATATATAGTGTTTCAGTATTATATCTGCTGCTGTAATGAGCACCATGGTTATATAAACTTACAGTGAATATGAATATAGCCAAAGACCTAAACTTGAGATAACTTATGAATTCTGGAACCAAATTTAGACCAGTCTGTGAAGTTCAAAGAACTGAAAAAGTCTTGAAAGAAGTTATTGTTAAAACTAGCTATAAAAGCATTCCCACAACCACATTTTTAGAAAGGAAAGCTTCTGCCTTCAATAATATTAAAAATAAACCTTCTCAGTTTCATAACTTACCTCTTCCCTCAACAGGAAATTAAAGTTCTTGAGCTTAGGGAGAACTTTACGGTTACTAAAATTGACAATGCTAGTAACAATTCCAATATCATTTGAAAAAATTATTGAATACTGAATCACTTGCTGAAAAATAACTTCAGGAACCTATCACTTGCAGAATGACTAATTCCAGTGCTTCATCAATTGTCAACAAAATCAAAGCATTTCATCAAAAACTTAAAATTTCAGTGCTTACAGACTACAAATTTTCTAAACTTTATACATACCAAAATTTGTTAAAATCTCCAGTCTAGTTGTGCTTTATTGTTAATGGCACTAGAAATCACCAAAAGGCAAGAGACTATATTTTGCTCTCACACTTAAAAAAGTTTGTACTATTATTTTTGAATCGGTTAAAGAGTACCATTACAATTGGATTATTGATAACATTCCTGTTCTTTCTGCACTTAAAACTATTGAAATAAAAGCTATGAACTGCTATGATTTTTAAAATTTGTACATCTTTCTTTCCTTAATATAAAATTACAATTCCTGTAATTAGTTATTACCAAAGAATAGAAAAATTTATCTTAATTGTGCACTTTTTCAAAGCTACATTCAGTTTAGAGAACCTACTTTTCAACAAATAAATGGCATTCCTATGGGATAAAACTATTAAAGACAAATTTGTAAGCTTTACCTTTTCACAAAGAAATTTTACTTCCAAAAAATATCTCAATCTAGTTAATAAAAATTACAAATATTTTTAGGTACATTGATGATGATATTGCTACAAATACTTTTGAGAAAATAAGAACCCACAGTATTTACCCTTCTAGCTTGATTCTTAATAAAAAAATTCCATTCGAGGAGTTTTACATATTTTTGATTAAAATAATAATAAATAAATAAAAAATAAAAATAAATTTTATGTCAAAAAAGATTTCAATTTTAACACAATAAAATTAATTCAATGAGAATCTAACATTTTGAAAGAAATATAAAAATAACACAATTCACAATCAACTTCTTAGAATCAAGAATATTTGACTGAAGTTAATTATCTTCAAGAGATCTTACTTTTAGTCAATTCATTAACAGAAAATTAAATACAAAAATATTACATTAACTTTTCATAGAAGCAGGTATTAAGTATTAAATTTAATGAATATTTTGTTATGACATGACTGCATTACTCCAAACCTTAAACAGGAGAGTAAAGCAGGATGGTATCTAAAATTAGAGATTTATATATATGTATTAAAAACTTTTTTTTAATGTAAAGTTCTTTTCCTGTATAATAATTGTACCCCTAGACCGTTATTAATCAGGTTGTTTTCATTTCCAAGATGCACTGAAGCTGAGTTGTGTCAAGACTAATCTTATTATTTTAGATTTCTATAACTTTTTGCCATAATTAATCACTTGTAGCTGTTTTGAATGGCATCCTCTAACTTCTATTTTGGCACCCGTAATTTTCACCACAGTCACAAAATACTCTGTTTCAGATTACTTTTTTTTTCCCCCCATTTTTATACCAATCTAAACCTTCAGTAGTTTTTTCACTTTTGTACAATGATTTCTACAATAAATGGTAAACTCGTTCCTCCCAATTCCAACATTCATAGGAAAATGCTAAAAGTTTTTATGCCATTTCTTTTATTTGCATCACATGTTGTGTTTAGCAATATCTTTGCTCCATTTAAAAAATTAAAATAAGTTACTATGTTTTTCTAATGTTTTCACATTTTACTTTTAAATATTTTTGATGCACCATATACTGGCAATGAGTAAAACAAATTCTGCCCCCCCTTTTTTTTTTGCTGACATTGTTACACTTATACAATATAATTTTAGCGAAAATGACAAGCATTGTTCCTATAGAAAATTAAGATATTAAGGTTCTTATATTTTGGCTGTTGTACATTTATTTTTACTGTATAAAAGACGTGATTTTTAAACCCAGTTTTTTTTTCATTTTTTATTAATCTTTTCAGTAATGTACATTTTGTACTATTTTGATACTTTTGATGTTTATTTCAAGGACTGAATTTGTGTTATGGTACATTCTTAACTCAGTAAGAATGGGGATTAATAAAAAAAATTGTGATTATATTTTTGTTTACTCAAATAGTCAAGAAAAATGAAATATGTATTCAGAACTTAATTTTTCATGTTCAATGTTTTAAATAATTACTCCCTAATGAGTCTGTTTGAAGCACTAAACTATGAATAATTAATTTGCAGAAAAATAAATGATTATAAAATAATTTTTAAAATTTTTTTACTTTGTAAAAATAAATTTTCAATCTTAAGCTGCTTAAACATTTGATATTTATTATATTTTTAAGTTCTTATTTAACTACTTGCTAAATAATCTCTCTCTCTCACACACACATTTTTTACGAGTATTAAAAACTACTTTTATTCAAGTTTTGATATTTATCAATATTTTCCCCACATTTAGTTGTTTAATTTACAAAACACATTGAAATTCATCTAAATTTAAATAAATGTATACATACATACTCTTTGTGTTTTGGAATAAGGAGGGGAGGGGGAATGATCATCTAGCAATGTTGAAAGGGGTGGATGGAGCAATAAGTGTTGAGATACACATATGCATGTGTTTATAAAGCTATTGCGATCAGTTTTTTACTCATGTCTTGGTAGAACACACAAAAGCTCAAATTAGCATTTTTCAAAATCAAACTTACTAATCCATTTAGTTCAGGAATTTCTTCTTCAATCATATTTATTTTACCAGAAATTTTCATCAGAGCAGCCTCGTTTTCAAGGAATGTTTGATTATATAGGTCGGTTGCTCGCTCAAGCAATCTTTCTGTTCTTCGACGATGGCCTTCAGATTCATGAAGAACAGCTCTGGAATCTCTTACCTTACTTTCAGCTTTATCTGATCTTACTTTGGCATCTTTAGTAATGTTGAAAGCACCTTCAGGGTTTAGAAAATTGTTAATGTACATGAACACAAAACAAGATAAAACTGCTACAGTTACAAATTTGATTATAGAAACATAAAAACAACATTCACTTTGATGTAAATAGTCACTCAGTTTCTGATAAGCCAAAGAAGTTTATTTTTTATTTCATCTTTATTCGCAAGAAATTTATTCTAACATAACAACATACATATCACATTTAAATATAGTAAAATGTAAATTAGGATCTATAAAGGTATATGAATATTTAAACTGACTAATAAAGTGAATTTTCCATTGCACTCTATATTTACATAATTATTTTTTTTTCTCAAGACATATTGAAAATTTCCTCTGTTATTAAAACGAAATGAAAATACCTAGCATTCATAGAATTTTGGGATTGTGCACAACTTTTACAGAAGATTAAAAAAAATAGAAAATTCTTTTCTTTCCACTAAAGCATAATAATCAGTGAAATCTCCAAGACATTCGTATGTGTTTGTGTTATCAGTACGGACTGTCATATTGCTGTACAAAAGTTTGAATCCCGAAGAAAGCACAGAAGTAAGGGAAAATGTCTATGTGGAACTAAGAAACTTAAAATAGAAGCTAAAAGTCTCTTGAGGTTTGGAGGTAACAGAAAAGAAGTCCACTCCTTCTATCCCCAAGTATTCTGTATCAAAATTCGGATGGAGTTGAACAGCGATGTTCTGATGCCTCTGCCACTTCTGTCTTAGTTTGACTCATCGTCTGCAGTGCTGTAAGAATGCAACACTGAGTGCATCTAGATTTAGTATTTCACCAGTTATGGGACATTATTACTTCACATGTGTTTCATAATTAAGGACTATTTACTTTCAACACTTTAATAAAAAGTTTTGAGCCAAGGATTAATGACAATAAGCAAGAATGACAGTATTTGAATTTAGAAACTACATCAAAGATATTCAATGATTATTTTAAAGTACAAAAATTTTAATTTTATATAAGTTTAATTTTCAATTTCCATATTCAATGTTGTTTTGAAAGTAAAGGGAAAAATAAAAAGGTTCTTTCATGTGAAGCCATTAAATTTTATAATATTAATTACATGAGTTAAAGATAAGGTTTTATCTCTTGACTGAATTAAAGATTTATTTCCCCTTTTTATACTTTTAAATACTTGAATCTGATTGTGCATTAAATATTGTTGGTTATTATGCTTATATTACCATTCTACTAGCTTTGCATTTTTTATAGTTCCATCTTGTTTTCTTTAATTGAGCCTAAAATGTGAACAGAAAAGAATTTTTATCCCTAGCTTGGCAGAAAATGTGATCAAAATTGAACCAAAAATCTGCTACTGCAGAAAAACTGATTCTAAATATCTATTTTGGCCCAAGGTAAAATCAGCAACATTTCACTTTACATTCAATTTTTGTGCACAATCAAGCAGGTAATATATTGACATGAATAAATTTTAACATGCCGAAACACAGACGTACTAAATTTAGCTTAACATTTTACACTTCTGAAAACTAGAATGTCATAAATTAAGCACAGCTTGGTGTTTTGTTCATTATTGTATTATTATTAGTCCATTTATATTTTGGCTTTATGTTATTTTTTGAAGATTGAGCTGCTGTTACTCTTTTTGGCTCCAAATTTAATACCAACCCCCACAAAATTTGAATATTGTCTTTTTTTTTTTTTTTTTTCCTGGCACAAAACAAACTGAAAATCAGTTTAAACTTGCTTCTGTGTAAAACTATGAACTAAGTATCTGTTTTTGCTTAATGTCAGGTACAAAATTGGGAATAATTCTTTTTTTACAGTAACTCAACACTAAATTTTTAATTTAGCTCAGCATTTGGTATGAAACTGACAGTACTACTCTTTTGTTGCAATTTGGTACAGCACGTATTTTTTTTGGCACAACTTGGAGCTATCATTGTAACACTGAATAGCATTTACTTATTAACTGCAAAAATATTGTTGATTAAAAAATGATAAATTTATTTTAGAATGTTAAGGAACTTGAAATAGGTCTTAATACTTTATTGCTATTCAGTACTTGATGTAAGCAAATCAAAATTTCAATATTACAAACTAATTTTTAATACAAGTTTCCAACAAAGGAAATGCTCCGAAAAGCAAAGATAAAAATTGCAAAAAAATATATACATATATATATATATATATATATCTTTCCATGCAAGAAAATTTATAAAAAAAATTTATAAAAATTTATAAAAAACAATAACAAAAAAAAAAAAAAAAAAAAAAAAAAAAAAAAAAAAAAAAAACTTGTAAACTTGCCTTCAACATTTGCTTCCTGTAATGCAGTTGCATTGCTTTTCAAAGACTGGGCATCACGAGTCAAATCATCTGCTCTGTTACGAAGATCCGTTAGGGCTAATTTAGCATCTAAGATCTTTTGAGTTGTATTTTCTAGTTCATGATCAACCACATCCAAATGCTCTTGTGTGACTGTGAGATTTTGCCTTAAACATCATACATTTCATTGAAAAAACTATTAAACTAATAAAAATGCAGTGACGTAGTAAAAGAAATTTAACAAATACTGGGTCACTTGGAAAGTTTTGTAGTTTTTTTGATGATAAATACAAATGAAGCAGTACACAAACAAAAAATTTCATTAAATCACATTAGCAACCATCTTGTACTATGATTTTCTACCATCTCTCCTTCAGCTGAAAATTCCACTTTTTTAAAAATAGAAAAATCTTACATTTATTCATAAAGAGGCTGCAGTGCTGTTTGAAAGTCTCCAAAGAACAGAACTCCAGGACATTCAGAAAATTTTGAAGTGACCTGAAGATATGAAAATTAAACAGGCAAGGTTTGAAGAATATGGTTCAGAGGGGTTTGATATAAAACAGCCTCACTCAATTAAGTTTTTGTCCAACAATAATTGAAATGTAGGGCCGAAAACAACTTGAAGATTGATCAACTTTGGATGTTTTATTTCAATTTTTGCTCTTACAACTGCAATTTGGGGAGAATATTTTTCCAAATTTATTGTCTGTTTGGTGGCAACAATTCACAGCACACAATACCTTTGCAGCCTCACAATGCAAAAAGCACTGATTTTTTGTGATGCAGCCCCCCCGCTCAATGTTACTAAAGATCTTTTTTGGCTTACCATGATCTTTTTTCTAGTTAATTATTGCACAGAATCTACACTGAAGTGACAAAAGTCATGGGATAGCAATATGCAAATATACAAATGGCAGTAGTATCACGTAGAAAATGTATAAATGCGACGTGCTTTGGCAGGGCTTTCATTTGCGTTCAGGTTATTCATGTGAAGAGGCTTTGACGTGATTATGGCCGCACGACGAGAATTAACAGACTTTGAACGCGGAATGGTAGTTGGAGCTAGACGCATGGGTCATTCCATTTCGGATATCGTTAGGGAATTCCACATTCCGAGATCTACAGTGTCAAGAGTGTGACAAGAGTATCTAATTTCAGGCATAACATCCCACCATGGACAGTGTAGTGGCCGACCACCTGCACTTAACAACCGAGACCAGCGACGTCTGTGTAGAGTTGTCAATGTTCACAGACAAGCAACACTGCGTCAAATAACCACAGAAATCAATGTGGGACATACGAGGGACGTGTCCGATAAGACAGTGCGGCGAAATTTGTCTTCTTTGGGCTATGCCAGCAGAAGACCGACTCGAGTGCCTTTACTGACAGCACGACATCGCCTGCAGTGACTCTCGTGGGCTTGTGAGCATATCGGTTGGTCCCTAAATGAATGGAAAACCGTGGCTTGGTCAGATGAGTCACGATTTCAGTTGGTAAGAGCTGATGGTAAGGTTCGAGTGTGGCGCAGATCACACAAAGCCATGGACCCAAGTTGTCAACAAGGCACTGTTCAAGCTGGTAGTGGTTCCATAATGGTCTGGGCTGTTTTTACATGGCATGGACTCGGTCCTCTGGTGCAACTGAACATATAATTGACTGGAAATGGATACCTTCAGCTACTTGGAGATCACTTACAGCCATTCATGGACTTCACGTACTCACACAACGATGGGATTTTTATGGATGACAATGCGCCATGTCAACGGGCCACAATTGTTCGCGATTGGTTAGAAGAACATTCTGGACAATTCCAGCGAATGATCTGGCCAGCTAGATCACCCGACATGAATCCCATCAAACATTTATGGGACATCATCGAGAGGTCAGTTCGTGTCCCAAACCCTGCACCGCCAACACTTTCACGATTACGGACGTCTATAGAGGCAGCATGGCTCAATATTCCTGCAGGGGACTTCCAACGACCTGTTGAGTCCATGCCACGTCGAGTTGCTGAACTTTGCCGGGCAAAAGGAGGACCGACAAAATATTAGGAGGTATCCAATGACTTTTGTCACTTCAGTGTATTTCTCATAACAAATAATGAGTTTTTTTATTTTATTTTTTTTTTTAAATTTTTTTTTAAAGAAACTTCTTTATTTCAGTTTAGCTAAGAATCACGTGTTCAAACTCAAGCAAGCATATTCTGCTGTGTTAAAAGTATGAGGTATCCATACATCATAGCAGCTTACACAACCAGTCTTCTTTAAATGATCATGCACTGTACTTTTTGGACTATTAAGTCCATATGATAGTTCTTGAATTGTATTATGTGGATTTTCTGTGACAGCTTCTTTTAGTAGGTCCTTGGTTCACAGAAGCACCTTGTACAGCAAGCATTATCCTTGAGGATGGAATTTCTGTGCTTTAACTTGGTGGAGTCTGATAAGCAAACTCTGTTTTTTAAAATGAAAGAGCATAATATGATCAAAATGAACTTTTGGGTCTACATTCTTAGCACTTTATTGAGACAAAAATGATGTCAGAACACATTCTAGAATTACACAATGTGAGCAGACCCAATTTTAACATTCACTTAGATCTAGGTAACTCCTTATCAGCCATAACAAAATAATTAGAAATCACGCTTTGATTTAAAAAACCACAGAACTTTCCAGGTGAGCCAATAGATTATCTATTTTTCAATTTTTTTCTTATAACTCTCCCACTGAAAGCTTGGGCTAATTGTTAAGACAAGAATTTGTTTATTACCAACAGTTAATTTATGTAGATAGTTAATCATCAGAATTGGAATATGAAAAGGAAAATTATAATAAACTAACTTAAATATATTTCTTCATTTAATCTGAACTTGAAAGTAACCACACACTCTCAAAAGATTTAAACATATCACAAATGATATCACTTAAAAATTGTTGGTGGTAACAAAATCCTGACTGCATATATGGAATCAGCATACAATGATACATAGAAAACAAACCTTACCTATTCAGTGGGGGGAAAACTTCACTAATGCATGTAATTATATGAATTCGCTTAATAATCAATATTATTAAAAATAATATATTTTAGATGAAAAATTATGCTATGCAGAACATTTTCATATAAAAACACGACTTGTATGCTTTTATTCAAGTTATTTTTCAACAATGTTATTATCAAACAACTTTGACATTTGGATTATTTCCACCTACACCACAGGAATAAATGAAGCATATTCTGAGCAAACTATATTCCTATGCATTCAAAACATATAGATATTTTGCTGCAGATGCTTGTTATATATGTAAATGTATCTATTATTATCTTTAATCATAACTGTAATACAGAATAGTAGATGAGCAATGCAGAATAAATGTTTGTGTACATCTTTGGTAATCATCACTGAGCACATACCCAACATATAAAAACAACACATGGCGCAGTCAGTCATAGATTAAAAAAAGAAAATCTTTTTTGAAGAACCATGCAGTGTCAGTAAAGATATTCTAAACAAAAACATGATGGGAAGTTGTTCACAGTGAAATTGAAACTTCTATCGCTGGTAAGTGAGTGCATTGTTTACTTTCATTTGAAGTGGCTAAAAATGCATATATATAAACTATTTAAAGTCCTATATTAAATATGGATGAATTAAAGCCACCAAGTAATCTAAATTTTGAAGGTAATTTAAGCGAAAATTGGAAGAAATGGAAACAAAAATTCCAAATTTATATGTTAGCGTCTGGTGGTATTACTAAATCACCTGAAATTAAAGTAGTTATTTTATTGCATATTATAGGTGAAGAAGCACATTAAAAGTTTAATACTTTTTATTTAAGTGAAGAAGATAAGAAGGATGTTGACAAAGTAATTGAAGCTTTCGAAAATTTTTGCATACCAAAAGCAAACGAAAGTGTTGATAGACATATATTTTTCTGTCGAACACAACATGTAGGTGAATCGTTTGATGATTTTTTAACCGATTTAAAGAAATTAAGTAGCAACTGTGGATTTGCAGAATTAAAAGATAGTTTAATAAGAGATAGAATAGTAAGTGGAATTCTAAATAAAATCTCAAAGATAGCTTATTAAGGGAAGATCAGTTAACATTGGAGAAATGTATTAAAATGTGTAAAGCTTTTGAATTAGCAAAACTTCAGCTGAAAACTTTAACTAAAGAAAATAAAATAGAAGTGATCAAACGTAATAAATTTCCACCTTCAGAGGAAAAAAGTCAGCCTTGTAAGAAAAACTATCATGTAAAACAAAAGCAACAAAGTACTAAATCTTCTTCAAACTATCAAGGAAATAAGTACAATAATCCGAAACCATGTAGAAAATGTGGAACTTTTCATAAGTTATACAATTGTCCTGCTTATAATAAGATTTGCTTGTACTGTAAAAAGAAAAATCACTTTTCTAAAATGTGCACTTATAAAATGTTGTACAGAATAATTTAGAGCATGAGTTACATAATAATGGTAATGAATATATTTTAGCGTCAGTAGAAGATACAAATCCATTTTCTAAAAATAGAACAGAATGGTTTGAAAAACTAAAAGTAAACATATCTAAATATTTATTTGTTAAGTTGGATACTGGAGCTCAGTGTAATGTGTTACCATTGCCTAAATTTAAACAATTAAATTTAAGAGATAAATGTTTGACTAAATCAAAAGTCACTTTAAATAATTACAATGGTACTACAATTGATGTAGTCAGGAAAATGTAAATTATTATGTGAAACATCAAAAGGGAACAAGGATGAAGTAGAATTTCAAGTCGTAGCATGTGATAAAACTGTTCCAGCTATTTTAGGTTTACCTACATTGCAAAAATTAAACCTAATACAAAGGATTTGTACAGTAAATCCTGATTCCAATGAAAAGTTACCAGAATCTTTAAAAGGATATCAAGATTTGTTTAAAGGAACTGGGAATTTAACTGGATATACATATCATATTAAATTAAAACCAGGAGCTGTTAGGTAAAATAGAACCCTGTAGGAAAACAGTTCCACTTAGCTTTATTAAATCCATTAAAAAAGGAATTAGCAAGAATGGAAAAAGATGGTATTATAAAAAAAGTTAACCAACCAACAGAATTTGTGAATTTATTAGTGGTAGTAAGGAAAAAGGATGGTAAATTTAAGAGTGTGTTTAGATCCTCAGCACCTTAATCCAAAATATACTGTGAGAACATTATCACATACCAAACCTTTGAAGAAATTTCATCTCAAATGACAAATGCAAAGGTCTTTAGTATTTTAGATGCAAACAAAGCATTTTGGCAAATTAAACTGTCAGATTCAAGTTGTGAATTTACTACATTTAACACTCCGTTTGGTAGATATTGTTTTTTGAGGTTGCCATATGGAAATTTTTAGTGATTTAGAAGGAGTTCAAATATATATAGATGACTTATTAGTTTGGGGTAAAGATAAAAAAGAACATGATTCAAGATTAAAGAAGTTGTTGGACAGAGCCAGAGAAAAGAATGTTAAATTTAATTTAAATAAATGTAAATTTGGGCTGAATGAAGTGAAATATATGGGACATATATTTTCTAAAGATGGTTTAATGATGAAGACAAAATTAAGGCTAATCTAGATATAAAACCACCAAAAAAAAATGTGAAAGAATTAGAAACTTTCCTAGGAATGATTACATATGTTTCTAGATTTATACCTAATGTATCACATCATGTTTTAGAGATTTGTTGAAAAAACAAGTTATCTGGAACTGGAATGCAACACATGAAAAAGCATTTAGAAGACTAAAGGATGTCTTAGTAAATAAACCAGTTTTACAGTATTATGATATAAAGATGCCAGTAGTTTTATCTGTAGATGCATCTCAAGAAGGACTAGGAGCAGTCTTACTGCAGAATAATTTACCAGTAGCATATGCATCTAAGGCATTAACAGATACACAGAAGAATTATGCTCAAATTGAAAAGGAAACTTTAGCTATTGTATTTGCGTGTGAGAAATTTCACCAGTATATATTTGGAAAATATATTACTGTGGAAAGTGACCATAAACCACTGGAATCAATTTTCAAAAAGCCATTAAATAAATGCCCTGTAAGATTATAAAGAATGCGTATAAGATTACAGCTATATCAGTTTGAAATAAAATATAAACCAGGAAAAGAACTTTTTATAGCGGATGCATTATCAAGATCATTCACTGATAAAGGATCTGATTTCTTTAAAGGAGACATAGAAGCTCATTTTGGATTGGTTGTAGAATGTATACCAATGTTAGAATGGAAGTTTTTCAACTGGAAACAGAAAAAGATGAAGAATACAAGTTTTAAGAAAATTAATTAAAACTGGATGGCCAGATGAAAAAAGTATGGTTCAAGAACTGGCAAAACCATATTTTAACTATTAAGAGAAGAACTATCAGAAGCAAATGGGTTAATATTTAAAACTTCCTGTGTTGTTGTACCAAGAAGTTTATGAAAAGATATGTTAAGCAGAATTCATTATGGTCATTTAGGAGTAGTAAAATGCAAGATCAAAGCAAGAGAAATATTATATTGGCCAGGAATGTCGAAAGAAATTGAAGATTTGGTATTGAATTGTCAAACATGTTTAAGTTTACAAAAAGCTACTAATAAAGAACCAATGATATCTAAAGAAATACCAAATGGTCCATGGAAAGCATTGAGAACAGATCTCTTTTACTTTCACGGAAGGGATTATCTAACAGTTATAGATTATTTTAGCAAATAGGTTGAAATTGGGCATTTGGAAGATTTGATCCATTTTTGCAAGACATGGTATTCCGAAAATAGTATATTCGGATAATGGTCCACAATATAATTGCAGGAAATTTAAAGACTTTGCAAGAAGATGGAATTTTGAAACCAGAACTTCAAGTCCAAATTACCCACAATCTAATGGAATGGTTGAAAGACATATTCAAACTGTCAAGCGAATGTTAGAAAAAGCTGTAGTTGACAACAAGGATCCATATTTAGTATTACTGGAATATCGTAACTCTCCTATTTCAGATGAAATTAAGTCACCTTCAGAATTGATGTTTCGAAGAAAAGTAAATGGATTGATGCCTATAAAAGAGAATTTCGTCCAAGCTAAACAATATGAAGACCATAAACAACATTTACTGAAGAGACAAACCTTACAAAAAAGTTATTATGATAGGAATGCAAGACCATTAAAACCACTGAAAAAAGGTGATCATGTTTACATAAAAGAGAAAGGGAAAAAACTAAATGAAAGAGGGATACAGAAGAAACAGAAAGACCACGGTCATGTAGGATTATAAGAAGAGACGGAAAAATTGTAGAAAGGAACAGAACAGACTTTCTTAAAGGAAATAATCAGAGAGAGTTTGCAATACAAAATAACTATGAGAATGAAGTTATAGATGAACCTGAGATACCTGAGAATAGCAGGAGCACTACAAATTTAGATGTGCCTGTAAGTCCTTCAAAACCTAACAGAAGTGTTGGGTTACCAAATAGTGAACGTATAGTATCATCAAATTTTTCAACTATGTTACTCAAATCTGGTAGGACTGTTAAGAAACCTTATTATTTAAAAGAATATGTTTAATTTTACTATTATTATTTTTGATAAAAAAGGGAGATGTTATATATGTAACTGTATCTATTATAATCTTTAATCATAACTGTAATATAGAATAGCAGATGAGCAATGCAGAATAAATGATGTTTGTATACCTCTTGGTAATCATCACTGAGCACATACCCAACATATAAAAAACAACACAATGCTCATTGCAGCTGTCTATAATAAGTTTTGGAGAAAATTATTCTGCGAGATTGAAATGCTATCACAAGAAATTTCACATGAAATGAAAAAAAAAAAAAAAAAAAAAAAAATGTGTTCATTTTAACAGTTACATGAACCTTATGAACTTTCTGAAGTTCTTTCTTTCAATCTGAACGAATAATTACTAGCAGAGAACAACTATGATATCTGTACTGAGGACACATTTCCATTCAAGGCTTGGCTATTTTTACAGTCTATTCCATCTCTTCGGGGTGACAAAAAGCTATATTAAATGCTGAAACCTGGAAAAAATGACCAGTAGGTTCAGCCATTACCAAACAAAAGTCAAACTGACATGTGCTTGTAAAATGGGAAGTCTTCAAATTAATTAAATAAATAACAACATGCAAGACTAGCTTTACAAACAGGCAACAGCATCGTCTTAAAAAAAAACTGCTCTCAATCTGTTACAGTGCTAGTAAGGTGCTCTTTGTCAGAAAATGATTCAATCTAGCATTAAACAAGTTAAACTACCTAAAAAGTCAGCAAACATATGCTCAAGGTCCAATAAGATGAAATTTCTATGCAGAGTAAAGTTAAGAGAAATCACATGTACTGAAGGGGCAGAAGTTAACATTAGTTGTGAACTCTGACATGATAGCTTGTCATTTACATGATAATGCTGCATATATAAATACCTTAGTTGTTCAACAATATCTTGCAAGTCTTCTACATCAGATCCAGTAATGTTTGCAGCAGCCAGAATTTCCCTAACTTCTTCCAATTTAGATTCCATGGCAGAAAACTCTTTAGAATAGGCTCCGGTAATGCCAGTCTGCTTAATATGGCTGGCAGCATCAAGCAGTTGTTGAGTTTGATCTGAAAAATCAGAAATGATATGCATAAAAATTGAGTATTTTATTACTCGATTTAATCAAGTATTAAACATGTTACATTTAAAAGGTAAAAGTATTTATTAGCGCCACATACACATAATGGAATTCCATTTTCATTTCCTACACAATAAATGAAAATCTTTCATTGCACCAATTCATCACTGAATACAGCGAGAATTCAGGTTCTGTTACAAATTTGATAAGGTGTCTAAACATATGAATATTTTATTCTTGAAGAGGTTGGCTGTAAAAATGTTTCAGGAACCTTCTATTAAACCATTTAAATAAATATAGGAACCAAGTGTCAACGACTACATTTTTCAAAAACGAAACAGCAAGAATAAAAACCTGAAATTGATACTTCACTCAAAATTAATAATTACATCTAAATATTGAAATAACTTAAAATGCAATTTTTAAAAAACACTAAGTCATCATAAGAGTCTGCTAATAATTACACGAATAAACATAAATTTAAATAGTGTCAGTTTTCAAGAATTCTTCATGTAAGAAAAAGGGAGGAAACAGTATTGAATAACTTTCAGTTAATGCAGAATTTTAGGTCTGTATTTAACTTTTTAAACCCGGTGGTACAGCAGTTGTACCGGGAAAATGACTTTCTTTAACGCCGGCTGTGGTACAAGTATCATACCAGCATTACCCTCCCTATTTTAGAGAAATCGCCTATCTGTAGATCTCTGCGTGGTCCATTGTCGCTACTCAGAACAGCCGCCTGCTACGCACTGTTTCCCTCTTCTTATCGGTTTGGCTAAATTTTGGCAAAAACCGCAGCTTTCGTTTCGCGGCAATATACTAGAAAATCAAATAGAAGCTATCTCTTTCTCAAACGTTAGAGCACGGTCTCATAATTTTAGTGCTAACTTTTTTAGTACTAACTTTTGCTATGATTAAAACTTCAGCGATTTTGCACGCTGTTTAAGCTAACCACATTTAATGCTTTTTAATCTTAGCAAATATAATTAGATTAATATTTTAGATTTCATGGCCTTCTAGAAAATAGGTAAAACCGCTTTTATCGTTTAGTTCCTTTTTATACTTATGAATAATAAGATGTTATTTTGCCTCTTTTTTGGGGAGTGTATAAAACCCTTAAGAACTATTAACTCGTTCGAAGTGCTTCTATTATGCAGTCAATTTTGTCTGATTTATCAAGAGATAAATAAGAGACAATTGCATGCATAATAGTTTTTGTGATTTTTCATTTATTGTAAATTAACTAAAACCAATTTATCTTTAGACCCTCTTTTAGGATAACGTCTCCTAAAAAGTATTTAAATATCATTAAAGCTCACGTAACTTCTAAATTGAATTAAAACATCAGTTACTTTACATAAAACTTTGGCCAGTTTTATTTGCTGAATTCTTATACTCAAGAGATAAAGAAAATTCATAAAAGTTTAATAAAAAAAATTTATCTTTAAAAAATTAATGTTATTTTTTCTGTAATAAGGTGCATGTCATCTTACTATTAAATGTATGAGAATTAGGATTGAATCACAGGAAAAAAAAACGCTTTCTGCTTAAAGTGATGGATGCTTTCGTGTAAACCTTTTTAAGAGAAAATTGCTCGCATTTACGTTCCTGATGAAAAATTCCACATGTAACCAACCAATTCTCCGGGTTTGATTGGATTAATTTTGTTCGCTTACTGGATTATATCAAAGCACACAACAATTATCTGTATAAGGGGAGGGATGCCTTCGCGGAAGACTTTCTAAGGGAAGCTGACTTGTATTTGCGTTACACATAGCGAAAAACATGAATACAACCCTTTAGCCAGGATTCAAACACGAGCGAGCTTTAAGTATTCAGCCACCTTTACTGCTCTACTGAATGGCCTGTAAAAAATTGATAAAGAAAAAGTATTGATATAACCGGTTTAATTTACTAACCTATATTTCTCAATCGACAGTACATAAATTAGGCATATGAGGGGATTATTTGTGAATAAATAAATTGTATTGCATTTTTCTCCACTATTTCATATTATGATGGAATTATTACAAATTTCTCATGAATTAATTTTACTCCGTTCATGATTTTCTATTTTTTCAAAGAGAAAATTTCACACTTTAAATAAAAAATACACGAGAAAATGCTTTATGGAAAATTTAGCATAAACAGTTTTCTTAATTTTGCTTTGAAAATATTCCAGGGTAATCGTTTTCATTACTGGGAGAAATATGAAAAACAGGTTTACTACATTGTAAGTGGAAACACCCAGTATGCCCTTACTTATTCTTTTGAAAATGTGAAAGATTACTCTTTCTAAAATAAATTAGAAAATATATTATGTGCAAACAGAATATTCATTGAAAATCAAATAGACTTCAAACTTTGGATATAACGATGGTTTTAGACGAAATTTCTGCCTATGAAAGGAAATTGAAGTATAATTCTTAATAAACATTTAAAACTGTTCTGAAAAATAATTTTGATGACTGCATGTATAGGTCGCAGATTTTTTTTCCCCCTGCTAACATAAACAAAAGCCAATTTTAGAAAGAAAAATTTTCTTTAAAGATATGCCTCCTTTGCCTGATAATCTAATGTAATATTTGTTAAAGTTAAATGATGAAACACAACCAATGTATCTTTGATTTTCTTTTTTATATTATAATAATAAAATTATCAAAAAAAGCAAATTTAAAGCTTTGTTATTGTTATTTAAAACTTTATTATTGCTGTAAGTTCATCTCAAAAGCTAATTGTATTGAATCTCATTCTAATCATCTAATGGTAACAAATATTATTATGAATTATTATTATTATTATTATTTCACTAATTTATTCATTATGATTATTTTGTTAATGAAAATATATTATTAAAAACCACATTCCAACATGCAGACCTACGAAGTTCGTATTTATTATATTTTGTGAAGTTTTGTTCTCGTTTTCTAATTTTTAATAAGAAAATATGCGAATATAAATGAAGTATGAAAATAAAGTTATAAAATTCATAAATTATTGCTGAGATTAATCAGAAATAGTAAATGAAATATAAACATTGCATACATTTTGTTCTAAATAAATAGTGCACTGGATGATTTCCAGTGCACTATTTATTTAGAACTTCATTTAGATGAAAGCAAAACTTCATTAGAAAATCGCAAATCTAGCAATCCATTCTAATTATGGAACAGCGTCAGACAAACATGTAAATTTTACTGCATCCATGGAGGGGACAAATGACTACTCTAATGACTTTTCTCATTCGGAAAAAGTCAAAGAGGGGGAAAAAGTGTTTTGGATCGTGCCAGTCTGAAGTCTTATATTATGAGAATTTTGACCAGGTTTTAGTAGGTTAATGACATACAAATTAAAGAATACAAGTTTAAAAAATCAACCGATATTTGTTAATACTTATAACTAGTTATATACTGGTATGTATATATATATAAATATATATTTACAGATACTTATATAGATACATTAAATATATATTTACAGATACAAACACATTATTACAATATATATCACTTAATATTCAAGGTTGCCATGAGGTGATATTAGTCCTTCAGGTTCACTAAAATAGCAATACTCCTGTTCTATTATAGTGAACGGTTTTATTCAACATCCATAATTAATTTTTCTAATATTTTAAGATAAAAATTCTAGAACTGTTTTTAGGCCAGAATTCGAAAGATGTAAATGATTAAAAACACAGAAAGAGCGAGGTTTTTGAATCTTTTAACAATTCATAGGATTTGAAGACTCAGGATATTTTGTCTTTAGATAAAATAATTTAAAATTTTAGCGTTACTGTATGATTATACAAAGCAGGAAGCCTATGCATACATTTATTTTAAATTAATTTAAACAAGTCCCCTATTAGTACAAAAATGGAATTTCAGATTCTTTCATTCTCTACAGATTTCTTTTTATACATAAAAGAATAATTTTGTAGACTATAGAAGAATATTTTGTAGATTTGATTTTACATGTATAAAATTATATAACAGCTATTTTATAAGCATAATTGATATACTTGTTTTACAGCCAGAGTGAAAGAACATCTGTTCTTATCTTTTCAACAATATTCTTAACAACGGCTAAACTAGTGAACACTGCTATTGTCTGTGTATGAGAAGATAGCCCCACCACAGTGTCTGGCAGGTGGCGGTCGCTATAGCAACAAGGCTAGTATATTTCAAGTAGGGAAGACCCAAGAGTTGCTTGCTATTTTGTTTTGGGCGACTGTTGGCTGAGGGGAAGTCAAAATTCATCTTCAAGACACCCGACACCCCTATGGAAAATGGGTCAAGGCTCATTTCTACAGCAACAGACAGCTGCAGACTAACTGGCGAGAGCTTTTCTTATGATAGACAGAGTGTAGCATCGCTATTAAGGGAATTCAGGTATGATAACTTCCAATTCTATAAGACAGTAACGTAAGAAATGAACTTGAAATTTTAAAAAAATGAGGTTCAAACTTAAGAAGATAAAACATTAAACAAATTTTAAACAATATCTGTATAGTCACATTATCTTGATGATGAACCTAATTTTTTTAAGTGCTTAATATTGTTCTGATAAAGGATAAAGTCTGAAAAGACATACTGTTTAAATTTTTTAAACATACAGTATTAAAAAAACAAAAATCCAGCCTTTTAAGTAAAAAAATTTATACAAAATTAGTATCGCAAAAGCTATGTAAATTTGAATTGAATGCTGATAACAAAGATATGAAAAATAAGATGGACTTGCACAAAATGTATAAAAAATAAAACAAATAATAAAAATAAAGAAACACCACCTACCTAGAGCCCCAACAAAAGGTTCTACAGTAGCATGAAATGATAGGAAAGATATTTACTGTGTTTACAAGGCATTCATAAAACATACAGAAAATACTTTAGGCATGAAAATTTAGGCACTTAAAGCATATTAGTTACAAAAAATTACCTTTAAGTTCCTGTAATATGGCATCCCAATTATCAAAGCATTCACCACAGGGCTCACAAAATGGAGAATTCCCAGTGTAGCCTCTTGCACAAATATCACAATGCTTTCCAGAAATACCTTCAGCACAAATACAAGTACCATCTTCTTTGCGGCACTGCAGAGTTTTGGATCCTTCACGATTACATTCACATGCTAAAAACAGAATAGTTTCAAAATTTAAAGATTTAATGTAAAAATATATTAAACAAGACTCCTCAAAATTAAATATATCTTTTAGTGTTACAAATGTAAAACTGATATCGCCGAAAATTAATGTTTCAAATCAGAAATAAATTTTAATGTGTGATTTACAGCATTTTTTGTATTTAGTTGGAAATCAGCCTTTCTTAAACTGACACTTATTTGTTATGAAAAAAAAGCTCTAGTAAAATACTATATGCAGAGTATAAAACTGAACAGAAGTTAGCTAAAATAAACTTATATTAATGATCAGTTGAAAAGAGATCTAGAACTAACTAGATAATTTAGTTTTTGAAAAATAAATTATGGAAAAAAAAAAAAAAGAAAAAGAAAAAAAAAACATTTTCTGATCATATTTTAGAAAATGTGGTAAAGGTGAATAAACACTCAAGCCCAAAACTAATTACATTTCCAGTGCAGAATGCATGCATAATATTTATCAGTAACAGTTATTTCTTTCTAACGAAATAATGACAGCACTTACGGTAACACTGCACATGTGGATTACCCCAATAATTACTTTGACATTCATCACATTTCTTTCCTCCATGTCCAGGTTTACATGGACATTGACCATCAAACTACAATACAAAATAGGAAATAATATAAATATATGTAGAGAACTTAGAAATACTATCCAGAATTGAATTTAGACAGATAAAATATTTTTAAAAAATGTAAAGCACAATGAAACATTACAAGGCAAATGTTAAAGAATGAAAAATAAAAATCAGAAAAGTAATAAGAAAATTTTAAGACATGACTAAATCTTGTTCAAAGATAATGAAATAAAATCCTTTAAAATAATGCACTCTGAAGAATTATTTAGAGAAATAACAGAAAACTTCTAAGAAATATTTCAAAATAATTTAAATTACAACATTGCCATGTTTTTTCATGATTCCTCATGACAAGGAAAATTTTAAAATCAAAGGAAGATTTAGAAAAAGACAACAGAAATTTACCTTAACATAAAATTTCTCTTCTCTCCATTCTCTCTGTTAATGGTCTGCATTATAAAGCTCACTGTTTTCTTAGATTAGAAGTTCACATTTTATTCAATGAAAATGTTACTACACTCTATGAAATTATGTTAAGTTTATGTACAAGCCTAATGAGTGACATCTGTAACTAATCTTTATGTTTACATACATACAATTACAACAAAATGACAGGTTCATATAGCTGCATTCCAGCTATATACATGGAATTCTAGTTTTGAACATTCATAGTATATTTGAAAGACAAAAATGTATGAATACTTTTTAGCCCAATTACTTTTTGAGAATAAGATTTAACTGATAATTAATAAAACTGATGAAATAACATTAATAAATTATTTGAAATAAGTAAAACAATTAAAATAAAAAATATTTCAAATAAAAAAAATTAAATTTAAAATAACCAAAAAAAATCAATAAAATAAAATATAAAATTATAATTAAAATCGATTTATATATCTTGATGAGCAGATAAGGTTATCAACCTGCTCTTCAGCATGTGAGTTATTACGCTTTCTGTATTTTGTAAATTACTATTAGTGATATCTAACATAAATAGCCTCGTTATTCCAAAATGTAGTTCACTCAGGACCTGATACATTCTGTTTTGGGATTAAAAGAACAAATCCACCTATGTTGTTGATCAAGGGTACTAATTTGAAAAATATTCAAGACCACAATTTCAATTGGATTAGAAATCGCAATGAACCAATCATCGAAGGTCTCCAGTGTTCAGATATTAAGAATATTTATTGCTATGACTTCAAAAATCTTTATATTACTTTACCATTAGAAGATATATATGACAGTCTGCTCATTCTATCAGATCCGTTTACACAAATTCTTGTCTCCAAAGAAGAATGGAAAATCTATTAAAAAAGTGTTTTGCTTCATAATTGCATCAAGTTTAATAATACTTTTTTAAACAAGTCTGGGACATTCCAATGGGAACGATCACATTTTCGGCAATTTGTAATTTGTCGCAAGAATATCAGTTCCAATGTTCACAATGAACAACATGCTTATTTATCCAACATTTATAGGTATACCTACGAGATCATTGTATTCAACAACTTTAATAAAATAGAAGAAGCAAATATTTATCCTATTTGCCTCAAACTTAATTCTCAATTTCACTCACTTTAAAAAAGCTGGCATTGTATATTAAATTACTTGTTTACAGTGATATGATAATTATTATTTAAACCTGAAAAGAAGGAAATAGTTGGATGACTTTTGAAAAGTGATTAATGTGAATATGTAATTAAAAGTCTTATCTTTGTAAATATGCTACACTTCAATGAATGCACTATTCCTTTTATGTACTTTTTACTAAAATTCTGGCATTTCTTTCCTGTCACTAAAGAAAAAAAATCTAATGTATACACCACATGACTTATCGGACGGAATATTAAATTATACACACTTTTTCTTGCATTTCATTTAAACTTATTAGATTGAATTAAATCTACTTCGCCAACAGCGCATAAACCACAATAGAATAAATGCATTCTTTAAAATTCACTTTGTTTACCATAGTGACACTCTGGCGCTAGGTTTACTTAACAGTATTATATTTCATTCATATTATAACTCAGAATGCACAAAATTTATATCATTTAAAGAATTATCTAATCATTGCCACATGTTCTATTCAAATACTATAATAAAGCTAGAACGATTTATAAAAGAAATTAAGCAAACAAAACAAAAAAGAAACAATTTTTCACAGACGATTCAGTATTTCTCATTCAATTAATTCAGTTTTCCCTTCGCGACAAGGAAAAAATACATAAAAACTCAAAAATATCTGTTATTAAAAAATTACGAAGTAAATATCTTAAACGCTTATTTCCACGAAAAAATTCCAGAAAGGATTACGCATGATTTAAATAATAAATGAAGGCGTTATCTTTGTTGTTGCGAAGCTAAGGTTCTCTAGATTGGCAACAAATCCGCTATCTTGCTGTTTCAAAGGTAAACAAGAGCAATGGCCGCCATCAAAAACATTATTAGGCTTAGCAGCACTTAAGCAATTTTAAAATTGTTGATAATTCTAAAAATATTGCATACAGATTTACTAAAGGCATAAAAACCTTAACCGGAAGATAAGAACAACATAAATTAATAATTTTTAAAGCAAAAAATGTACAATTTACAAACATATAAGAGTAAAGAAACCGAGATCACTGAGCCGGGTAACAGAGTGAATATATATATAAATATATTTATATAGTTTAGTGCGGCCGATTGCAACCAAAATACAAGGTGCACATCTACATGTTATAGCAGTCCTATATACAAAATTTCAATGTTCTGAGGCTACTCGTTTTTGAGTTATGGGAGGCACGTACGGACATATGTTCGTACATACGTTCGTACAGACGCCACGAAAAATTCTCTTCAGAATTCATTTTAAAGCAGTTTTATAATTTTTGTGGAGGAAAAGAGTGTTTTATTCTGTCCTTACATACAGATATCACGGAAATACATCGTTAAATTGCATTTGAAAGAGGTCAAAATGGGATATCTTTGTTGAAATATGCTGCCTGAAACTTTTCGCGATTACAATACTTCCTTTTTACTTCGTACAAGGAAGTAAAAAGGGCCTTTTTAGATTTCCAAAATGTATTGTAGCTCAATTATGTAAAGACTTTTGACTTTTTAAGCACTTTTTTTGTTTTCCTGAACTTTTGGTCACAATTTAAGTTTAAGATGACGTAGAATTACAATGCCATCTTTACTGGCTAGTTTCCAAGACGTTACCCAGAAAATAAGATGCCACTTTCTGGTTCAACTCATTACCTTCTACTTAGTTTGCACATTTTACACTCATTTCCAAATTTCCACCAATAGCCTCATGTCTAGAAAGAGTGGGCTTTGTTAGTTCTTTTTTGTTCATTTCTATCAACCACTACTGCTATCCCAGTTTGGGAATCACATTTCTCACTTTCTGGTAAACCCATAAGCGGAGTTCAGAAAAATTTTTAAGCAACTCTTTTCTTGCATGCATTCTTTCAACAGCTTTTGGCAGCCATTTGATTTTCTAAAACAGAAGTTTACAGAAACGATAAGTTTTTTATACTTTTACACAATTGTAGAGTGGGAAAGAAGGATCTATTTGTCCTATTTATAAAAAAGGAGACAAGCCAGAAGGTTGTAACTACAGAAAAATTACTTTACTGAATTCAGCATATAAAATCTTCTCCATTTTCTTATATAAAGGATTTCTTACATATACTTCTAATGTTATTGGGAATTACCAGTATGGATTGCAGAAGGCAAAAACAACAACTGATCAATTGCATTATATTAGACAAATCTTGGAAAGAACTAAAGAATATAACTTCAACACCTGCCACCTGTTTGTTGATTTTAGCCTATGACAGAGAAAAACTACTTGAAGCACTGTTGGAATTTAATATCCTGAAGAAACTGATAAGCCTCACAAGGATGACTGAAAATTGATATATAGAATAAAAATTTCCACATATCTTTCAGAATCTTTTTATACTGAGGAAGGATTAAGACAAGACAGGGAGACTCCCTGTCTTTCCTGTTGTTTAATATAGCTCTTGAAAAGGCCATAAGACGCATTGGAATAAACACAAGTGGAACTATCTTGCATAGAACAATTCAACTGCTGGTTTTTGACGATGACATTGAAATCATTGGGAAACCAAAATGAGCCATTGTCCAGGCATCTCGCTTGAAAATGCAGCAAAGAAAACAGGCCTAATCATTATTGAAGACAAAACTAAATTTATAATTGCATCTACCCCCTTGAAGACTAACAGTTATACCTTTGAAACCGTTAAAACAATTTAAATATCTGGGCACACTAATCACAAGTTGCAATGATATAAAAGTTGAAATAAAAAATAGAATATTTATGGCTAATAGATGTTATTACGGCCTTAAAAACAATTTAAATCCAAACTAATCACCATAAAAACTAAATTAAATTTATATAAAACTTTAATATGACCTGCTGCCCTCTACGGAAGTGAATGTTGGATACTTAACAGAGCAGAGAAAGACCGGATAACAATTTCTGAAAGAAAAATCGTAAGAAAGATCTTTGGACAGGTGCAACAAAAGGCATGTGGAGGATTCTCTATAATCATGAACTATATGGAAAATAAGGAAATATGGCAAAATTGATATTGTGAGAATCGTAACAGCATCTTGTATCAGATGGCTGGGCCATGTGTTTAGATATGATGATGCATTTCCAAACAAAAAGATAACATTTTGAAAATTGAGGGAGTAAGACAAAGAGAAAGACCACCCACTAGATGGATAGGTGATGTCGAGGAGGATTTAAGGTGAATTGGATTTAATCTATGTAGGGCTATTGTGCCGAATGGGGTCAGGTGGAGGAATATTGGAGAAATAGCCTAGCCTATGACAGGCTGTGGAGCTTATGAAGAAGATTACAACGGTAGTTTACATCAAATTTCACTTGATTCACTTTTTAGCAGTTATGCATAAATTATTCCCAAAAAAAGAAAATTCCTCGTTATGTAAAATTGAGCCAGCCTATTGTACAGTGACTGTGGATAATTCTGTCATTTGTTTTCAAGCAACTAGTTTTAGAAGTTTTTGCTTCTTTAATATCATTTTTATACTTTTAGATTTAATTAAACCAATCTAGTTAGCTCAAATGAAGGGTACTTTTAGCATTTGTATCTTGCATATTTTTTTGTAATTTTGTGTTCTTTGAGTACGAACACAAGCAAGGGAAAAAATCTGAGCGCATTTGAGACTCACTCAAAATATCATTTTTAAAATTTATGATTAATGTATTGAAAAAGGTGGTATAAAGTCCCAAATGGTTCAGAGAAATGAAACGTATTTGTAACTGATTAATCAACTTGGTTTAAGGCTTCAAAACACTTTTCCTTCGACAACTTCTGTTTGAAGTGTTAAATAAAGGAGACTGATTTTGCAGGCAATTTTATTGCATTTTGTAATTTACAGCTTCATGCTCTGCGTTTTTAAGGTTTTCTTTAACCACTTCCATTTTTTACTTTGCACCCTTCATTTACGTTTACTCGGTTTTTGTAACCATTTCCTGGAAATAAAAATAAGTCGGCCTTTATATTTTTTGGAACTAATTTTATATTTAATTTAACGTTCCCACCTTTTACTTCACAATCAATTTATTTTGATCTTGTAGCTTCAGTGCAGATTCGTCTCTTAGCATTCTTATTTAAGTTACTGCTACAATTATGACAATTCTTTAACAGTAATTTACATATACATAATCAAGCAGATTAAGTTTGCATTTAATCAACTCAACAATTGTTAGCTACATAATATGAAGAAAGCAAGCAGCATTATATAAAAGGTTGGAAAAATTTTGCATTAGTATAAATCGACATTTTGCCCCAAGATTTTCATAACATTAAAAGTTGCCTATGCAGACCAAAATGCTTAAAACTGATACACAATATTCTATTTATAAGAAAGTGAATTTTCTCTGAAAACAAAATGGGAATGTTATTTCTTCTTGAGAATATGCAAATGCATTAGTCAAAGTAAAAATACTGTTGTATGCAAATAAGACAAGCAGTGTGTGATTATGGCAAAGCTTCGAGGGCTATCTGCCTAAGGGGAGGGATATCTTCAGGGAGGACTTTCTAAGAGAAACTGGCTCATATACATATAAGACAAGCAGACTGTGATATAATTCTATATAGACAGTTCCACCAGAAAATAAAAATAAGGAAATCAGAAGTATTCTTAACATTAAAAAATAAATTAATAAAGAAATCCAAGTGATGTTTAGTAACCGCGGTGGCATTCAAGAGCACCACCAGAGCTGATGATCTGTTTTCTAAACATATCTGCTAAAATGCATTCCATCAGTCTTTAAATGCTGTTATGGGGAGCCATAATGTTGAAATTGCAAAAAACCTAACACAGAAAAATGGCATTTAAAAAATAGTTTAGATTTCTCGCAAAAGCTTAAATTAATTCCATTGTTAAGTTATTGTATAACATACACCCCAGTAAATGGTTCTTCCAGATATTGTAAGTGATGTCTGATGACTTTCTTCCCTGAAGGCTTAAATGAAATCCAAAAATGATTACTGCATTGGTTTTACAATGTGCCACAATGGAACACTGTCTCATCTATCCAAAGGATATTAGTAAAAAGGCTGACACATTTTCGACTTCGTTCATGGCTCTTGCAGTAATAGTTCTTGGTGTGTAATGAATGCCATGAAAAGGATACACATTATTCTCCTCCAAAGTTTGCCATATATGCCCTTGTGATAAGCTGCATACTCTGCTGATATTTCTTACACAGCTTTGTAGATTGAGGAATGTATATATTTGTCCCCTGCTCTTAAATGTATACTGGCAACTCTACAGGTGTACCTAAATACGGCCAGCTTAGCTATAATCTCCACTTGCATTAGCCATATAAGTAGACCATTTCACAATTTTGTTCATGAAGTGAAAGCTCACCATTTTACAAACACAGACTTACATCTCTGGTAACAGCATTTTTGTTTCCCATATGATGTTTTACTAGAAGTGTGATGTCATGTTTGCCCAGAGTCATTTTTTTTAGATGATAGCATTTGCATATTTGATAAGATGACATTAAAAAATTCTCATTTTGCTTTCACAGAAAATTCAGTTTCTGAAAGGAAAAAAAAATGTCATGCATAATGTTTGGATATTTTATGTTACACTGGAAATTATCATATCTCTGTACTCAACATGTCTTCATATTACACTGATGATGTTCCACAACTTCACACCTAACTTTTTGCTGCACTTCTCATATTTCTTGAGAGAGGATCACTAAACTTTGACTTTCACTGCCAGAGAAGCAAGTAGTCTCACCTTGTAAGGTATAGTTACTTTACTATGGACACACATTACATTCACAGTTGTAGCTTACTTTGTTCACCAATTACTTAGATAAATGAATATTACTATTCAGCCTGTACACACAACACATGCGCAAACCACTCACCATCCAAACTGTAAGATCATGAAGTAGAGATATCAGTCATCTTTATTCACCAATAATGTGATAGAATATAAGGATATTTACAGTCCTGTTCTCTTACAGACCATTAAGAAATCAGCATTCTGTATTGTTCCCATAGCTGGCAATAACTGGTTCAACATGCCTTGGCAATGAAATAAAAAGGCTTAAGCTTGAAACCCGGTGGGCAATTTAGGAAGTGTCCAGCTACACACACATTAGGTCACAAAATGCCTCATTAACCGTTTGACTGCTACGCGGTGCAAAAGTGCTGCGTTCATTTGTCTCGAAAACCCGGATCTTTGTTGCTCCTGTGGGTGTGAACGTATGTAGCCTGACCCATGCGTACTTTGTAACATGAGTGCATTCTAAAATAACTAACTGTGTCGCGGTTTTCGAGACAAATGAATGCAGCGCTTGACAAGAGACTCCAAGACTTCAGAGATAGAGCAGTGGCAGCTGAGTATACCTGCAATGCATATTATGGTGATGCAAAAGTAGGCTAATAACATCTCAAATAATAATTGTGGTTGATGGACTGGTATGGCAAGTGTTTTGATATCTGCAACTGCAGTGCCACACTAATTTCAGATATGACCATCAGTGCTGTAGGCATATCTGATATTTGCTTGAAAAGACAAATGTCATGCTATTCACATTTGTTCATGCTTAGTATTCAATGCACCACTGCAGCAAAACATACAAAATGCATCACCAAATGGTACATCACAATGCAGGTTATGCAAAAGATCTTAATTCTGATCCATTGGTGGCCAAGCAGTAATTCATGAACACTGATAGTTTGACCGTGGTTCGAAATCTAAGTGAATGGGCTGGCTACATGGGCATCATGTGGTTTCCATCAATTGGTCCATCTACCTTCCCTGCTTCTTTCACAAGCATCTACCCTGGGCCAGACAGTTTTTCACTATTACGTCTAAATCCACAAAATAATGGAAAGATCAATACATTGTTTAATAATGTTCTGCATAGTATACAGACTGGGAGAAATTAACTCCCTATTGAAAATTGTTTATATTTTTTTAATACTTAACAAATTTTCACGAAACAAAGTATTTTATTCCTTACAATATATGAGTTTATTATATATTTCACTTATGTCATTACAAGCATAAATGACAAATCATGCTGCAGTGTTTAACCTTATGTCAGTGGGCTCCGTTTGCATTTTACTATGAAGTATGGCAGCCCATGAACGAAGTATATCCTATCCGTGTGCAACTCGACACCAATTTTCCAGCATGCTGGTTGAGATCTCTGAGGTCCCTGGAATGGTCTGCAAGGAGTCCTGACCTAATGCCCTGTGACTTCCTTTTTTTGTGGGCATAACTGGAAGTTTATCATATAAAATCAAAAACTCTGATGCACTGGAAGAGTGAATTCACCAAGTTCTTACAAATGTACTGCAGGAGTATCTAAGAAGTCTGTCACATATATCCCCAACTGTTTACAAAAGCTAGTGAATAATGGGGGTGCCTATGTGAAATTTTAGCAATGCATTACAAATCCTACATTATAAGGAACAAAATGCTTTTTGTTTCAAGAAAATTTGTTAAGTATTAAAAAAGTTACAATTTCCAACAGAGAGTTAATTTCCACCCAACCTGTATACTCTATTGAACATCATTAAACAATGCATTTATCTTTCCATAATTTCATGGATTTAGACTTAGTAGCAAAAACCTTCTGGCCATGTAGAGACACTCGCAAAATAAACAGCTGTTTCAGCAGTACATGCGTGTTTGTGCCTTTCATTGCCAGAGGATTAAGTTTATATTTCATAAAAATACTTTTATATAGTGACAGATGAATAATAGAAACAGTTGGAAAAGTCCAAATTAACATTCCTTTGAGAAATATACATATAATTAAATAAAATCATGAAATGTTAAAAAAATTGAAATTACCAAATTACACAGTTAATTTTATAACAATTATTGTAAACTTTTATTCACAATTAGACCATTATTTTAAAAAATGTTCTTAACATTTGAAAAACAGAATAAAAATAAATAAAAATTACTTCATTGCATTCAAATGCATAAGATCCCAGGCTGTCACAATCACAATGTACACATCCTGCTTTGCTACTTATATTCCAGTGATTTGGTAGACAACGATCACATGAAATACCAACTACATTAGGCAAACATGGGCACTGTCCAGTTTTACCATCACAATAACCATCCACATCAGAAGTGCCAAGAGAGTTGCAGACACATTCTAAAAATACATTATAGCAGAATGATATATACATGTTAAAAACAGCTTAAATATTTGTGGTACAAGGGAAACAAAAAAGTAACATCTTTAATTAAATACTAACATAATCAGAAAAAATTACTTTAAATAATAATAAATGAAAATGAGAAATCCATGCACTTCTCATGAATGCTTTAAATACTGTTCATAGTTTTTTCCTTCAATTACTGATTTTTACAAATTGTCCAACAAAGCCAATCATTCACATAAAACAAAGATTATTTAATTTTTGCAGAGTACTTCAGGCTGCACAGTAAGACACCTTGTATATTTTTATAGTCAAATATTATCTACAGTCTGCTAGAAGCTCAATGTCAGTAACACGTACTGCTTGTAGCAGCAATAAAAAACTTTAAAATTCTTTTAAAAAATTCATTTACAATTTTACATTATGAATAATAATAGAAGTGCACACCACTCTCAATAAATTTATAAGGATATTGGCTTATATTTTCAAGATTGCAATTTGAATATTAGATTTTCTTATTCAGGCATCTTATGCCCTTATTCCTGACAAAAATTGCTGACGAATTTTTTAAAGATAATTATTTAATCTCTTCTTGCCATTAAAATATATGATAACTTATTTTTCAATTTCAATAATTATTTTCCAAGTTTTAAATAAAAGTTATTTGACAAAAGCTTTTTTTAAAATTTGTATTTTCATCTTTTCAGTCTTAATAATGGTATCAATCAATCATTCAATAAAAAGTATTTTATTTTAACAACGAATAATCACTCTTACTTTCATTGATTATCTTTTTTTCACAACATTACAATTAAATACACTAGCTGTAACTTGCATCAAAATTTATGTACCCTATTAGTTATTAAAAAATTAATGTAATTGATCTTGGACATGAGGCTGATATTCTCTCAACATTCTTTAATGCATTATAAATGTATTACTTTTTTCCAGTTAGCTTTGTGCTACCCAGCTCCTGAATTTTAAATCCTTACAATGATTTTACTCTACTAACAGCAATATGCTTGACATTTTGAGAAAGTTATTTTTCTGAAGTAAATTAAGACATCTGGCACACCAGCCCAATACCTGGTTGCCTAGTCTAAAAGAATTTTATAAAACCACTTAGTTTAATATTTTTTCTTTTTTTTGGGGGGGGGCTCATTTGGTTTAAAACAGGATGAAGAGTTTGTTCTAAAAGCTGTGGAAATTTCAAATCTTTATAACAGATACATTTTTAGTTGTTAGAATTTTTAAAGTGCCATAATGTTACATTTCATGATAGAATTACAAATTAAATTAATAAAACTACAGAAGATCAGCTTTTAATATGAAATGCTGGAAAAAGTGCATACAAACTTATAAAATGCGAAAAATTAAAAATGGCACCATAGATTTCATCGCATATAATTTTAAATACTAATCAATCGTTATACTCAAGTGTTTTTGAGAGCAATAAAAGGAAATTAATAATAAATATAAAACGTCTATGGAAAAAGGGGGAAGAAATAGCCTTTAATAAATGCTAGACTTCCAAAATAAGGTTAATTTCTTTGCAAGTAAGGGGGGAAAAAAGGACATTGAAGAACTACAAATTCTGTCTGCAGCACACATTAATAAAGTAGAAAATTGACCAATATCTTTTTATTATTCTTATTTTAACAGAGAAATTTGTTTCATAATGTGTACAAATTTCAAAACTCTATAGCAGATACAGTCTGTTTATCACAAGAACGGACTTGACCTCATCTGTTAAGAAAGGGCACAGTTCACAAACAGGAAAGACACACAGAACACATCCAAAGTTGTGAACAAGTGAATCCAAATTTCATTGTTATATAGAATATACTACTAGCAAAAGTAAGATGCTAGGATCGTTTGACACCACGTGATGAACAAGTCTCTTTTCATGGTAGACAAACAATATATTATAATGTAGAAATTTTAAAATAATGGAATTAAATAGTCTAAAAGAAAATCGAGCAATGTTCCAAAATTTCCCAAAAAATCATCCAATAGTGAAACACTAAAATACAGACATTTTTTAGTTTATTCCCTAAATGAAGATACGCACAAAAAATCGTTTCATGACCACAGACTAAATGCCACAAGTAAACCAAATACAAGCTTATATGATGTGCATAAGGAATAAACAGACTACGTTTCAACCAAATAAATAAATCACTCATCCTAAAAAAAAATTTAGCCTTCAAAACACATGGGTTCAAGATAATTTTTTTTCTCATACTATCTGCTAGGTCTGACCAAAATCTGAGCTCTAACAGCTCAATAGCTTCATAAGTACTGTTAGTTTTTATAACGCAAGGTTTTTCAAGTCCCTTTAAGTATAAATGTAATACTATAAGACCACAAAATTTTATTATATTTATGAAGATTCAGAATTCAACCAAGAAACAACCTTTTCAGTTTCCCTGCATGGCTTTAAGTCGATCATAAAACTGCTGGCCAGTGTGGTCAAGGCTCCAGGAGTATAGAATCAGATAGCCCCAACCTTTTAGAAACTGATTAAGCTTCAGAATTCCAGTAATAATGGGATGCAAACTGTAGATAGGATCTTTCAATGATGTTAAGGCACTCAGAGAATCTGTGTAGACATGAAATTCCTAGAATGTTCTTTTGAGAGGAAATGTCAAGCCTGATAAACTGCAATAAGTTCAGAAGTAAAAACCGATAAGGCTGGGTGTGATGAAAACACAGGAACGTGTTTTTTCCACTTTAAAAGCAGCACCAACATGGTCTTGTGATTCAGAGCGATCTGTATAGAGGGCGAGATAATTCCAGTATTTAAGTCTGCTCCACAAAGATTAACCTATATCTATATTTTTGAACGTGTCAAGAAGTAAATTTTTCAGATCTCCAATGGTGGAATTTCAGATTCGTTAGTTATGTACTGATATTAGACATTTTGTATTGCTCTAGCGAGGTGCCTACTCTTAGACCAAATGATGGTATACAAGATGGTCATGCCTGATATGAACGACAATATGAATCATTGAGTAAATATGTAAGCGAACGGGATTCTTGATTTGTGATATGATTTTATAAGCGTGCTAGAGACAATGATGTTCCCGTTTAAATGCAGGAAATTCTCGCAGCATATCACATACAGGCTTTTCCACTGAAGATGTTCTAAAAGTAACAGCATAGACCAAACTACTACCATTTAACTATCCTATTCAAAGATGGTATTTGTAATGCTCTCTCACTATATTCCAAGTCTGTTCCTGACAACTAACTTCCAAGTCAGCAACATAATGCATTCCATGGACTGTTGGTGAAAGCTATATAACACATTGAGGACAGCGTGTACCACCGTTGGCTCACATGAAAATGGTTTATCTGGCAGTGTGTACCACCAGTGGCTCACATGCAGATGGTTCATCTGGTGGTGTGTACCACCGGTGGCTCGCATCAGTTATAGTTTTATAATACACTTTTGTTAGATGAAAAAAAAGTTCATGCGGTTAAAAATAACTCTTTTATTAAAAACTTGAAAAGCTTATTTTTACAGGTAGATTATAACAGACTGAATTTATTTATTTGTTTTTGTGGGCCTTTTTTAAAAGATTTTAAACATAGTGGTAGTTCACCTTCATATAATCAGAAAAAAACATTGTAACCCTTTTCGATTTATTTGCAGCAATGTTTCTACCTCGTCAAGCAGGTAAGGATTTATAACATTCACGGCATCGTTTCCGTGACTTTCTTGCAGTTCTGGAATACTTCTCAAGAAAATGTGCAGTTCTTCTTTTAGGAGTTTGTGGTTTAGTATGCATTTCATCCAGGAGACAATCAATAATACTTTCTCTAAATTTAAAAATATTAAAATGCTTGGCACACCACCTCTTATGAATATACCCCGCATTGACAATTGATGTTGCACAAATCAATTCTATGATAAGTTTTCTGTGCCACTTAATGGTTATGCATAAGGAATTGTAATATGATGCAATTTGATCAGATATATCAACGCCCTTTTTTGCATTATTGTAGTCAAAAAGAGCATCAGGGTCTAGTTTACCACTTGTTCCTTCAATCATAGAACAAATATGATTGTCACAAGCAGTTAACATGCAAACTGACCATTTGTCTGTCCATTTAAAAAAAGTCAAATCCTTTAGGATTTTCAACACTCAAAATGTCACTTTGTTTCTGTTTTAGTTTTGCTTCTGCACGTAGAAATTTTCTACTTACTTTTACAGCATCACATAAATTCGTTGATTTATCTAAAAGTTCTTCAGTTAAAGGCACTGCCGTCTGGTGGCTCGATATAGCAAAATCTGCACTGTCCTCAATGTGTTAAAGATGAGTATTTATTTTGAAGCTAATTAGAGTGACACTTAGTATACTGTGTTGCAGAACACCCTTTTCTTTATACAGAGATTACAGAGCTAATCTTTCCCTGAAACTTTTGATCTTGTAAGAAATGCACTGAAAACAGGCAGATTTCCTCGTCAGTCACTCCTGTACATGTTGCAAAGGATGCTGTACCTCATCCAGTTTGCAAAGGCAGCTAGTTAAAGCGATGGGGTGGTAACTGGATTTTTAAGGGTCTTTTCATGGTTTGGCTATTGAAATAACAAAAGCTTTTCTCCACTCACTGGGAAATACATACTCTTTCCATACTCTGTTGAAAAGCAAAAAAAAAGGGCTGTCAATAACTTAACAGGAAGGTGTTTTAACACAGGATAACCAATGCCATCAAGACCAGGACATGATGTCCTTGTCTGTGACAAAGCTCTTTTCAACTTCAGCATAGTTAGATCTTGATTATGAAGTTCAGGAGTGGACATTTGAAATCAAAAGACTGTTTTCAAAGTGTTGCTTTGTAAAAAGGAATGCAGGATGATAGTTACAGCTACTTGAGATGGCAGAAAATACTTCTCCAATGGTATTAATAATTCTTTTCCAGCTGCTTATTATATCACCATTTCACTTTAAAATGAAAAGTGTAATCTTTGTATATATCAGACACTTTCTGAACTCTTCCCAATAGCTTCTACTCAAAGAAAAAGAATTTATCTATGAGGTCTGATTTGGTGGGATATCACTAAAAAAATGTTTCAGGCTTTTCTTTGTTTTCTGATGACATCATGGCATTCAGAATTCCATCAAGGACTTAGGTACTTTGGGAATTTTAGCGATGATTTCGGAATAAATATTTCAGCTGCTTGAACAATTTAATTGGCAAGAATCCTCACAGCAAGATCAATTTGCACATCTTTTATCATTTCTTCAATGACATAAGCATGCTGAGAGAAGGTATCCCAGTCCATTTTATCAAATTAAAATATATATGATTGGGAAATGGTCAATACTGAATGAATAATTCCTAATATTACTGGAGCAGAATGGTAGAAGATAGGAGAGATAATGGCAAGGTCAATCAAGTCAAAGGTCTTTATTGGCTGATAAAAGTATTTTCTGCATTGCTGAGGATACAGAGAAAATGATTATAGAATAGTTGTTTGGTTTGCTTTCCTTGTGGATTCGTATTTCTGCTAGATTTTGAGTGTGTCCATTGAAATCACCATAATAAACGGTACTGGTAGCTAGCATATTAAATTGTCTAAATCTCTCTAATCAACACCCTCATTTGTTGGAAGACAGATACTACAAACAGAAACCAGTGCCAGATGTTAACTGTACAGCAACTACTTGAGAGGCTGTAATCAAGGGAACGGCATTTGAACAGTCAGTAGGGGTAAGAAAGACTACAACACTACTTGCACATCTGTCGAGTGTTGTCGTTTCTTATCATTGAATATCACCTATGCAGCTTTGCTGGATTATTAGGTTTAAGGGATGTCACTTGCACTGTAATACAAACAGGTTGATACATATTAATAAGCTGTTTAATATACTATCAAGACCCTGGTGGAAGGCAGAAAAATTCCATGATATCAGGATGCCCATTAAGAGTGCTTATTATGATGATGCTGTTTCTTTGTTTTGTGAAACATGTTTTGGAAGATCTGTGCCACTGTTTCCAACTCGGATTTGATGAAATCAGAAAAATAAATAATTAAATTCCACAGAGCTTCTGTTTCTGGAGCTTTCAACTTTCTTTTTTGAGCTGCCCATTCCTGCACTTTTATTTAAAAGCTCTATGTTGCCTGTTTGAGGGAAAGATGATTTAAAAACTTTTCACTCCCAATTATTTTCAGTTTAGGTTTTTTTTTTTTTTTTTTTTTTTTTTTTTTTTGTATAAGATGTTTGGGTACTTAATGAGTGATATGATTTGCTGTCTTCAGTATACGAAATTTTTTATCTTGATTGACCGATGTTAAGCAGTTTCTTAATTTCAAGGATAGGGTTTTTTTTATAACTTTTACATGCTGCATTTTTCTCTTCTTTCCATTTAGAGCAGGTTCATGACGGTCTGCATGACAAATTTTCCACATAGATCAGCAATGCAGTCCTGACTTTCATGACTGGTCAGATAACAATGAGCACAAGCCAGGTTTCCAGGGCATGAGGCCTTTGCATGTCTGACTGCTGACATTGAAAACAGTGCAGTGGGTTGAGCATGCAAGGTCTCATGGGACAATTCAGGTAACCCGACTTTATGGACTTCGGCAGCTTTGGAGATGAGAACATCCAGAAAATATGTTTTGTGCTAACAAGTTGCCCATTCCTATGGATTTTAATTTGGTGAGCCCCCACATGTTTTGCTCACACAATTCTTTAAAATGTTCTATCTCAAAGACTAATATCAGGTCTATTTCTGAAATGACACCTGTGGACGTATTCGAATAATTAAGTGGAGGTATATTAATAAAATGCTTCACCATATTTGTCATTTTTAAGAGAGGACTGTGCATCAGATATTGTCTCTACATGCAGAGATCCTGAACGGAGCCTTCTTTATGCTGTTTTGGTTTGTCAGCCAAGGCCACAATATACTTCTGTATGAGGAATAGTGATAAATTTTCTATTTGACCAGTGATGACCAAGAACTTAGGACATTTGATGCACTTGCTAACAATGGCAGAAATGCATAGTCTGAACAGTTCCAGAAATTTTTATTACCATGTGACTGGGAGATTCGTTTGGTTTATGGCAAAGCCTTAAAGGCTATCTGCCTAAGTGGAAGGATGCCTATGTGGAACACTTTCTATAGTAAACTGGCTTATATACATGTTAGCGTGCTGAAAACAACAAAAACACCTATGCAGCCAGCCCATTCATGAGATTCAAACCTTGGACTGAACTGCTAGTGTTCAGCTACTTCATTGCTCGGCCACTAGTGGGCCTGTGACTGGAAAAGGAATTTAAAGTTTGCATATAATAAAGAGAAAAGATTTAAACTTGACTGTCCCACCCACCATGGAGCCCAAGAGAGGAAAACAGATACCTGCGTTACGGTTAGGCAGACCTTACACATAGGCTGAAGTCACAGCCAGCTTTTCAAAAGGCAGGAATTTCCAAAAGCTTATCCCCAAAGCACAGGCATGAACTATTATGACACTAACGGACTATGACACTAACTATCAGCTAATGACTAATGACACTAACTATCAGCTGATTGACACTAACGGAGACAGCTCAGTGCCTGAATAAATACAGAAAGCAACACCATACAAACAGGAAGTTTTAAACAAAAGCCTGAGGGAGAATGGCAAAAAATGAGAAAAGCAATTATCAAGTCTACAAAAGCTTATGAATGAAATGCTAGTAGCATCATACCATTGGTGCATTGAGAAATACGGCAAAGCACACAAGGGCCATTTGCCTGAGGGATGCCTTCGTGGAGGACTTGCTAAGGGAACTGGCTCGTATACACATTACACATGGGGAAAACCACGAAAACGCCCATGCAGCCAGCCCGTTTGCGGGATTTGAACCTCGGACCGAACTACCAGTGTTCAGCGATTTTACCGCTCGGCTGCTGGTGAGCCCATCATACCATAGGAATGTTAAAGAGAGGAATACTGGGTTATTGGATATGCTGAACCAATGAAAGCCAGATTATTGGATTTTTTACTGTATTTAACGGTTACGCAGTGATCATATTATTAGAATGTCAATCAGTACTGATGTTTACATTCTCAGAAACATTATCACTTTCAGAAAAGGTTTTCTTAGCAAGGTGGTCACATCAGAATTTATTGTACTATATGTGAATCTGCAACCATGTTATACTGATGCATCCTAAATCTAAAAAATTCAATTGTCAATAGCATTAACAATAATAAAATAGAAACCTGAAAAATGTGTAACAAAAATGAATATTTTAAATTTTAATAATTAATAATGATATATTTCATTACAAAAATATCTATATCATAAGAAACTTCTAAGAAAACATTTATTATTACAAATGCTCACTTAAGCACTCTTGTCTTGTTGCATCACCATAAAATCCTTCTACACAAAATTCACAGTGGGGTCCAGCAGTGTTGTATAAACATTTAAGGCACTCTCCAGTTTGTGCATCACAGTTTCCAGGGACAGTTTCATCAATATTCCTATTGCAATCGCACTTCTTGCATTTTCCATTAGGAACTGTAGGATCTCCATAGTAATTATTAGCACAACGATCACATCTTTCCCCTGAATGAAGACATAATTCACATCATAAAATAATTTAAAACATATAGCTCACACAACTACACTTTACATAAGTTTTAAATTTTCGAGAAATTCCCTAAGGGGAGGGGGGGGAGGAATAATTTTTAAAAGTTACAACTTCAAAATTAATGAGAAAATCCAATGGCAATTCATACGGCCATACAACTTTAACAGAAAGATGGAAAATATTTAATTTTTATATTTTGATGTCATAGATGAAGCCTGTAGTTTCTTTGTATGAACCTGTAAATGTTGTTTTACCATTCTTCATCATTTCACCATCATCTAAGAATCGTTATGTATGATTATCTCGGAAAAGCGACAGGGGAAAAATCAAATTCTAAATGTCTTACACATTTTGCATGCAGAATTTCGGAGAAGGAGTGCTGGAGGTTTAAAAAACATGCCTGTAAGAAAGTATTCTCTGTGTTTCCCAATCCCTTTTTTTGAACATCTGAAAATGTTTTTGCAAATAGCTTCCAGTCCAGTGCAGTTTAAAATTGTACATAAAAACTTATTTTCCCTTAAATATTGCATGCCAGTACAGTCCTCAACAGAAGCCAGTAGATGAACAAGATGATAGTAAAGCTGAAGGCCAGAGAACAACAAATAAGTCATTGGAATGTGCATATATGTTGTTCAGTGATAAAATTAATCATAAAATTTGTTAGAAACCACTGGCATCACAGATTTGTGCAGTATTCTTTACATTATCAGAAATGATGTAAATATGGTTTTGAAAGAAAAACAATATTTCTTTTGTTCAATGAATATTAAATATTGAATACTACTGAAATTAAATCAATTTCTGAAACAGTCAATTAAGCTACTGTATCTTTACAGGTTCAAGCTTGGAAATTATGCAGAGGCTGCAGTAAAAATCAGCAATATCGCTTGAGCAATAAAGGTGAAGGAACAATTAATGAGAGAACCACATACCACTAGTTAAAAAAATTTTGGTCAGACGCTATGAGGCTATGAAATGAACCATGTGGTTATATTTCTTTCTTTACTTATTCAAATGAGCTAAATTACTCAATTGAATCAGATCAATGACAAAATGTATCACAGATTGCACAGACACTAGATGTATACTTATCAACTGTTTCATGCAAATGGCAATAACAGAAAATATAAAGAAAACTGACAATCAGGTGTCAAGTATTTGGCAGAGGAAAAGTGTTTGGAAGTGTGCTCTTCTTTCTGAGCAAAAGTAAAGAAAGATCACTGTGGATAGAAAGTGGATATTTTACAATAGACATACAAGCTTGCTGCAGTGGTTGAGAGGGACAGATGCTCCAAGTACTCCAAAGTTCCTTTGCACCCAAAGAATACACAGTTTACAGCTCAGAAGTCTGCTGGTATCATATACACTTCCTTAAATGAAATGATAAATGTAGCCTGATTTCCTACATGCATGATAAACTGTGGCTAGTGAATATAGCCCAATTAGCATATGTGAAAACAGGATTAGGACCTGGCCACATATGGCAATAGCAACTATATAGCAAATAAACAATTTGGGATATGAAATTGTGCTTCTTCCTTTATACTCTCCTGCTATTTTTCCAACAATTACCATTGTTCCAGCACTTCAGCCATATTTTTGTCCAAGAAATACTTTACCAAAGATGTATCAATTTATCAGGTAGTGGGTGATGTTTATCAATTTTAGAGACACTGGTTTTTCACAAATGTGGTATAAATGACCTTGTCATGCATACATTGGTAACAATGGAGATTACTTGTGATTAAGCAAGCATTCTTATTATCAAATTCTTTTTTAATTTCACTTGAAACCAGGCATTTCTTTTACAATAATCTAATAATATTTGACATTCTTAAAAATACAAATCCATTTAAAGTTTTACTTCAGTATCCTGCATGGAAGTGGTTTACCTATGAAATAAAACACTTTTATAGGTTACTATAAAAGGAAATGGTGCATAGAAATTTTATAAACATTTACATTATTGTGGCAGCCAATATCATATAAGTAAACAATGAAATTAGAACTTAGCATTAACAGCTATGCCAAAATCCAAAAAAAATTGTACAGCTGATTATTTTCACGAGACTATTGTAAAAACTAAATTTACCTCACACTGCAAGACAGCATTCATTTGAAGAGCTATACCCTAAAATTTATAAAATACCTTTTCCCAGATATCGATGAGTAAAAAGTGCAACTGCTATGAGTTAAGCATTATAAGAAATTTATATAGTGGTAATATTTTTGTAAATATTATAGAGGGGCAACATTTTCTAAGTATTCATTTTAAAACAGATTATTTGAAACATTATAAATTAAAATAGTAGCATTAGTTGAGCTCTACTAGATGCCAAATTGTTAAAACTAGGTACTTTCACAAAGTACAGTTAAATTTCCTATCAGGATAATACTTAGAATAATTTCTTAAATTAACACTTAGCAGAAAAAACTGAATGTATAAGTTTCCCCACACATAACAAAAATATGAACCAGTTTCTATAAGAAAGATCTCCATCAAGATTAGGTTACTGGAATATGCCAAAACACATGAGGTCTCTCTGCCTACAGAGTGGGACACCTTTTTGGAGGCCTTTCTACAGCATATTAGTTCATATTCATGTTATACATGAGGAAAACCAACTACATGAGGAAGCCTACCTATTCACCTAGGATCAGACACTCAGCATTTAGCTGTGTTAACCATTTGGCCATGGTGGAGCAGTCACCATTAACATAATTGTTATCAGGCACCAAGTCCTCATGAAATTAGATATACTTTAAAACAGCCTACTGTTAACTGAAATTAACCACCCAAACAAGATAGTGATTAGTGATGCTGTACCTAAAGAACCCAGGCTCGAAAAGACATATAGATATTTGCAAATATACAGTGTCTGCGTGGCAAAGTGGCACTCAAAATACGCAGTAATCTGAAATCCTTTCAAAAGACTGGTGGCAGGGAAAGAGACATAGAAGAGTCTGACACCCCCTGTGGAATTTCTGATGATTTGGCATGGGCAGAAGATTAGCAATTAAAAACACCTGGCCATACCAATATGCCTGCATCCTCTGTGATTGAATTAGGCACATGCATAAAGCTTTTGTGATTTTTTTCATATTTGACTAAAAGATGTGCTAGGTTTTCCTTAGAAATTAGACATAAAAACATTTTTTTATGGAAGATAGCGTCCATGCTACCGAAGAGACTAACCTAACCACTTTTTAAGAACCATGACCCTGTGTCATTGAAACAGATTTCATGATTAGGTTTAAAACGAGATAAGTATAGTTAGTAATATAATATATACAGCAGCATACTTAACAAGTAACTAAATGACATTTCACTTTAAAAAATATGCCGCATTATTTTGAATTTACTGTCAAATTATGATTTACAAAAATAGTGAAATAACTTTTGAACATGGAAAGCTAAAGATCGATAGCTGTTTAGAGGTGAATATAGCAAGTTGTAATCTAATCCCCCGAACTATTAGAGAGAGTGAAATATGTACCAATTTAGCATGAAAGACTCCCTATATGCAGCAACTTGAAAAGATGTTCTGAAATGCAGATCCCTCAGTATCCAATCACAGGCATAAAAATGTCTCTATTCTGTGGCATTTTTATGGCAGATGCAGTAAAAAAAAAGTATGCTGATATGTGTTAGTTATATTAATAAAACTAACACATGTCAGCAAAGTACGAATTTATTAAAGTAATAAATTGATATAATAGTAGGAAAGTATGAAGAAAAAAACAAAAAAACAGCCTAAAATTAGAAAACGTCAGTATTAATAGTTAAGCATGCTTAATGTGACCACAATCCGCAGCAACACATATCTATAATCAAGCTACAACTTATATCTGATGTTCTGTAGTACTTCAGATGTTATATAACAATGCTTCGATATGGATTCATAGATTGTTAACATAGCTGGATGGCAAGATTTGATGCCTGAAGCTTTATTTGGTCTTCGATATAACCACAGAGGTACAGTAGGGTTAGACAGGATAACCTCAGTGTCATATACATATCACTTCCATAACTGATGACTTAAAACTGTGCAAAAAAGAAGCTTCACACTGATTCCAATGATGCTGGGAGATGCTGAAACCACACAAAATACAGATGGAGTAATAGCAAGTTATCTGGGAAATAAGGTACTGTTTGCAATAGCTCAAAGTATCCTCAACCAGAAAATATTCTGTTGTAAACACAGGTCCTATGAGGCAACTGCTCCAAAACCTATACCAGACACTGAGAAACAGCTGCATCCAATGCCTAATCTCTTGTTGCCATAATGACATCTCATGTGCCTAATAATGCAAGTTGTTTCAGTTCAGCCCTCTGTTGTAATTATTTGTCACATCTAACCAAACAAAATTACCTAAGAAATCCATCTAAACAATCAGTATGTTTATTGACTTTAAACAAGTCATCATTTCTGATAATCTCTTGGCAGCAATCCCTGCATTAGTGTTACAATGTATGGGTAATTTCTGAATTCATACACAATTTCCAATTCACAGCAAATATAAGGCCATAAACTGCAGCATGGGTGAATTAGCACGTAGGTCATGATGCCCACTAGCTGCAGGTACACATCTGCATCAGCCAGCTAACATTAACAGGAACAACTTTAAAACTATAATTTTTTTCAATGAAAACAATATGGTAAATCCTTGTGTATGGGTGATTTATATTAGGAAGACATCTCAGAATACTGTCATATGGCATGAGTATTTTCAAACAGAAATGTGTGCAGTCAAAAGGACCAGAAACAATCTGACGGTTCAGCTTAAAACTGAACAGATGTGCACATGAGACAAGGCTATTTAAAAGGGTTCCAAGAAGATTAATTTTTCTTGGAACTCATTTTCTTTGCATTTTTTCCTGCTAGTGTTTTTACACTTCATGATCTTGGAAAGTTTCAATGAATTCAAATGAATATATTTTATCCTTTTTTTTTCTTACTTTGCATCTTGTTTTTTGTACGTGAATGTGCATTACTTGGGAATAACTGGAACTTATTCTTCCTTATTTCAGTTTTCCATTTAAACAAGAATAATTCAAGTACTTACCCCATAAAGTTTAGGACCTGATTAAAAATTACATACACTGTTTGCCTTCTAACAACATTACACTTATAACATCTGCAATACCTACAAAATATTTTCATTTGCATGAAATTAAAAAAAAAAACCCTGCATTAAGTTATAAGAAAGCTAAGGATCAAATATAATAAAGAAATGTATTTAGAACAGACTAAGATGTATACACAAAAGAAAATTTTACAGAAAACAGGCAATGACATACAGATGGCCCAAACTAAATGCAATCCAAGAATGAAAAGAATATATGTTTAAAAAATGACAGAAAATGCAAGCAATGAAACTTTATTACATTTACTCAGTTTCCAAGGAGTTTACTCTAAGTTTATTCTATTTACTCAGTTTCTCAGTGTTTTTGCTGTTGAAATTCATTTACCACATGCTTGATTAAACTGTCTGAGATTTGTGAATCAGTAAACTTATTTTCATTGCTTTGCATAATGTTTGTACGAGGGCCATCCAGGAAGTAGATTACGTTTCCGTCTGTGTCCGCTAGGGGCGGGGCTAGCGCGGCCATCGTGGGGTCAGAGTGTTGCGCAGCTCAGTCTGCAGCTAGCCGTGCTGTGAGAGGTTCGTGCTGTGCTCCGTTCAGATAACTGTGACGGTTTGAAATGTCTGCGTTATTGAAAATCCCGCGATGCGCTCAGTAATAAGGTTTCTGACTGCAAAAAACTGAAACCGATAGAAATCTATCGGCAGCTTCGTGAAAGTGTATGGGGACAACATTATCACTGAGGTGGAGTGCGTCAGTGTCATAAGATTTCAAATGGCCGAACCAATGTTCACGACGAAGATCGAAGTGGGAGACCCAGCATAGTGACCGCCGCACTTCTCGAAAAAGTCGATGCTAAAGTCCGTGAAAATCGAATTTCACAATAACGGAACTTTCTTTGAGTTTTCCCAAATTTCGCGAAGTTTGTTGCACGAAATCATCAGCGAAAAGCTTGGTTACCACAAGTTTTGTGCAAGATGGAAGGCAAGAAGAGGTAACGAAGTGGTTGAAGGCGCAGGCGGCCGAATTTTTCGACGAAGGAATTTCCAAGCTCGTACATCGCTACGATAAATGCCTTAATTTGTATGGTGACTATGTAGAAAAGTAGTATTTGAGTGTGGCTTTCATCTGTATATAATAAAATTTGTTTCCTATACTTTGCTTATTTTTTTATTCCAAAACGTAATCTACTTTCTGGATAGCCCTCGTATTTAAACATTTATAAACTCATTTAAAATATCTCAAATACAATAAAAAATCATACCGGCATATCCAACATCACACAAACATATAACATTTTGTGTTCTGGGGTCTAATTCACAACTGTTTGCATGGCTCAAGCCACTATCTACTGTTCCAGGGCAAGGGCAGGGACGGCATGGAATGCCTACTCCAATTCTTGGATCTCCATAGTAACCTGTGTCACATCTAAAAAAGGTTAAATAAATTATTGGTATCATTACATATTCGAGTAGGGGATCAAAACATTTAAAACATCAATATTTGAAGTAAATCACATTTTACACAACACGCAGCACATTCCAGCATAGCTACCTGAAAGGGAAAAGCATGACACAAATTACTTATATTTACCCAAAAACATGTAAAAAATGTTTTAGCAAATGAGTTCCAGTGCCTATAAATCATATGAAATACTGTTAATGTATTAAAATAATGGCTAAAAGAGACCGTTCAGTTTCACTGTTTACTGGAATTTAAATCCATGTCTAACTACCAATGTTCAGCAGTTTTAACACTCAGCCACTGCTCGACATCAGCACAAAAAGTTTTATCATGCTATATCAGTATGCTTAACAAGACATAGAAAGAATCATACAAAATCACACAAGACAAAAATGAAATACCAATTAACTAAACGGTGTCACTATGGATTACCAAAATAATCCAATGTTTAACAGAACTCCAGCAGTAAGAAGATATGATTTTTTCCATAGAACAATAAATATCTTATGCACTATATTCCCAGAGAAGATAGTCAATAAGCAGCAATACACATTTTTAAGACCAGCTTTAGAAAAACTGAAGTGACATTTTCAACACAATCCTCTAATCATTTTACATGATACAGCTTGAGACATCAAACATACTCTGGCTGATTTCTTTGATTAATGGAGATCAGAAGTGAAATACCATCTATCATATTCAATGAAAATGCCTCCAAATTTGTCTTAACTTACATCACTATGACTGTTGTCAAAGGCCTAGGAATGAATTACTACAATAACTGAGCATTATTGTAATGATGAATGAGATACACACTTATATGATAGACACAAAAAATAAAATGTTTTGATTCTAATAAATATACTGCACATTTTATGAACTTTTTGCTCTCAAACTAAACATTATTACTTTTTGCTCTCAAACTAAACATTATTATTTTTTAAAGTTCTGAGCATCTCATTAAACACAAGCAAATACTGTAATACTAAATGCAATTATAAATGACTTAAATGTACAGTCTTACTGACATAAAAATAAAAAGGTTATTAATACAGGAAATACAGCACATCATAAACCCATTTAAATTTCATGAAATTAAATGAAGCACAAATGTTTTGTTTACCTATCACATTTTGGTCCCGTTGTAAAGGCTTTACAAGCAATACAATATCCTGTCCTTGCATCACATGTCTCAGCATGACCATTACAGTCACATCTTTGGCAGTTAGGATAATTCCAAAAACCTGGCTGGCATTCATCACACTGGCGCCCATATGTATTTGGACGACATTTGCAGTTTCCAGTTTGAGAATCACAAAAGTTGTCCACAGAGCCTACACTATTACAGTCACAAGCTAAATTAAATAAAGAGAGAGAATATACACTATTGTCAAAAAATATATGCTTAGAAAACATTCCAACTTAAAGAGCCTTTAAGTTTTAAAATGTATTTCATTTCTATATAAATATATGTAAATCAGTAGTCAATATTCTACACACAATGTATACAATAATATTATTCAATCTATAAAACAATTACATATACTAGATCTTTAAAATTTAACCCTTTCCAGACAGACATCCCATATACATATTCCCTACGAATGCCTCTCACGGGCAGGTGTCCCACCCATGTATCCCTGGAGACTGAATTCAGGGGACAGGTGATGCATATCCACATTTTAAGGTGAACCGATTCTTTAAAGAACACTAGATGGCATGCTATGTCCATTACATTTGAAATGAAGACAGCTTTAGGTTCCTGACCTTCAGTCTTATATAGCCTGACTTTGGTATTTTAGTCATTAACCACTGTGGCGATGGCAGGAAAGCATAATGTAAACAAAGCTGAGTTCTTTAAATCGCCACATGCTAATATAAACATTTAAGCCTCTGATTTATATTCAATTCTTTTTTTTAATTCTTTTTTCCTCTCTACTATGTAGGGTCTTTTGGGGTTAACATGTGGGGCTTTGTTACATTTTGGGTTGCCTTCAGATATACTTCAGGTACTTCCCTTTTTATTTCAGAAAGCCTTTGACTCCAGTCTATTATGGCAAAAAGGCATTATTTGTCAGAGAACAAATATGCTTGCTGAAAATATGATTCAACAGAAAATAATTTCATTGACAAAACTAATATATTAAAATTAGAATACATTTTAGCATTATCATTAAAGCCCTTAGCTTTGAATTAGAGGTCAATTAAATATGATGTCTTATATAGTAGTTAGTCAATAAATAAGTTGGGGATCACTCTCCCTTAGAGTATTAAACTATTTAAACAATGTATATTCACAGAATCAGATTCATGGCGTACATCATATCTGTAGTTATAAAAGTCCCAATGAGTCTTGTTTTATTGGTATCATTATGTTTCGGCAAATGCAGCTGGAAGTAAATAGTCTGAAATAAACTCGTATCTACAACGAGATTCACATATTAAGCAGAAATAATTTTGTATTCAAATGATTTATCACTTTCTAATACTGCATGATACCTAGTACCAACAAAACTTCACTTTTAATTTTACAGGCTGTAAAATTTGCTGGACACAGCAAATGAAAAAGAAAAACATATTTAAGAGTTGGGGTGAGCACAACAGTTCTCCCACCGTATCCAAAAGAAAGAAACAAGAGTGTTGCAAAATTCAAATTTGAAAAAAAAGTGTACATAATTCGTAACATGATCATGTCACTTTGCATTTATGCAAAACTTTCATCCGATTTAAAACAGAATAAGTTTATTATTTCATTTTAAAATTTAATGCACATAAACATTTTCCTTCTTTTTTAATTTAGAGTCACTCGAATACTAAGCGCAAGAGGCATACTTCTCAAGTACTGGTTTGATGGCCTGACAGCCAATTATTACAGCAATGCATAAGATTGTGGACAGACTACTGGTACTTTATCATAAACTTGTTTAATGAATACAAACTATGCTGGCTGTCTATTTACTATGGAAAATTTATTTCACACTATGGAACACATAAAATAGTCACATTTATGATTAACTAAACATTGTTCAATTCTAAACTTCCACATGGCTAATAAATTTCATACCAGGCAATCTTTAACTTATGATATATGCATCTAATCATATAGTTATGATTAAAACAACCCCTTAATGCTAACATTCTCACTGGATCTTTACATTTACCTACTGACAAAACATCATCTAATCCACTAAAAGGAACTGCAAAATCACATACTTAAATGCCTTAAATGTGCATAATAAAATTTCATTGTATGACAAAAAAAGAGATTTTGAAGCTGGTCAGCAAAGTAAAGAAGTTTAGCTGGTCAAGTTAACAGTAACATAGAACAGCTAAACAGCTAAATCTACTTATTTATTTTACTCACCAGCTTTAAAACCCCCCCTTTTTTTTGTCAAGCATTGAGCTTTTATTTTATTATATATGTTTAAGACTTTCAAATATACACGAACAGCTCTTTTCTCCAATGATTTAATCAGTCATCTCTAGTCAACTATTCAAAATATGTTACTTTTGACTGGGATAGGCATTATGCAACTAAATCTGAAATGCTGGCTGCATGAGGTTTTCATGATCCCTTTGCCCAAGTAAAATAAATACAACCAGTTTACCTCAGATAATCTTACATAAATTTGTCCCCTTAAAGGCAAACATCCAATGGTGTCACACACATGTTAGAACAATGATAATACTCCATTGATTATGTTAATGAAAGAGAAAAATCTTACTATTTTCTTAAATACATAAAAGCATTATTTCCTAAAAGGGAAGGCCAAAGATGTAAAAAAAGCAATTTATATAATTTTCATTTACTATTTTATGCTGAATTATTTTAAATATCATCATGTATAATGATTTAATGTTGCTGTTTTGAACTTTGCAAAATGTTTGAACAATTACAATGGTCGCCAGCATTATCTTAACATTTACATTTTTAAATCATCTACTAAGATTTTATTATTATTTTTAAATACATTTTGTGCCAAAAAAAATTCCATTGAGGCAGATATCCCCCCCAAAAGAACACACATCTAAAAAGCATGCAATGCACTACTCAAAAAACACATAAAGCATATTTGGCCACTCTTTCAACTCTACAACCTTATGTGATAGCACTGTTTGTATTAGCAACAAGAATGCACTGACGACACACTCAATGGCAATAAAAAAAATCAGTTGAACAGATAACATTCTACTATTTTCCAGGAAATGAATTGCCTGACATTAAAATCAGTTATTTGAATATGACAAAGCACATGAGTTATTTCCTTAAAGGAGAGGTATCCATTTAGAATTACAAAAGGGAAAATGGCTTATTTTTTAGTTACACATGAGAAAAACTGCAAAAACCAATCATGCACAGCCAACCTGTTTGCCTGGGTTTAAAACCAGGATAAACTACTAATATTCAGTAGTCTACTCGCTTTGCCTCTGATGGGAAAACATAGACTTATATGATCTCATACCAGTTTATCAAAAGGGCATCCATAACTATTATGAAAGCACCAGCAGGATGACAGTATACCTTTAGAATGGTGCATTAGTAAGAACCTAGCTGCCATTCAGAAGCCCACTAGCAATTAAAGAGAAAAACTGCTAACACTGGTAATTTGACCTCAGTTCAAATCATAGCCAAATTCTGAAGTCCTTCAAAGAGCATTTATTTTAGGTAGAAGCACTCGAGCACTTCGCCACAACTACAACTTAAAGAATCCTAAGTATGCCATTCAGAATCACTTATCCACATCTCATGGATGTATATGCCATGAAGCAACAGTGAAAAGTGTGACAGAGGTACCAAGGTGGCAAAACATAAGATATTTCAAAACAGAGCTTGTAATGGCACAACAATGAATTACAGCAGGAGAATTTGCAGAATACAGAAAAAGCCTTTCCAACTTTATGGCAACTCAACATAATGCAGTAGCATACATTTACAAATTTACATTCAAGAAACCAAGGCAAATGATATTTAATAACCTTCAGTGATTTGCTGCAGTCTGATAATAAATCAACAATCTATTAGGTTTCTAATGATCTGCCATATGTCAAGAGCCATCTGCCAGCAAGATAATATTCAGTAGCATATGGAAAATATCTTCAGGAAATGATTCCACATTACCACAACCCTCTCATAGCCAGACAAATCCCCAGATTTTTCCCAAACATAATACAGTACAAAGTCTGTAATCCGGACTCGTCGGGACTTTGGCGATTCCAGATTAGGGTTTTTTGCAGATTATAGATTATGAATTTAAATCTGCTACGATGGCATGCAGAAATTATACAATTAAAAATATGAAACCATAATTCATGAAATAAAGAGCAATTATGATCTAAAGGATATCACATTTACCAAAAAAAAGCTTAATATTATTTGTTTACTTTATTAAACATTCTTTCAATGTAGTTGTTTAAGTTGCTTCATTTTTTTGCTAATACTTTCTCTTCAATTCTATAAACAGACTTAATTTCTTGTACAGTTACAAAGTTCCACTGTTCAAGTCTTGTAGATGCTGCGTGGAGAATTCCGAGTAACTTGTCAATTGAAAATATTTCATTCAATAACCTCTCTTTCACTTTCTTCAGTATCGGGAGCAGTATTTTCTGGGTCTAAAACCATACTACAGATTTCGTCGTCATAGCGTTAATTAATTGATGATTGGATGCGTAAGTTTGTGGCTTTGAGATCCAGATTATAGATCATTCCGGGTAATGGACGTCCAGATTATGGACTTTGTACTGTATATATAGGACAAGTTAATATAACATTTGCAAACATTTTATAATGTGTGAATTTGCTGATCAATTACAGAATAATCTAGTGGTAAATTCAATAAGGAAACATTTGATCATTTATATAACGATATATCAGATTGAATGTCTTCACACACTGCCATCAGACCTGACTACATGCCATATTAATATGTAACAATTTTGTTGAATATTGATTCAATATATGAAGTCATAAAGTGACATACACTTTTAATCATGATCACTGTTTTTCTACATGCATGGATTTTCTTGACAAAACATATTTTGCACAACAGTTGCTACTTTAGCGGTGTAATAGAACATAATTCTTTTTATGTACAGATACTATTTCAGGAGAAGTCGAGGAAATTTTTTACACTTCTACCATAGGGCGACTTTTCTCCTTAAATAAATCCAACAAAATTTTAAATCAGAATTTTAATTCTCAACTAAAGTTTCACATATTAAAAATGCACAAACAATACAAAAATTCCTATATTGTTGATTTATCATGTAGTGATTACTCCAACAAGAATATCATAATTTTTAAGAGCTAGTTAACTACACTGTCCTCCAAAAGTTAAGGAACAGAATGTTTTTCAAAGCTCAACATTACAAAAATGTCAGTAACATTTCAATACACAGTTTATATGCATGATAGCAACAAAGTTTAAGAAAATATATGCAAAAACAATAGCTACAACTTTATTTTATAGAAATGTATACAGGAGTTGGAGAATAATATAGGAGTTGAGTAGAGACTAATATAGAAGTTGGAGAAAAAATGCAAAAATTTTAAATTTTGTTCACAAGTGTTGATCTTCAGTTGTTATTACAGATTCATGGACAATATCCAGCAGAAGTCGTTTGCTGGATTCGTTGAGGTGGCGAGCAATCAGATGGACGGAAATGGGGATCTCGCAAGCTGATGCTGCTAGACGTTTCAATGTCTCTCATAGTATGGTCCACCGAATATGGAATCAGTTTGAATCCAAAGATTCTGTGTCTAGAAGACCTAGAGTTACAACACATGTGGGAGACTTATTTCTCTCTTTCGGCCCAAAGAAAGAGTAACATTACTATGCCTCAGCTCATTGCAGATCATTTAGTAGCAATAGAGACAAGAATTTCAGCTATTACAGTAGGCAGATGCCGGTACAATACAGGTCTGTATGTAAGACGACCAGTTGTTTTTGTCCCCTTGACCCGAGGACACAGAGGTGTCGATCACGTCGCCTGGACGTGTCAACAATGGGTATTTATTCTCTTCACAGACAAGTCGAAGTTCACACTGGAGAGTGATTTAGGCTGTCAGCAGATCTGGAAGGAACAACACATCAGATACAACCAATCCAAAATTGTGGAAAGACACAGTTACAGAAGTGGTGGAAAATTGGTTTCGGTTGGGATCTCTCTGAGGTGTGAAATATCGAGACGAGATCCTTGATCAATACGTCCACCCATATGCCACTGCTATTGGTCCGGGATTTCTTCTGATGGATGACGATGGATGACTGCACCCGAGCTCGGGTTGCTGAAGGTCATAGTATGAAGCGGATGGAATGGCCAGCTGAATCCCCAGGCTTGAATCTGATAGAGCATCTTTGGGATTACCTTGGGATACAAATTGCTGCTTTAAGTCCTCCTCCAAGGTTGTTGGATGAGCTTGAACAAACATTACTCCTTGTCTGGTTGTTGCTTCAAATTTTACTGACCAACAACTTAATTTACAGCATGGAACATCGCTGCTGCCAATGTATTACAGCTAGGGGTAGACACATTCCTTATTAGAACCCATTTTTGTAATGTTACCATCCCATTTTTCCTCAAAACCCTGTGATATACAGTTTCTCCAAGACTGGATTTTTATGCCAAGAGTGCAATTTTTTGTTGTAATTTACATTTGTGTTGAACTTTAGAAACATTCTATGTCACAGTCATTAAAGAACTGTTTAGTGAACATGTCCTCTAAACTTATGGTTTCTATGTTACTTCATTCTCGAATTAGACATAAAAAACATGCTGTTCCTTAACTTTTGGAAGGCAGTTTATTTTTCACAATATCTGGCTCAAAGAGTAAAAGTACTTAAAAAAAATACTTTTGTAAATACTCTGATTACAATATAAAATTGATTATAAAAGGATTAGAATAAAAAAAATAACATACGTCTGCAACCTGATGGACCAAAACCATAAGTTCCAGGAGCACATCTATCACACTGTCGACCAACAACGTTGGCTTTACATCTGCACTGCCCGCCAAGGCGTTCACATTTCAGACTTTCAGAGCCAGTGGGATCACAAGAGCATTCTAAAATTTATATTACATATGAAAATATCAAGAATCATACTGATAATTTTTATTCCATTTGCGTAACACTTGCTGCATTTCACAAAATATATTAATATGAGCAATTAGTTACAATGTTACAATTTTATATTAATTTGTTATTAAAAAGATTTTAAAAAAGAATGCAAGCACACCTTAATCTGTTAGTTCTAGGCTTACCGTGAGCTTTATCATAAACATAAAAGCCAATGCTGTAAAGGTATTTTTTACACACTTCATTAGGGACTGGCCTGACCACTGAATAAAAGGCTTGACCACAACGAAAGCGCTCAAATTCTTGTCTTCTATATTCATTAACAGCTGAACCTTCGAAGAAAGGAATGCTGTCTATTCTAGGTATGAACACAATCTATAAAAGTAAAATTATGCTGGTTTTATACTATCAGGCAATAATAAATACTTCAAAATATTTTTGAAGCAAAAAATAGAAAATTTTTTAGGTTCATATATTATTAACAGAGTACAATTTCAACAATACACACAGGCACTTAGAATAATTAGATAATTACACATACTAGGAAAATTACAGAAAATATAGTTCAACCTCAGTTTAGTGAAGCTCAATTTAATACCAGTCTGGCACAAAATATATCAAACCACTGTTAAATTAACGTTAATAACATTTTATAAAAAATCAATATAAAATCATATTAACTTAGAAGCCAAACAACAACAAATCAGCGTCATATTTTCAAATTTTCACAGGACTAGTTTTGACAGTTTTACCGAATCCATCATCCTCAGCTGCAAAAGTGATCACTTTTGCAGCTGAGTTCGGTTTCTAAGTTAATATCTGTTCGGCATGTTATTATACCTTAATTATAAAATCATATGTTGCTTTCAAATCATGGTAAAACATACATTTTCCTCTCATTTAACTCAATTCATGCTTAGTCACAGAAAACATCACTTCCTTTTCCTATGTATACAGGCTGGCAGGAGATTACACACACACACACACACACAAACAAAAACATAAAAAAAAAAAAAGATTTTTTACAATCATTCACACTTTTGCACTTGAAAGCATAATAAGTTCTAATTTTATAGAAATCTAAATGTTACATACTGAATCTATAAGAACAGATGCTGAAGGTGTTGATACACCTTCCACATAATTTGTAAACTCAAGGCGAATATTATAGCTTTTATTTTCTTCCAAACAAGCAGGAGGATATACGATAGCATATCTTTCCCCTGAAAATAAAAGAGATATAAATGTTTCTGAAACTGCTCAAGAAAAGAAATCTTTTTAGCATTTATCTTTAACAGACAACAAAATATTAATTTATTTAGAAATAAAAATGGTTTTAAAAATTTCTTATTGCCTCATAGATATAATTACTCATATCATAGCTTTTACAGTGAAAAGTGGGGCCCACCAGCGGCCGAGCGGTAAAAGCCGCTGAACACTTTGTAGTTTGATTTGTGTTCTGTTCCAGGTGAAAGGATTGGCTGCGTGGGCGTTTTCGTGTTTTTCTGCATGTATAACGGGGCGGATACTAGCCAGTTTCCCTTAAAAAGACCTGCACGGGGCATCCCTCCCTTTCCGTGTAGTGCCTAAGGGCGGAGCACGTAATAAATAATAATAATAATAATAATAATACAGTGAAAAGTGCAGATCAAACATTTCAATATTGTCATGCCTAAAATAACATAAATGTACATACTCCTTCCGATATTTTAAACCAATATACATATAATACATTGTCCAGTTTTGGAATTCAGGACCTATATATACATATTATTTACACATACATATATAGAGAGACAGAGATACAGATATATGAAGCTCAGAATTTTAAAATCTAACTTCATTAATAGTCTTTCGAAAAATCTGGAATAGTCTACACCTGATAATCTGATTTTTTAAAGTATGAATTTTTTTATCTGAAAGTTTCAAAAGACAAGGATAAAGAAGGATCATTTAAAGGGTTTATAGGATTTTTTTATTTATTTTTTTCTCTTGATTACTATTGTGCTATTAAATAAGAGTCTTCTATATTGAAAGTCATCATGATAAGCCCATAACATGAAAACTCTTTACTTTTCTAATAGTTCCTTTAACTTATTTTCCAAGCTTTCTTTTACCTTTTTCTGTACTTCTAAATAAAAAAATTTAAAAAATCTAAAATTCAACTTTATAGATTTTTCTACTCATATCTACAAATACAATTAACCGTTTTTGGGCACCTTTTTGAGTCTATTATTTTTAAAGACCAATTGATTTTAAAATTTATATAAAGTTTTACACAGAATGCCATTCTTTATTCCTATTTTTGTTTTAAAAGAGTCAGAATTCATTTAAATTTCATTTTAATTAGTAATTGTTTTCTTTGTCAAAATAAAAATTTTCATAGAAATATTAAAAAGTTTTCCTTTTGACTTCAAAATTCCCTCTTTTGTTCCAATTTTTAGCCTTTTGAGCGACTGCTTTCTCGCCAAGGTAGTTTAGTTTCGCCAATGAAGCCAAAATGGCAAATTGACACGTCACTACTGTAATGATCTTATTCATAGTTTCAATTGTGTTCCACTCTGCATTATTCCCCACACCTTTCTTCTCTAGAGATATCTTTACATCAATAATGTAACAAATTACTCTGAACAAAAGCCAATAGTAACTGAAAGTGTTCAAAGTTTTCAATTACCTCTTGTGAGTTTTAATTAAGTTTTTTGACTAAAGTTTTATAATTTCACTTGCTTACTTTAGATGCTTTGGATTATGTGCTATTTGTTTAAAGGTGAAATTTTGGTTTGAATTTATCAATGAAGTATTTTATTATTTCACTTACATTTTCAATTCTTTTTATTTAATGTACAAAATGCTAATTAGAATTTAACTTGTTTTTTCCTTGCTTTGGGGAAAGGCCAGAATTTTCAGGCGAACTATTATAATTAAAATACATTGAAATGGTTAATCAGATAATTCTGGATTCTTCTATTATGTTTGTTTTTCTTTAAATTTAATTGATGTTTTTGAATTGGGGTATTGCTTGTTTAAAGAGTTTTGGTTTTAACATTTTTTAAAATTGTTTATTGCATTTATAGGATTATTTGAAATTTATCACCTATGAATTTCAATTTTTGGTCTTTGTGAAAAATTAGTTCTAAATTTCTTATCATACATTTATATATATATACATACTGAATGTCTTATTCATGGCCCCAAGAATTAATTTACAAAGGTTAAACAATGCACAGTGTGTGTGTACATATATTATATAAATACTTAATGTCTTATTCACAGCCTTTGAAACTTGGCTCCAAGGATTGATTTGTAAAGGTTATTATTTCAAAAGTAAATATTTTGGGATATACCATATTATACACTGTGTATTGTGCTACACATATTTTTCTACATATTCAACATGAGACGCATGCATCCGATGAGGAGAAGAACCTGAGCAGGAATGCAGACTCATGTCGACTGCTCATTAATATAAAATATATCAGATCTGTTTTTAATACTCAAGTAACTATGCAAATTGAGATTTAATAAAGTATCTAGGTTTGAACATAATGGGCGCTTAATGAATTCCAAAGCAGCATTGGTCATGTCAGTTAGCTTCAATTAGCAATATTTCATCTTCTATGTCATAGGCTAAAGCTTCAAAACTCTGCATTATTCCCCACACCTTTCTTCTCTAGAGATATCTTCACATCAATAATGTAACAAATTACTCTGAACAAAAGCCAATAGTAACTGAAATTAAAATTATATATATACTAATTTTTATATATTGACCATAAAAATGACAGTTAAAACTGTTTAATCAATGTAGCTTTATTGAGACTAATGGCGAGATCACAAAATATGAAGCAAAATATTTAACCTTTGCAGGCAGGCAAACTACTCACAAGTATAAAGAGATGTTAGTACAATGTAATGCACTTTGTATTTGAATTTCTTACTGTTTAATTCTTTTATATTTTAATTCACTTAATTTTAATGAAATATAATTTTAAAAATTCCTTCTAACCTTTTTATTCACACATAGAAGTACAACCATTATAAAAATTTTTCATATAATTCTGCTTTTACATTATGATTCAAAAGAACGTTTTGAAATATATATTCGCTAGCATGCTTTTTCATTCATGGATGGTAATGACTATTAATGCAACTACAAAAAATCTACTAATCTTTACAGAAAGTCTTCGAAATATTTTAAAATCCACATTTCATAATTTTATTGTGTAGCACTGTTAAGCATTGGAAATTTGATCATAAAATACAGAATTAAAAAAGTATTTTACAGTTACAATGTAAGCAATGCAATAAAAGTTCTCCTATTAAGAATCTTTTTGAAAATTGAAATAACAGCTAAAAGGCATTTCATTATAATTTACATACTTATTAATTAATCTAAAGTAAACACAGACAGATACCTCAATTCATTTTAAATAACATTCCTAGAAACTGTACTTCCTTTGTATGAACTTTAAGAGGAAAAATTGACTACAAACTTTTTTCAACAGACTCTTATACAGCCTTTCCTCAACAAAAGGCTAGGTTATAGTAGGGTTTCTTAAAATTAACGCAGGATTTAAATTGCTTCCCATTTTTTTCATGTTAATGCTCTCCGTTTATGAAGCACATGTTGCAGTAATCACATTCCGGTTAATAGTGAGTTAGTCATTGATGGAATAAAACACGATGCAGGAGACCATAACTACTTTCTTCCTTTTCGCCATTAGCAGCACAGCTGGATCCCGTAAATGGAATTAAAAAAAAAGACAGCTTAGTACTGTGTCCTCCGGGAATTGATTACATTTAGATCTTAGTGCTGTGTCCTTCGGGGAACATACTAAACGAGGAATGCTGAAAGAAGGACCAGAACATGGAAAGAAAGTGCATGGTGGGTACTGTTGAGTATTATGGTACATGTTAGGCAAGCAGTTCCAATTAGGCTTCCAATTTTCTTTTTGCATATATATTGGTTTCACAAATAACTTTTTTCACGAGCTCATTAGTGAAAAAGTTTAAAAAAATCCATTGGTTGCTTTATGTTAGAAACTATTCGTGTTGCTGTGGGGACTTTGACCAGGTATAAATTGTACGCTTGGCGGCACTTCGTCGTAGTCTCTGCAAAGTACCCATGTTGAACTGCTTGCACCTTCCACAGTTTCACTTTCAACTTCTCTTTCAACATCACTCTCAACTTTATTGTCACTCTCTATAATTCTTATTTTCCGTCGTCTCACACATCTTACTGCATCACTGTCTTCTCTACTGGATTCGTTCGTTTTGTGGCATAATCCGTCAGAAATCGATGTCAGCTCATCATCCAAAGTAGCAAAATCGAATTCGTCCAAACTCGAGCTGATCTGATCTGATCTTCATCCATATTTTTAGGACTCAAACACTTTTTAGTTACTATATTTACTGCCAAGACTGTTTCAAATGAATGCTATGCTGAGACTAACTAAACTGAACTAAGATTTGGCTACAATGTCAGTGGAGCCTAGTCCCCGAAAATACTTCCGAGAAAAATATCTTATCGCACATTGTAAATAAGGAGACTGGGTTACAAAAGACCACAGCATCATAGCAGCGGCGCTCGATCACACGGGACTTCAAATCACTCGTGTGCCGCAGCAGCATCGTTCGAGTTGACACTTCAAATTGGTCGGGCGCCACATTGGCGCCGCTCGAGTACAAAGGGTTATAAGGTCCTAAGCCATCCTAAGAAAGACAGATGCTATGGAATTAACTGCCTTCCTAAACAGACTTTGTTGGTTCAGAAACAAATTGATGTACTCTCTTTTGCTGCACTGACCCCCTGATGATGCAGTGAAAGAAATCAATTTCTGTTTCCTTTTCATACAAGTTATTCATCTTAAATTTAAATCTTTGTATAATTTTTTTACTTAAATTAACTAATTTGAAGAATTTTATGGTCATAAGAAATAAATACAGACTTTGATAACTATACAATACTAAAACCCAGTTACCTTTTTTGAAGAACAGAGGTTTTTAGGTTTTTTAACGTATTCAAGCAATCCATAGCCAAGAACAAGTTGTAATGCTGACTCGCTTTGCAAGGACCTGCTCACTTTCACCAAAGCTATTCTATTATATTATTGCATTTATTTTGTTAGTTTTCTGTTATTAAGTCTAAAGTACATTTTACATTGCTTTACAATTAAGAAAATGTGGATTTCTTTTAAAGTGTTAAATAATTAATTTTAATACAAATTTCATGAATACGTAAAAGAAAAGTTTGGTTTTATATTGCTAACAACAATTTTTACGAAAAATGTTTCATGACAAGAATTGTAAAATATTATGATTACGATATTCAGGCAAAGATTTTATAAAACGTGAATTTTTGCAGTTATTTCTTAAAAAAATTAGGACATTTCTCACAATATTTTTACAGAAAAATGCAGACTTTCAAAATTACAATAGAATTTTCAATTTTTATTTACTGTTAAAAATGATACCTACAAGATCTTATTTTAGAAAAATATTCAGATAAAAGAAAATTTTCCCCTAAAAAATGTATTTTCCTTGTTTCATTAATGCTTCTTTTAAAAAGGCCAAGACTTTTCCTTTGAAGGGATGGGATATGTAAGATAAAAATATGTAATCAGCTTTATAATAATTCAGTAAAGTCATAATTCTTCAATTTTTAATTGGGATATTTCCTCTCCATCTTTTGGACGCTGTTTGGCTGTGCTCTCGTCCTATCGCAACAGTATAAAAAATGTAAATGTTCTTGAATAGGCATAATTAGAGTGTCACATGAATTGCAGCCACAGGCTTTAATTGAAAAAAAAAATGAATATTTATTCTTACTCAGATTCCAAGTTTCCACGTCATTATGAATTCAACAAACTAGCATTTTATGCAATCAGAATATTTCTTCTCCAGTATGAATCAAGGTTCTGTGCCATTTATGTGTTTTGCCATCAGTATTTCTGTGTTTCTATGTCTCAGTGTTTCTACATCAGTACTTCTAAATTTGTTTTTAATACATTTGAAAGAAATGCCACATTTGTCCACCTACGCCATCAAAATTCTTGCTGTTCATGACGGATATACAATCAATGTTTCTGCACCACTGACATTGCTACATCTTTTTTTGTTTTCATTACACATATATAATAATTTAGAATGCACATAGGGAGAAGACATAAATACGTTTTAATCACAGTCAATGGTTGCTGATGATGCTGGCTTAATTGCATAATAATAGAATGAAACTTGAAGACAAATGTAGCCATAGATACAATATATTTTTTTTGGCCATGATAATTGACAGATATATTCCAATTCACATAATCATTATTAGCAAAATATGCATCCCACAGTTTTGGGAACTTAGCACATCTTCAGACAATGGATGATACAGAGAAGTGAGCTGCATTTAAGAAGCCTGGTAGAGTGCAAAGAGTTTAGTTTCGACTGAAATTTTACTTGGCAATTTACTAAAAACACCAACACTTCAGCATTATGCAAGATTGTTTGATGTAATTTAAATCGATATATTATAAATAGTTACTATTTGTAGGACAAAAGGGAAATATTGTAATACAGTGAAAATGTAGGGGGCTTTTGGCATACACAAGGTGTTTCGAAACTCGCAGGCAAAAATTTAAGGGGTGATAGAAAATAATTTAAACAAGCAATTTTTTACCATACAATGGATGGGTGCAGAGTAAGTGGTGAACCACTAGATGGTGCTGCAATGGCAAAAATAAAGCGTGGATTTTCTTACACATCATCATTGCTCACGTAGATTTCAGAAGGCATGCTGACGTACAAAAATCAATAAAAGGTAGACATGCATTTTATGTATGGTCTTGCAAATGGGGGTGCTCTTGAAGCCAAAAGACTATACAGCAGCATTTCCTGAGAAGACACATGAAATCAACAAACAGCATCCGTTCCAGTGTGAAATGTGATCCTTCATAATTGGCATGCACAATACATGGCCTGGCAGGAGTGTGTAGATGACATTCTATAAAGAGTGGAAGACTGTACAGATATTAGCACACGAGAGGTTTCCCATGCTGTAAATGTGCCCCACTCAATTGTTTGGTGAGCATTACAGGACGAAGGATTACACCCCTGCCATATACAGAAGGTGCAGGCCATGATACAGGCAGATTATGCACCATGTGTCAAGTTTGCATGCTGATTTTTGAAACAATGCAGCTTGATTTTAGTGCACATGTGTTATTCATGGATGAATACACCTTTACACACAAAGGCATTTCTAATACCCATCTTTATCATCCCTTAAATTTTTGCCCACAAGTTTTGAAACACCTTGTACCTATAGACATAGAAGAGAGAGAGGAAAAAAAAAAAAGAAAAACTTGAATTATGAAAAGTTCGAAGTTACATGCAACAGAAATCATACTTATTTCAAGTTTCACTGCTCATATTCTTCAGTTTACTAGCTATATGCAACAATTCCATAAATAATAACGAAAAACTTTCTTCTATCTTCAAATGCCCTTTACATTTTTCAGCTTTAGATATTCATGTCATTCACTTTGAGAAGTTAACTTCCAAATAACTGAAGTTTAAGGCAGAGGATCAACTTAGAATGAATGCTAATCATACAATCATTAAAACTTAAAATCAGACCAGAAGTTATGTAATGAGAGAAGCAAAATTTCTTCCTAGGTTAAACACGAGTTGATAAATCCTTATTTAAATTATTAAAACAATTATTATAAAACTTGAAATCGGCATTTTACCATAAGCTAATGAAACCATTTTTATGTCATCTTGAGCAACAATGGTATTTGCACAAGGCCCATTTGGATCAACTGGCCCGGGTCTCTCAATAATAATGCGAGCTTTCTCCCACTTTGCAGGAAGCTAAAATAAACAAAATTTAATTTAATCAAAAAATAATGCTTTGAGATCACATTTACAATAATGATATATGAATAACTGAAAAATATGAGTAAGTTCTGAAATTAAAATATAAATTTAAATGTTATACCTTAAGAAAGAAGAAAATGATTTAGTAAATATTATATTAGTTTACATCATATTGATATACAGTTAGTAACTACTGAAGAATTACATGGGTTAAATGGTGAATCTTAAATTATCAAACATTTCCTCCATACCCCCTCCCAGCCATACTGCAAGTACACTGTTTAGCCATACATATTACAATAAAGAAATGATATTAACATATTGAGTGTCTTTTAAAGATATGGTGCAAAAGATTACCTGATAGATTTGATCTTTAATATCAAACCACATCTGAGAAGCATGAATAGAAAACCACAAAAAAATTAACTCTCACTACTTTATATAAGCGTTTAGAAATACAAATAGAATGATAACTATTCAAAAAAAAGAAAAAAAAAAAAAAAAAAAAAAAAACTAATTCCTAACAGCTATAGATTTTGAACAAATATTTAAATTCTGTGAAAAGTAAATACTTTAATCTAAATTCAAGAAAATTTCATAGCATTCAAAATGAAAAAATACTTGTTTATCATTCAATTTCAAATTTTGTCAACTATATCATAAATATGCATACTTTTAGCACAATAATATAAGCAAGATTAAAGGACAACGAATTTCTAAAATAGATTTATTTAATATTTCCAAACTTTAGAATTTTGTGAAAATTTTCAGCTAACTAGAAATTAGCACAGAAAAATAAACAACAGTCAAACAAGTGGAGTTCAGAGCTGTCAACATGAACATCGATCAAATAGAGCTCAACCATACTTGCTACATGTAATTTCCTAAACATGAAGCTTCTCCCTCCTCCCCAAAACAATACTGCAAAAAATAAATTTAGAGCTGTTGATGCCTTGACTTGCATATTATTAGCATATGCAGTTATTTGATTTTTGTTCGCATATGAAGTTATTTGATTTTACTTGATTTGCATACGCAGTTATTTAGCATATTTCAAGAATATAAATGTCAAGCCAAGTATAATTACTATCTCCTTTAAATGTATAAAACACAGATCATAAACTCCACTATTTCTACACTTCAGTGCATACATCATGCAACCAAAAGTAACTGCATACTGCCTATTAATATAGTGAAATTCCAATAATCTGTAATTTCTTAATCCACAAATGTCTGAGATCTGTGTTTATTTTTTTAAAGCATAGTTTCAATTTTCAGAAAATTCCACACAGTTACTTTAATACTCATTTTTTCTTAATGTAAAATGCAAATAAACTTCAAAAAAAAAAAAAAAAAAAAAAAAAAAAAAAAAAAAAAAAACATTAACATTTTGATTAAAGAAGTGAATTTATTTTACTAGAAAAATTATTCAAAATATCTCCTTATGCATCATAGTATAGAAATTTACCATAAATGAAATTTGTTGTTTTAGATATACTAGTTCTTAGGGGCATATTTAATTGCTTTCAAAGTTAATTTTAAATTTATGTGTTTAAGAAGTATAAAGAACCTATTTAATGCAACTTTTTAGATGTCGAGTTCTACATCAAAGGCACCTTGTGGTTGATTTGTATGCATTCTGCACTACAAGGAAGTTTGTTTACAGTAAGTTGGGATACACTTATAAATATATTAATCAGCTATTTTTTCTGGCATTAAACATGAAAAACACAGTAATGAAATTAAGAATTATTTTAATAAATTCAAAATTTTTAATTTTAGCACTTTTTGTAAGTTGCTAGTGCTACCAATCTCAGCACACATGCACAAAGCTAAACAAAAAAAGTCCAAGGATTCAATTTAAGGAAATCATACTGCTGGGACTTTCAAACAGAGTGTGCATTTAAACTGTATAAAAATTATTTGACAATAATTTCACATGTTGATATACAATTTTTTACATTACATTTTGGCAAAATGAGTTCTTTACTACCTGAAAAAATTTGCTTGTCATTTCTCCCTTTTCTTCCCCATTATGTTTTCCCTTTGTTCTGGTATTATTTTTTCATACATAAATGAATTAAATTTAGGTACTGTATTAAAAAAGAACAATTACACTATTGTAATCCGACTAAACTGAAAGTATATTCACAATATATGGTTGAGATTTGATGAAAGTATCTTTAGCTCTGAAAAGTCTTATTTAAGTGCTATATATTAAAACCTCAATAGTCATTCTTTATCAAATGAATGTATGAAAAACAAACTTTTAGAAATTTTTTGAAACTTTTAGAAAACAAACTTTGTGCAAACTAATTCCCTTCTTTTTTAGAAAAATCCATAGCTTCCTTAAATATACAAGCAGATATATTCACCATTTAAATTTCGCTACAGAAATTAATTATTAACAAAGAGCCATAATGCATCAATTTTTACAGCTTTTGTTATAACCTGGAGCTGCATTTCTGAATGCTAACTGATAGAGACTATCAAAAGACTTAAAAGAAAAATTACATGCTACATTTAGAGCTGAAATAATCCAACCATTCAGATTATATGTTTCTTTTATGCAAAGCATAGCATTAAAGGTGGCAGAAAATCAGTGCATAAATATATAATATATAACTGCATATTTTCCCATGCAGATATATATTAATAACTACATGATTTCCCATTCAGTTATATATTAATAACTGTATAATTGTACATATATGTTTTTCCCAGTCACGGTAAACATAGCCTCTATTGCAACAAAGGAAATACACTGATATTCTACAAAAGAATTTTCACTACGTCCTTTACAATTAATACACATTTTATGCATAATCACAATGTATAGTACCTCACTTTGGATTTCTAAGTTAATGTTGGAAGTGAGGAATCTAAGAACTGATAAGCGAATAATCGCTTGCATTCGGTGACAAGAAACAACAAGATAGAAGGGTTACTAACCCTTTATTATTCTAATAAGATTTAACAAACTCCGTCTGGGAGTGTACAAGCAAAGCCCGCACTTGGACTTGAACTAAAAAGACTAAGAATTAAACTAAAACTAAGATTAACTAAAGAAATATAGCCGAAGCTATCAAGGTTCAATTTGAGTTGGCCCCTTAACTTATTTTACCACGAAGCTTAGCAAGGGCCTGAGTACGGCCGTGCGTAATAACAGCTTTGAGAGAGAGAGTGGCCAAAAAGGCAGACGCACGTAAATCAGAAACTCTGATTCTCTCTGACTCAGTAAGTAACTTCGTGGTTTAAATACTGCTCCTTCTCATTAAATATTCAGCAAGATTCCAAAAGTACGTTCCGGCCGGAAGTAGTAAGTTGAAGTTAAGAATCTGACAGGAAAGGAACTTTAACTTAAAATTACCTGTTAATACAATTAACATAATCCTTACAACAATTAATACACATTTTCATCATCCATTGTAACTATTTTGTCTAACAATTTTTTCAGCAAAACATTTGTCCAGGTCTTAAAAGTTACAAGGAAAATTATAAATAGCTAAAGGAATGAATGCACACCATACTTTCTTGAAATTTTGTATTCATTCAATATATTTCAGTGCAGCTGCACAGTGCAAAAATAACAGCTGCATTTCTCATAATGAAAATTGTTCTAGGGCAACACAGTTAGGCATTAATTTCATACCAATGGTATATACTCTCACATATTCATACATAAAATATAACAATGCTACCTGAGGTTCATATCTGATAACTATGTCATATTCCAAAGACTTTGGTATATCTGTAATGTCAAACTCAAGATGAGAGCCTTCAAATGCTCTCATAAAACCAAGACCAGTCCACGTAGCTTCTCTTTCCGAGTAGGGTTCACGTACAAGTACTTGACAATCCTATCAAAAAAAATTAATAAACTTCATTAAAATGAAAATTTAAGGGTAGTAAGTAAAACATGCACAGTGCATAGAATGAAATGATATAGTGGCTGCTCAAAAGAAATGCAGTGGCTGACAATAGTTACAACACAGATCAAAGAATACTAAACACAATATTTCAATAATTGGGAATTTTCAAAGTTTTCTAGATATGCAACATTCATGTTTCTCAGATTACATTTTAACTATTGGAAAAAGTTTAAAAGTAGGAGTGAGCACTTTCTCACACTTCCTCAATTATACATCTTAATTCACAAAGTAAATCTTAGTCTACTTATACTACTAAGTCAAATAAAATAAAAACATCTGCCCTGAAGATAAGGATAGTGCAGACAGATCAACTTCCAATTCATTGTGCCCGCGACGTTCCCCCTACTGCAGAGCAGCGTGAAATTGATAAACAAATTTCGGAATGGTTACAGAAACAAAGGATATGCCTTTTTCCATTTTTTCCAGCAATTCCACTTTTTGTTTAACGGACATCGAAACATACTTTCGCTTTGTAGATCCTTTGGCAGCTCCAGCATCGGAAATTCTATTTGACATAATTGAAAGTTCAAGCTTACTTTTATAAAATTGCTCTAACAGTCTGTAAAAAATAATAAGCCCGATCCAATTTGAAGATTAAGCAACAACGCAATCTGCAACATTAACTGAAACAGATAATTGGATAATTTTAGCTTAGCTTATACCGTCCGTTATACATTAAATGCACATGCGCGCAACATGATGCGTTGACGCATGCGTGAACACATGATGCGTTGACGCTGCGCAGAAAGTTTGTAGCCTTGAGGTTCGGATTATAGATCATTCTGGATTATGGGTGTCCGGATTAACAACTTTTGACTGTATACTTTTTAGCTTAAATTAAAAGGACTGCTTTTCACCTTTCCCCACATTTCTAATTCCACATTTCAGTGATATTTCTTAACAAAAAGCTTAATTAACCCTCTGAGCGGCACGGTTTTTTGGACCTGTCATGAAGACCTGTATTCAAAGACACTTTATTAGCTAAATCTGTATATTTACTTACTTTAGGCTCTATTTTCATAAACTTACATTTATTAAGATGATACTTATATTATTAAAAAAAGTAAGAAAGCAAAATATCATCAATTATAAGCTTATATATAACAAATGACACAAAATCTCATCACCGGATAAAGACTGTCATAACGCTCAGAGAGTTAATCCTTTATTAATAAATGAACCAGGTTCAGAACAAATACATTTTAAAAATTAAATGAGATTCAAGTTTTGAAATGATACAGTTTTGATATTAGATTCATAATTTTAGAAGAAGCAAATGCAGATAATTTCTGCAGGAGTTAATAAAATAAATAAATGCTTAGTTCTGAAATGTTTGAATTTTACACTTACTGCAGGCATGAAAGGACAACTACTTTAGTAAGCAATGTCTCACAGAACTCATTTAAAAAAACAAACTTTTCAAAATTATACCAAAAATGACCATGATTTATAAAAGCCTTACTTATGGGAAAAGAACAATTTCATAATACCACTACTACACTGTGCAGAACAAGAAGCACTGCACACAACAAGAGATGACACGCAATTTTGTTAGCAAATGGCTTATGACAAAAAAACTGCAAGGGTTATCAGCCTTAGAAGAGATGCCTATATAAAGGACTTACTATAAAATAACAGATTTGTTACTCGAGTAACATAAGAATTTTATACAGCCAGCTCGTATAATGAAAACTGAATCCAAGACAATTTACCAGCATTTAGGGTCTTAGTCACTGCTAATTACACCCAGAATAACTGAAGCCACATTTTTGATGATATTTAATATCAGCATAACGAATGGACTCTGTATGACACTAGAGAAAGAATGATGAAATGCACCACAAAGATGCTTACTGAAACCCATACAAAATGATATTTTCATGGTTGATTACAAAACGGCTGCCACTAACAGAAGATATAGTTCATAAATATTGTTTAAAATAGCCTATAGTTGCACCAGAAAAAATTCAGACTTCATTACAAATCCAAGCCATTATGTATTGTTCAAATGACTTCTGGATTGTGTTTCATGATATGATATTGAGCAGAAATATATCAAGGCAATAAATATAATATTTAGAATAATTTAAATATAAAATATTTAGGCAAGTTCAATGCATTTAAATCGCACACATTAAATAAAACAGATGAATGAAATTCAATGTCTGCATGCATATTTCCATAACAAATTTAAATTATTGTTCTATACTGATTGTCAAGAATCACCAACAAAATTTTATGCTTATATAGTGATTGTAAAAATGTCAAATTACTTTTAACAATAGGAAAAATAATACATGATACAAAAATTAATGCTAAAACAGAAAATAATATACACTTTAAAAACAGAAATTAATTGACTAAAAATACTAAATTTAAAACAAGAGTGCAATGAATTAAATTATACACTGATAGTATGCTTCACAAAACTAAGACATACAGGAGTGCCTTTTGCAAGCTCAGCTTCATAAACCAAATAGTCCAAGTTTGCAGCAAAATGGTAATCTGCTGGTGTGTCACAACGCGTACCATTTATATGAGTTAGACATCTGCACTGTCCGCTGCGTACATCACAATTATTATCCTTTGATCCTCCTGGATCACAATCACAAGGTTTACAACCTTCTCCTTCAGTGTCCAAACCATAATACTCAGGCTAAAAAAAAAAAAAAAAAAAAAAAAAAAATTGTAAAGAAATCACATAATTTTGACTGCATGTTATCAGAATGAACAGTATTAAAAAGTAGAAATCATAATTAATACTTTTACTTCTATTCATTATAATCTACAGAGTAAGTGAAAAATAACTTCCCATTTAAATTCAATAACTTTTTAAATAATCACAGCACCGGCACAGATTGCAAAATATTATAATCTCTGATATAAAAGAAATACATTGCTAATGTCTTTTTTATTTCAGAAAGGTATGAGCAGTATAAAATAATCCAATGCCTAGATCACATTTTTGCATGCTGTTCAGGAAATATTCAGCCTAAGTGTATAAAAGTGACATGCCAAACAGCTTTCGAAAGTGATAAAAACCCACTGCTATTTAGTTCAAAGGAGTTAAGACTGCTATCCTTGGAAGCTGCATTATTACCAGCACTTATCAATAGAATATCATGACTGCCAGCCAGAGTTTGGAGAGATCATGTTTGTTTGGCATGTAGACCAGATCCAACTGTTTTACAATAATCCTTTTGTGTAAGAAAGCCACCTTCCGTGTTGCAAGAACTGACAGCCTTCAGACTTGTTAACTACTGGGCACCAGGAGGATCCCTATTATTATTGATTTGTCCAAGGTAATACTGTTACTCAGCATAACCAAGTTTCAAAGACATTCCTTATTTGGGATACCACAAATGCAGACTGTTACCAAACCATGCTTCAAGAACATGTACAACTTAGTATCACCCATTGGTATGACTATGATGATCTTATATTTATATTAAGGCAAAAACCTTGGTTTACTGCATGAAGTCAGAAACCTTAGATTAGCTCAATACTGTCAAGAAAAAACACAATTAAGAGTTCCAGTATCAGTCAGGCATCATTGTTCTCAGATGACTGCTAAAACTAGTGGCTAGTGTGAATGCCTATATTAAATTTTCATATTAGCAGCTTATGCAAACCCTTTAAACAGTGCAGTGAAGTATTATTCTACTCTTCCATTTAAAACATGTTCCATAAAATCAATTATTATTACAGATAACAGTTTTTGATCCCAATTTACTTTTCAACCACTCTGTATTTATCTAACATTAATTACTCGTGAAATTTCTAGCATTATACAGCCAATACCACTTAAAGTGATGGTTGTACAGTCAGGAGGTTATTCTGATGCTGGAGACGTGAAAAATGAGCAATGCCCTCACCGTGACCTCTTGAATATGCTAACTCTTACACCATGAAGGCGTACAGAAAGGAGGAAGAAAATCCCTTATAAACTCCTGTTTTTAAAGAGCGAACGGGGTTTAGAGGACTCAATCACCAAATCCTGGTAACGAATAATTGTTCACCACCTTTTCGGCCGGGTGCCAGAGTAGGGTTATTAAGATTTTTTGATGCTAGAGATGTGAAAAATTAGCAATGCCCTTGCCGGGAGTTGCACCCTCTTGAATACATCCTGAGTGTGCTACCATTACACCCAAAGGCATGCAGAAAGGAAAGAGAAAATACCTTGTAGGTTAACAGATGCCGAATAATGGTTACCACTAAAAGTGATCAAGATATTCAGATATTGTTATCAAACTGCTGAAACGTTGCCTTCTTAAACATGAAAACATGGAAAATAGATCACTTATTGGCAGATACAAGCTGATTATTATGATCAAAATATTACGGAATGAATTTCTTAAACTTAAGGTGAGGCCATCAAACAGAGAAGGTAAATCAGGTCAAAATACAGCACAGACATTTCCATACGACGTAAAAAGGTTACAAAGTAAGGAATTAAGTTGCCAAACAGCTTGGTCAACCATTTTCTTTTCAAGTTTAGAGGCTTCCAGATTGATGAAACTAAAATTTTACATAACCTTGCTTTTATGTGCCAAAAAATCTTTTGGTTGTGTTTTGAGCTTTATATTTTGATGAATATTCTGTTCCCAGCAGCAATTTTTTTGTTGTAATGTTGCTGCTTATGCTCACTTGTCTGATGTAGTTTATCCAAGCCCACAAAATTCCTTGTGGCAAGGAGAGCTATATTACACCTGTCATTGCCAACAGTCTCAAGCACCTAACAGGTGGCAGTGCGATTTGGCTCAGTTCTGCCCCCAATTTTGATGGAGAACACCTTGAGGGAATGGGTCTGAGGGTCTCCGACCACTCTCCCCTTTCACCAAACCACACAAGAAGACTTGCAGCTTGCCGCCATACTGCATCAACACTATATACTTAAAAACATCCATGCCTTCTCCGGGATCTTCGGCACAGTGGTCAGAGACGCTAACCACTATACTGGTTGGGCAGCTTTTTTTAATAATGTTTAATCATTTTTATTTGTAATCCCTTTTACTCTTTTCTGGAAACTTTAAAATCATGCAGCATAGTAGAATGCACAATGCTTTAATGGATAACGCTGCTTAGATAGCTGTGATTAGCCCAATGGAATGCTACACTTTAGTTAAAACACATTTTTAATACCTTGTATTTTAAAGAATTGTTCCAATACTGCTGACAATCAAAGAAAAATCTAAATGAAAACCTGAAAGAGATGTATAGTGGGAAAGATGCTAATGCTGAAAAAACTTAGGGCTTGGTTTAAAAATGTTCATGAAAAAGATGTGGCAGTCAATGGTTAATTCATATAGCAGAAAGCTAAAGAAACAGAAATGGAAACAACAACAACAACAAAAAAAAAAAAAAAAAAAAAAAAAAAAAAAAAGAGCCTAGTAGCAAGAGATGACTGGTTTATAAAATAAAGGAAAAATAAACTTATAAACTTTACAACTACATTAACACGGTGTTCTCAAACTGACAGCCTCTGAAGCAATTTTACATGTACTGCAAATCCATTTCCTGAAAATTAACTAGCATTATTATGACAAGAATTTGAAGAAAAATTTAACAGTTTAATGGTTTGGAATCCAATTTTAAATTATTTTCATTACCAAAAGCAAATGCGAGTAATACTCTAGAAAATCTAGAAATGTAGCTAATTAATTTACACCGTGATGTAAATTTTATTCGAAGATACAAATTTGATTAACTTTTATTAGTATTTGTCAAAAGATAAATATTCTCAGTTAAGAATTTTTGCATTAAGAATAATCACTTTGTTTGGGAGCACATTTACATGTGAACATTTTTTCCACAATTGAAAATTAATACATCTATGAAAAGAACCAGACTACTGATGAGTATTTACAATTTGTGATGAAGATACTTTCCAGTAATTTTCTTCTAAGATTACCCACTTTCTGAAAATCGATAAGCCATGAGGTTGTTATAGCTGAAATGCATATTAAGAAACAAAGAAGCTTATAATTATTTACTTACAAATATGTATTTTTTGTATGCATCATAGAAAAACCTAATAAATAAATGAGAGGTTGTCATTATTTACTCTTAAGTTTTGTCTCTCCTGGAAAGTTTTCACATATTTCTTTTCAATTTAAGTTATAAGTAAAGCAATAACCCTGATATACTTCAATTACTTAAATAAATGTCAGTCTGAAATTCTTAATATTTAGCTGTGAATAAACTTAAATTGCAAAGTAACCAACAGAAATTTTTAGCAGATCCCAACCTTTAGATTTCAGACAGAAAATAAATTGAAATTTTTTCTTTGGATAATTTTTTTATACATTTTCAGAAATAAGTCATTTTTTTTTTTTTTTTAAATTTAGTAAACAAATTTTTTTCTTCCTCTTTCTTGATTGTGGCTTGTCAGCTACTTTCAGATAGTGCATTTGGTCCCTGCACAATTCGAGTCTGAGATCACTGTATTAATGATAAAGAAATACATGCTGATCTAACTTGTAGACTCCCAAGATTGTTTATTGTATTTACTCATGGAGATCTATACTCTGATGTTCTCAGCCCTGGGGACATTCTCAGCCATGAACTACTCATAATCATCATCAATCTGAGTAGGTAGTGCTTCCAGGCAATAAGACAATTGGCTCATGTAGTTTCTCCTACGGTTAGTGAGCTGATGAAGACCACGTACCCAGGATTGGCGAGACTGTCTAGGCTTTGAGACAGTTTTCATGGTCCTTTTATGCAACATTCTTGTAAATCTGTTCCTCTCACCTAATAAAGAGCTGAACCAAATGGTGGGGATGTGTAGAGGAGCGTATAACTCAAGAACATTATACAACTACTTATTTGCTTTAGAAACAATGCTTTATTTTCTACAAAATACTGGCCTACATCATCATGCATATTTGAAATATGTGACCATCTTCTACAGCATCAGTAAGTGAGTTAAAAAAGAAAACTAACTTATCAGAAGGAAAATCCCTGATGCTTCAAGCAGCAGAATCTATCAATGGACTATAAGTACAATCATAGGTATGGTTATCTATAATTTTCAATGCAAACTTTTGAGGTGGACAAAGAAATGAAGTATGATATCCTTCAAACTGACAACCATAAAATATAATGGAACAGTTCTATATTGCCCGTTCTACTGGGCCAACTGACAAAATTCAAATTGTGTTTTTCATGTCTCAAAAGCACGACTTATATTTGATTATATATTTATATATTTGATTATATTTGATTATATATTTATATATTTGATTATATTTGATTTATATATAGCATTGTTCTAACATAGGTATTTTGACACAAAATCGGACTTTTACCTAAATAACATACCAATTTCTTTTCTATATTTCAATTCTATGACTCAAATTATGCCAAGATATTAAATTTTGTAAAATTTGGTGCGAAATTTTAGGAGAAATTCAAATATTTATCTTGGGAAAATGTTTTCAGTTTGCGCTAAGAATAATTCACTTGGTGAACTTATCAATATGTGGCAACCAATTTTCCTTTCCCATCCATTATGGCAGAGCAGAAAAAAAGGCACTCGTTCTACCTTTTTATATTGTGCCTGAGCGGAGAAAACGTCACATCGTTTCTACTTCCAAATAATTTTAGCAAAAGTGTCTAAACCACATTTGATGCTTTATCACTTTTAACAAATATACCAAATTTCTAAATGGGCCGATATATAAATTTCCGTATATCTTCGGAAATTTTGAATAAAATACTGCAATTTTTTGCAGGTACGCTTAGAAATATGTCTACTTTCAGATGATGGTAAAAATTTTATAGATTATAATTCAGAAATTTTTTTGAAAAATTTATAAAAATCATTCAAAAATAAATCAAATGAATGAATTTTATTTGGAATGAACCTAAATTTCAAAACATGAAAGGAAGAATCAAACAAGTTTAATAATAAAAATAGAGATTAATAAATATATACCAAACTCAATTAACATTGAGAGCTAATTTTTTAAAAACTACTTGCGCGATTTTTACATAACTTCGTAGTCTGGCGTAATTTGAGTCGCAGAATTGAAATACGGGAAAAAAATTTGGTATGTTACTTCAGAAAAAGTCTGATTTAGAGTCAAAATAACTATATTACAATGATGCTATATATAAATCTAATACATATCTTAAGTCCCGCTTTCGAGACATGGAAAACGCAAGTTGAATTTCATCAATCGGCTCAGTAGAATGGGAGATACAGAACTGTCCCCCCCTTTTTTTTGCGCAGTGTACATGTCTGCTTTAATTATACTGAAGTTATCCATTTAGCAACAAATGTACATCCATAATTCAACTTTCGGATCAAGGGATTATTACGGCAATGAAAGAATATTATCACAAGTTGACTTTTTATAACATAGATGATATGGATATAAGTGCAAATGAGTAAGGTAAATGCATTTTCTGAATATGTCTTCAGCCGCATTTGTTTTGGTTTGGTTTATTTAATTACGGCAAAGCACACTAGGACTATCTGCCTAAGGAGAGGGATGCCTTCGTGGAGGACTTTCTAAGGGAAACTGGCTCATATACATGTTACACATGGGGAAAACCACGAAAACTCCCATGCAGCCAGCCCGTTCGTGGGATTCGAACCTCGGACCGAACTACCAGTGTTCAGTGGCTTTACTGCTCAGCCGCTGGTGGGCCCTTCAGCAGCATTTGAGAAAAGACAATGAAGAATTGTTTTAAGCACACCATACTTTTAATGAATGATCAAATAAAAGAAATTGAAGATAAGGGGAAAAAATGAATTATCAAATAAAGGAAACCGAAGTACGGAAAAAAAAAAAAAAACAGCAATATCTCTGGTAGAGAAAAATCTAATTTGCAGTACTAATGACAAAAGAAACCATCAGATATAAATCCAAGCAAATCCTGTCGAACACTTTCTGAAGAGAGGATGAAACTGGTTAATTTGTTACAAATGCTGAGATGAGGGATACTCCCGAAATTGGAAACAGGATCATTCAGAATCTTCAAAAATTTGATATACACAGCTCATACATAAACTTTGCAAAACAACTGTTGCCATCATTTACAAATTGCTTTTTTCTAATTAAAATACTGTAAAAATAAGCTTTTATATGTTTCTAGTATGTTTATATTAAATTAGTTATTTATATTAGAAAGTATTATACATATTAGAAATATATAAGATGTGTTCAAATGAAAAGGTATGAAACTCCGTAACAAATAAACAGGAGCAAATATGAATATACTGGTTTGGCATAACATAGTGAGTTATCTAAGGACATGAATGTAGCATCCAACGTGGTTGTTCACAAGCGCTGGCTGTACACATGATACAGGAGAGAAGTAGGCAGTTGTGTGTTCCATCTAATTGATGTGGCAGTGCGTGTGAGAACATCATGGCATTTACATTGCAAAATTTAACAAGTGAGGAGCAGCAAGGTGTTATCAAATTTCTGACTCTGAAAGGGGTTTCACCACCCGATACTCATCAGTACATGGTGGACGTATACGAGGAGACTGTGTGCCCAACAAATCAGTGAGAAAAGTGGAGTGCCAGTTTTCGTGAAGGCTAACAGTGTTTGAGTGATGACCTGAGGCCAGGCCAGGTAAAAATAGCCGATCTCATCAATAAGGCAAACAGCCTGGTGAGAAGTGACGTCTCAAAGGGAAGCATTTTAGCTTGGATGCTGAATTGAAGGACACAGTGGAAGACTGGCTCCTGTCTTAGCTACAGGAATCTTGTAAAGAGGGAATCCTTTGGCTCGTAAAACAGTGGGATAGTTGTGCTCAGGCATTCTGTGATTACTTGTAAATGTGTGTGTGTGATTATGGCAAAGCCTCGAGGGCTATCTGCCTAAGGGTAAGGATGCCTTCGTGGAGGACTTTTTAAGGGAAACTGGCTTGTATACACGTTACACATGGGGAAAACCACGAAAACGCCCATGCAGCCAGCCCGTTCGTGGGATTCGAACCTCGGACCGAACTACCAGTGTTCAGCGACATTACCGCTCGCCCGCTGGTGGGCCGATTACTTGTAAATAAAGTCTGTAGTGTCGTTTTGTACCATTTCATTTGAATATCCCTCATATTAAAAAAAATGAATCCAAAAAATTCCAGCAATATTTTGAAAGATACTTTTTCACACCATTTGATGCCATCAAAGTACCCATGGACAGACGTCATGGCATTAAACTGTGCCTGCTGTATGTCCTAGCTGAAACACTGCTTCAGATACAAAATTCTCTTTCACATGTGACTGCATGACCAGAATCTTTATCTAATAGTTAGTTATATAAATTGAGGAAAATTAAACCATTTTTCTCCTTTAAAAATAAATAAAAAGGAATTAATAAATTTATTTCAAGAAATATCATGAAGACAAGATAGAAAACAATTACTTTTGATTTGGTTTACATTTAGTTCACTTAAAGAATTCACTACCTGCCCATTGGTATTTACTTTACATAATATCTCTTGACATTTTATGGCAAACAAATACTTATAACAATATGCACAAATAAAATATTTGGTAAAGGCATGCAATCAGTGAACAAATGTTTACAGACAAAAACAGGTTGAAGCAAGCACCTATACATCCATTTTGGCATATTTTGTATTGCTTGGCCTTATTAAGTGCTCAGGTTTTGCCCTGCAGGGAATTCCAAGGGACAGCACCCCAGGGAGGGTGGTCCCAGGGTCCCCTGATTTCGGCTCATTATACATTTTAAGCGACCCCTTGCCACACAGACACTATACACTATACTCTCAAACATCTATACTTTCCCCATATTTGAACCTGGGCCTATCAGTATGAGAGTCAGAGACATTAACTGTTATGTCATCTCTTAATTTTAAAGACAGATTCACATTACATATGTAGAAAAGTGCAAAACAGTTCATATAAGCTGATATTTTAGACAAGAATCAAATCCAGGACCAGGGCCAGCGCTAAGCTTTCTGCTACCCAGTGTTAATTCTACCGCATGGTTTCTTCCTAAATTCTAAAACTTTTGCCATCTAGTGCAACTGCACTAATTGCACTAGCACTAGTGATGGACCTGCCTGGAGAGAACTATAGCAACTGGCTATAATTTTCTTCTAAACCAATAAGGGTAGCATATCTTAATTATTCTGACATATTCGCCACTTTTTTAAAACTGTCAAAATACCAGAGAATATGTATACCAATTCTTATGACTATTTTCCATTAAAAATTTTTAAAAAGCATATTTGATTATACTTATTTATGAGAAAGAAAATTTATTTCGTCATTTTTATTCTAGTACTTTTATATATCAAAATCAAGACAATTTTTTAAACTGTCACTGATACAGAAACATTCTCATTTGCAGTTAATGCTAATAAAATAAAATTTTTGCATACAAGGGCTATTAGGCCTAATATTTATTTGCTTATACGTAAAAACCATAACAATACTTTTAATTTTTCTACAATAATCAGTAATTGTTAAGCAAGTTATAAAAAATTCATGGAAATGAAATCCTAAGAAAAGTTTACTAAAACAAATCTACACAGTTTACAATAAAATATAATTGTCATTTAATGTATTAATAGTTAAAAAACTGAAACTCATTTCAGAACAAAAATGACTTAAAACATTGTTATTAATTAGTCATGAATCTCAATGTAGAAAGTACATTTATAATTAAAAACAACAAAAACTAAACAATTAACATACCAAACACTGATTACAATATCTGTTAATAACATTCCTTTTACAATTACAATTTCCAGTATCTTGATCACATGCATTGCCAACTGTACCAGCAGGATAACAAGAACATGCTGAAAAATTAAGACAAAGAAAAATAGAAAAAGATTATATTACTTCAAATTTACATTGAAACAATATTGTATAGAAATTATTTACAAAAAATACTATTCTGAAAGAAACATTAAAAAAAAAAAAAGATCTGTGCAGTAAACACTTATGCTAATATCTGTGTATTTTGCATTCACACATTTAGCTCTACTATGAATGATAATCCTTTTTGCACAATGCTCTTTAAAATTCCATGGTGACAACTTCATCGAATAATAAATAAACACTAAATTCTTAAGCTAAATTTCTGTCTGAAGGAGAATACACTACTACTAAAAATATTCCACTTAGGAGGAGAGGACTAAACACACTGCGAATAAAAGCAAACCCAATTAAAAACAGATTTAAGGGAAGTTAACAATGTAAATTTTTGCAGCTAGATTAAACCACACTAAAAAAGATCAATGAGCACATTTATCAAATAGTTTGTATGATACTCTCTGGCTGAAATGTGCACTCGAGAATACAATTCATCCTTTCAGTAGCACTGCTGATCATTTGCAGCAGTAGTGAACATTCTAAGTGCCTGCCAAGAGTCCTTGGAAGCTACTACTGCAACTCACAATAGATCTCCTTACAAGTCCCCTACAAGCTCTTACCCAATTCAGGTCTACCAATTTCAGAGGCCACTGTGTACCTAGAATTATTTCTTTCTTTAAGAATGTCTGTTTGCTATAGAGTTTACCTAGATACAGCAAAGCAAATGAGTGTCATCTGCCAAAAGGAAGGGTTTAGTTATTTAAATATAGAGACGTCATGAAGGCCATATGCCTAAGAGGAGGGATGCCTTTGTGAAGGACTTTCTGAGGAAAACTGGCTCATATTCACATTACACATGAAAAATAACACCAAAACCAATTACGCAGGCAGTATGTTCCCTGGATATCGAACCCAAGGCAGATTGAGCTATTAGTATCGAGGGGTCTTAACTACTCAAGCTAATGGTGGGCCCCAAATAGAAGGTATTCTTTCAGAAAAAACTTTGTAAAGCAAACTGGCATATCACACTACATTTAGAAAAAACATGAAAATGCCCATATGACCAGCTGATTTTCAAGAATTTGAACTCAGGTCAAACCACCAGTACTTGGGAGTGTGAATTACTTCACCACTGGTAAGTAAGTACAAATATCACTGAACCAGGTAAGCTCCATTGGACCATGTTTTATTGTCTATACATATTCTGTCAGTATCCACTATAGCAACAATGTGGTACAAAAATAAAGTATACAAACAGTAAGGTGCAAAATTTCACAGAGATATCAAAATTAGTTATTCAAACGCCATTAAAACCATGAACATCAACATGGGTCTTCATTACTGCTCCAGCACATAATAGCTGCCTCCTCAGCAACAATATCTTTCTAAGGCCCATATCACATGGCATTTGTTTCACACGAACAACTGTTTCGGAGAATTTTTCTGCCTGCTTTACTTTGAAAGAAGGACGTGTAACTTTTTCCTTCCTTTCCAAAAAAATTGCAAGTTGTTCGTTTTTCAACAAATCAGCTATCAGCTTCAAATGCTATCAGCTTGTTTGCAATGGGGAAGCAGTTTCACCGGTGTTAACCTCAAAGCGATCTATGGTGATTGGCTGTTATGACAAAGCAGAAAAATTTGTTCCAAACAGTTGTTCTTTCGAAACAAATCAACGTGTGATAGCAGCCTAAGATAACTTTCACTCAGTATCAAGTCAGGAATTCTCTTCACATAAAAACCTTCAGGAATCATTCTGAAAGTTAAATTGGATTCAACCACAGAGTATGAAGCTACAGCACAGCAATCAGCATCTAAATGATATAATGCTAGTGACAAAGCTAAGTGTCCCATCAATACCAAGACCACATCTATGGCATAACATCATGTTTGCTGATAAATTATATTTCTGCTTATACCATTGTGACCACCTTAACTGCATGCACACACACCAAGGAAAATAAACTTTGGGAAGTTTGAATCATTCATCTTTAAACTAGCCCAGCACCTGTATTGATGGCATGGAGTCCCTTCATGTACACATCATTTTCACTCTGTCTAGTAATTTGACCAGGCAGTGTTACATTACTGAGGCTTTAATGTCAATGTTTATGCCACATCACCCATGTTTTAAAAGGGCAATAAGAGACTGCATATTGCATATACTGTCCTATGCTTGCACAATACACAGAGACTCACTTTCTACCTTGGCAAGTACATTCTCCAGATATCTCAGCAATTTGTCAATGCTTGCAGCAACATTGGTGTGACAATATCTGCTAATCAGTATGGCACTCGAATTCTGATATAAATCTAAAGCCACATGGACTTAAATAACTGCTATTCAAAGCATGTTCAACTCCAGGGTCAGTAGTTCCCTCATAATGTAGGAATTTTAATAGCTAGCAGTGCATTAAATATGAAGTTCATGATTGTCAAAATTGAATATTTTAAAATTTCAGGAAATCCCTGAAACAATACTGCATCACCAAATATAACAATAATACATGCTTTCAAATGTCTAACAGTTTTTCTTTTAACAGTATGTGCATAACAAATGAGCAGATTCATTGGCAGTTTTCTGGATATTGCTTACCTATTGATCCAATTTATAAATTCTAATTGATACTAAGAATTTGGCTGCTTTATAGAAATTGCTTCCTCAATGTTTCAGCAAGTATAAAATTTATGCTTAGAAATAAAGTTAGCAAACTGTTTATGTTTTACTCTGGTTAGCGACTGCTTATTAGCTGTATTAAAAGCATATGACAGTTGTAGATGATTTCGGCAGTTTTTTACAATTCTCCATCTAAACATATTTAATTTGGCACATATAATTTTTGTAAAACATACAGTTTTCATTTTTTTACTGTACATCATCTGTGCTATATATTTATTTCACAATCAGCATATCTATTACAATATGAAAACTGTATCATTTGCCCATTGCAAAACTGGAGCATAAAGAATTTTCCAACAAAAATTTTTCAGAACTTCACTGAATTCTGCCTGCTATTTTTAACAAAAATCGCTTCCTTGTTTAAGTTAGTTCATATTGATAAAAAGAATAAAATTTTTCTTGCATGAGCAGTTGTATGACAGCCTACTTCCAAAAATGACTACTCTTTAAAGCAATCAGTATTTCTGAGAACAGAATTAAATGTCTGCATAAGTTCATCTTTCAGAAATGGCCACCTTCAAGGAAGAACGAAATCATTAGAAATTAGAGGCGGTAGCCTCTGAAAAGATTCACAGTATTGTTTCCAATCATAAGGGAGGGGGAACTGAAAATCACAAATGAAATGTATGTAAATGAAGGTTACCATTTTACATTCCTTATTTTATATTTTCATTCCAAGAATCAATCATTTATGAAATTTGGAAATAGCATTGCATCACCAAATATTATAATTCACATATTTTTATTTGCATTTTAGCAGCTAAACTTTTTTACTTCCTCATACAAATTAAAGGAAGTATAGCAATCACAAAATATTCCAGGTATTATATTTCTATGAAAATATCCATTTTTACTGCCATAGAATGCAATTTAGCAATGTTTTTGCATGACTTCTGTACTTAGGATAGAATAAAAGACTCTTTTTTTTCCCCCCATAGGAATTGATTTAAATGGAATCAGAAGAGATTTTTTTTTTTTTTTTTTTTTTGTGGTGTCTGTACGTACGCATCTTACATACCTTAAAAAGAACTAGCCTCAGAACATTGAAATTTTATATACAGAGCTGCTATAACATGCAGTTGTACACCTCTCTTTTTGGTTGCAATCGGCCGCAACAAAAGTGATTGCAACCATGAGCTCAGTTTTTTCCCCCTTATATGTTGGTAAATTCTGCATTTTCTCTTTAAAAATGATTGAATTGTGTTGTTATCTTCCAGTTAAGGTTTCTTGCCTTTAGTTAATCTGCATGCGATAGTTGTAGAATTATCAACAATTTAAAAGTTAAGTGCAGCTAAGCTTAATTTTTTTTACCATAGCAGACATATTTGTTTACATTTGAAACTTAGCAGAACAGTGAATTACGTCAGTTTATTTTCAATTTTGCACCTTCAGTGCCTTTTTACTGAGTGTCTTTTTATGAAATATAAAATTTGGAAACTTTCAGATTTCTTTCTTTTTATATTTTTCTATATTTCTAAATTTTTAATAAAGATATTTTGTTGTTTTTTTTTTCCCTTGTTGCGAAGTGAGAACTGAATTAATTGAATGAGAAATACATATCTGATAAAATTCAAGGAAATAATTTTAAATGAAATGTAGCCAAAAAAATGCATATAATTTAATATCCCACAAAAGGACATTGTGGTGTACACATCAAACTTTTATCACAATGTAATTTTAAATGAACAGACTAATATGTACACCTTTCAGAAGTAAATGTTGGCAGAACTCCTTTGCTGGAGATTCATGGGCCTAAGTTAAATGAGTTGACATGTTAACAAAGGGACATACATAGCAGGTCTAGATCATCCAGCAAATAATCGACCCTCAAAATGTCTATGCAAAATAGTATGTTGAAATATTAGCCTTCTTCTGTTAGTACAGATACAAGAAGCCAATTGTAACATTGCTGGTCTTTCACAACATATTTTACTTTAACACAGAACATAAGAGTGTTTATCACTGAAATAATTCTGCAGGATTCAGCTCTATACTATTTATAGATAATTTATCACTTAATAATGATGCCACAGTCAGCTGACTCTGCATTGAATATTAAGTTCTCTAACAATATCAGATTACCTTGCACCAATTTAAAATTTCTAAGCATTCCAATGCATTTGTCATACAAACATATATGAATTTACTTGCGATTTCTAATTAATCTATAGCACATTTCTTAAAACTAATTGCATCTGAAGTGCATGTAATAAATGTTCAATTATATATATTCTTAAACCTTGGATTATATTTTGCACAAATTTCATCTGCATATTTGAAATTACCAATAATGTTATTTCAAGCTTATAACTTTTAGGTTTTAACAACAGCTCTGATATAGCTATCTATCTAGTTTTTATAGCATATATATACATACTGATGCTCATCATATCATTATACACACACACACACACACACACACACACACACACACACACACATATATATATAAATAAATAAATAGAGAAGGATAGCAGTTGGACATGTTCAGGTTCAAAATTATATAGCACATTGTAAAAAAAGTGAGACATTTGACAAATACAAGTTTGAAATTTTTTTAAATGTCATTCAGAAAGTAATTCCAAGCTTTTACTCCATACCCAAGATGTTTAAAGTTTTTAAAGATATTAAAACACATATACTAACTTAAGATACAATTTTTAACACTAATTTATTCACAATTAAAGTTAAACCTATTCTAATTGACAGAGCTAAATTATGCAACTGATATATACAGTACACAGAGAAAGATAGAAAAACTTACTTTCACAGCCTTCAGGATTATCACCACGAAAATTCCAATAACCATTTTTGCAGCGATCACACCTACGCCCATCAACATTTCTTTTGCAATGGCATCGACCAGCAATCATCCCCGAGAAAGTATCAGTTCGGGCATCACATATGCCTTCATCTAAGGACCCATTAGGATCACAGTCACAAGCTGTTAAAAAAATAAATGACATAATCAATAAATAAATTTTAATAATTTGATTTTTGCACCCTCACCAAAGAGTGTTCATGAGACAATGCAGTACAAAAAGTATTTATGTGGCAAACCACATATGCACATAGTAGATGTGTGCTTTGCCCAGTGCAGATATTATATGTATGCCAAGTTTGTGCAAATCTCTGATGTTCTTTTAAGTAGTTAAAAAAGTAGATTTAAGTAATTTAAGATCGATTTATAGTGAAAATAATATAAGTTTTGGAAAGAAAAATATTAAATCATTATTTTGTTAAAGTATTAAAAATGTTAAGTAATTATGTACACAGTTTTTGCACACTTGAACACTAACTGCATTTATAACATATAAGTACATACACACATTCTTAAGGGGTTATAAAATGTTACACCACGGATTCCTTGACAGGCTTAATCAATCCCTAAGCATGACCATTCTGCCTCTGTCAGAGGGTGTATTGACTGTGCTAAAAATGGCAACATGCTTACAGAATGGCGAGAGTAGCATGACAGTACTTTATGATATACTGATGTGTCAGTACTCCTAATATTTATTGCATGTGCTTTGTTCTTGATGCTAATGAAAGGTGATATGCATCAAATAGCTAACGGCCAAACCAAGACTCTCTACTAACAAGATATATAATAGATAGGTAAACAAGGGATTCAACTAGTGGCCATGCCATTAGTAGAATAAGATTCATTATGGAACATATTTTTCCACTCGACAAATTTTATGGTTCTAGCATGATACCATTGCAGCATTTCACTACTACATTTTGGATTAAAGGATAGTCTTTGAAAAGGTCAGCAAGTCTGAAAACCTGCTTCACTCTATGCAGCCAATCTGTCATACACTTATATTTGAGCATTTAAAGAGATTTACATTTAAGCATTCAAAGAGATTTGAATGCTCAACTACAAACATGTATGCAACAATAATTTGTGCTTATACAGAAGCACAAATCTCTTTGGACTTCAACGTACACTAGTATGCAAAACTTAAGCAACTTTTTTGATTTTGATTATAATTTCCAAAAATATTAACTGGGAGACATGAAATTCATACTAAAAATACATAATGTAGTATTTAAAAGAAGAGGAAAGTATAATAGCAAAAAAAAAAAAAAAAAAATGAATAGGAAACATGCAGCACAGAATGAATAAAAAAATAAAGATTTTATCGACATTTTGGTGTTGGTACAAAAAAACTGGCCAAGAAGGAGAGCAACAAACCAAAGAGCCTTGGTAAGGGATATGACTTTCCTTAATAGCAATGGTTGCATTGCACCATCTATGAATACTCAATACCAGAGTTCCCATTCTTTAAGGGACATCTGTTTCAGTTGTCTGGTATTCTCCAGAAGGTTAGATCGTGCCACCAGGCATGCCTCTAAACTATACCACACATGTTCAATGGGATTTAAATCAGAGGAGCATGCTGGCCAGTCCACTCTGATAATATTGTTACGAAATGTACAGGCGCGGTAAGATGGCTTCCTCACAAAGCAGTTTTAGGATTGCCATAAAATGGCAAGGGAAGATATGGTTGCCACATTTGGCAAGAAATTACTTCCCTTTTTTCATTCCACTCTTAAAAAACTAAGAACATAACTGGAGAAAATATGCAGAGTTACATACTCAAATGCTATGTTCTACATTACCAAACCACAGCAAAGTATACTTATAAACATATTTAAAGCAATTTAGCTATGGAAGTCTAACAAAATTTTGGAGAGCATTTAATATTCTGGAATTACATTCATAACATTGGATGGTAAAAAGGAACTGGAGCCTAATAACAGAATGATTTTTTTCACAACTAACTTGAATTCAAATTTCATGGCATTAAAAATTATCCATAGTATGAATTTTGATTCCTGATACTCTGAAGTTGTTGACAATAGGCTGAAAAATTAAACAGGAAGTTCCAATTAAAATATATGTTAATGTACTAACAACCAAAAAGAATTTTCCACTTAAAAGTAAATGTTACTCACCTTGACAAATATTTGGATCTCTAATATCTCTACCAGGATCTTGATAAAAGAAAGGTTTGCAATGTTCGCAGTTTCGACCCATCGTATTATGCTCACAAGCATCACATACACCACCTGACTGTCTTGCAGTAGCTTCAAAAACAGCAGCATCATAATGACATTTTGTTGCATGGCCATTACAGTTACATCCTGAAAATAAAATTAAGAAATGAACACTGATATACCTCACACAGTCCAATTTTGATAAATAATATTTAATATAAAATTTTCAATTAGTAAATCTGCAGTAATTGGAGCAAAAATCTCACGTTTGTTCACAATCAGCATTCACTGTGTAAAGATAAGCATAAGAACTGTAAGCTATAAAGAGTAAAATGGTGTATGCAGAGTCTGTTGTATGATGTGAAAGAAGGCAAAGGTAAAATATATTAGTGTTTGATACAGGCGGCTGCATTAACAACCAGCTCTCCATAGTTAAGTCCTTATAAGTTCTTGTTTTATAATTTACTTTACAAATCATAAATTAAAAAAGGATATGTAATAGCTTTGTCTAAGCACCAGACACTTTATAATTAGGGAATCACTTGTAACTTTGACCTAAATTATTTCTAAGCCACTTCTTCAAAAATACTGCACAAGTTACAACACAGAATATAATATACACACAATGGGCAAGAACAATATACTAACAGCCAAGCCTTATACAGATATCAATCCATATCTTCACTTTGAAGAAGTAATTATCTTCCATTTGAAGACCACAGAAAAAATGTAAATGTATATAAGTGGTTAAGAAGCATAAATAGGTAACATTACAATAAAAACTCAAGAGCTGTGTTTAATGAAGAAAATGCAACAGAAATTTTAATATTATGAAGGTGCATCCTCTGTTCAGGCAAACTGAAGAATCATAAATTAAAATTTTTTAGAGAAAAAGATTAATATGAATAGCAAGATCTGGGCTACAACATTTTATTTGTTAAAAAGAAAATATAGACATGATGATACATATGATAAAATACAAACATTCAATATTTCAGTCTTTCAGCACACCACTTTTATACACATTATCATCTTTTATCTACACTACATTTTTCCTGTATTTACTAAAAACCACATTTAACCATTTTTAAAAAGAGTGTAAACTTAGGTCACAATGTTGTTAGAATGTAATGTGTAAATCTGTTGATCAATAACCAGATTTCCTTTCCAAACTAACATTTTTTTAAAACTAGACATGTGGTTCATTTTTTTAATTTCTTTGTAATGTTTAGTTACAATTAATTTGAAGATATTGTTTAGAAATCACTAAAGTTATCACATTTTTTAACTCGCATAGGTTTACTAGAACTTTAACCCTTTGATGCATGCAATATTATTTTTTCAAAAACAAGTAGTCTCAGAAAATTGAAAAAAATCATATTTTACTTCCTTGTACGAAGTAAAAAAGGAAGTATTGTACATTTCCGGTATCGTATATTTCAAAGAAAATATCCATTTTGACCACTATCGAATGCAATTTTATGTTTTAACTAAAAACTCTAGAAATCGAACATTATGATCCTAGAGACAAATAATATATGAATTTAAAAAAACTCTCTTGCCTACTGATCTGTGTGTGGTGATCGCACTGTGAAACTAGTGTGCGAAACTTACTGAGGTAGTAGGGAAAAAAGTTACCTTTTTTTCGTGCGCATTTCCAATAAATGATGAAATTTGCAAATTAAAAAAAAAAAAAAAAAGTATTTAAGAATTGCATTATATGTAAATTTTTTACATTATTTTACAAAAAAAATTGTCAGAAAAAATAAAAAATAAACATCTATGTAATTTTTCTATAGCAGTGAAAACATAAGAACATACATTATAAGAACATTCAGATAAATGGATAAAAAAATCTGAGTAAAGGCTAAAAAACTTTTTTTTTTTTAATGTCAAAGAACAATTTTTTTTTTTGGGACATTATTCTAAGCATGTTTTGCCTTTCTGGTACATGCATAGACTCACATTGCACATTTCACATATATCTTGTTCTAAGAGGTACTACAAATGTACACCACCGTGATTTGCATTTTACTGGCATATGTCCAATGTTCTTTAGTCTCCTTTCATCTGGCACAAGTTGGTGTTTATTATGTAAATGGTGGGGGGGGGGAAGCTTGGTCCTTTTGGCTTTGGTATGGATCTTTTATTTTCCATTCATATTTATTTCATACGTATTTCATTGCAAAATTTTATAAAATATTTCAAATTTTAAATAAAACTTTTATGCAATTTCTGTTTTTAATTATAGCAAAGTATATTTACATTATATTTAAACCACACAAAATAATTTAAAGAATCACAATACTATCATACACAGAAAGCCTGTTGAGCTCAGAGAAAAATCACTGGAAATGAAAGACATTTTCACTGGGTAAGTGCATGTATTGTTTTGTAATAAAATAACTGTGCGGTTTCAAAGCCCCATATCTCTATCCAGGTAAAAATGAACATTTCTATTTGAAATACCAATGTGAAGAGCAGTGGTTTCAGGGTACAACCACTGAGCCTCTAGAGGATTGTGAGCACTGTAACACAATGCTTTAGTGGCTCAGTGGTCGTGCCCTGAAACCCCAATGCAAATGCCATAAATATATACACAGGTTAATTCAGAAGTCAAACAACAAAAATCAGCGTTATATTTACAAAATTTTCACAGGACTAGTTTCGATGGTTTTACCGAACCACCATCTTCAGCTGCAAAACCGCAAATTTGCGGTTTCGGCTGCAACCGCAAATTTGCACCGCAAATATACACAGGTTAATTCAGAAGTCAAACAACAAAAATCAGCATTATATTTACAAAATTTACCGCAAATATACACAGGTTAATTCAGAAGTCAAACAACAAAAATCAGCGTTATATTTACAAAATTTTCACAGGACTAGTTTCGATGGTTTTACCAAACCACCATCTTCAGCTGCAAAACCGCCTAGTCCTGTGAAAATTTTGTAAATATAACGCTGATTTTTGTTGTTTGACTTCTGAATTAGTATTTATTCGGCGTGTTATTGTGTCTTAATTATATACACAGGTTGTTTATATAAACAGTTTAATCGTTGCTATATTTTTTGTTTATGATAGAAATAAAGATGTGCGAAGAATAACTATTGAAATTTAAAGTCCTTAAAAAAAAAAAAAAAAAAGCAAGCAAAAATTTTGGAAAGAAGAGGAAGAAAAAAATTCGAAAATTGGTGTTTTCAGGGTGCGAGAACGACGTGTCAAAGGGTTAAGAGAGTAGCTGCTGGGAAGTTTGGAAGGTGAGCTCAAAAAGTACTCAGGAATACCCCAGCAGATATCACAACAGAAGTCTCGCACGAAGTATCAAAACCATACTCTGGTGAATTACGAATGAAATTAAACATTGTATAAACTGAATATGTCAAGAAAAAGGCTTAGAAAAAAAATGTTACACATATTTTTATCTCACTTTTACATGCATTAGTCTGTCTTCCAATAGCCGGTTTCCATTCAAGATCATTGTAAAAATCTTCGCAGTCTTGACAGTTTGCCCCTTTCGTATGATGAGTGCATTCACACTGACCATGAACCTGAAATCATTTGTAAATTTATATTATTAACTAATTTAAATATTTAATTTGTATGAATAAATTTTTTGTCACAGTTGCAGAACAAAAGATTCATGTGTAGTTTCACTCATGAATAAAAATTTTGTAATTTGACAGAGAAATATTGTCAACTTGCTGATTTTTTAATCACTACAGGTTTCAAAACACAGTTCTGCATCTGCACAGACCCATGGTCTAAAATTGTCTGCATTTAATTCCCACCACCACTTTTACATGAAGAATATACTGAAGGTAAGTGAGTAAGCAAGTTCAGGCAGTCAAAGTTGAGTTTAAAATATTCACAGTTCCTTTTCATAGAGCTTACCTTGACTTCCAAATGTGTTCATGCATATGTCTGCTCCATTTCTTTCTGATTTGGCAAAGTTTGGTACAAGAAGTGAAGAATCATCACACACTTTAAAAATAATGGTTTAGGTGGCAGTCAGGGACATAGCTAGAGTTTCCAGTGCCTGGGGACAACTGAAGAATTTGCACCCCTTTCTTTGTGCCAAGAATGGAAAACATATAAGGTATTTCTCCCGCTTTCCTAGCATGCCTTCGTGGTCAGTACACCGAGCCAGTATTTCGGAGGTCCATGGTTCGATTCCCAGCAAAGGCAATTGCTAATTTTTCATCTCTCCAGCTTTTCCAATTAACCTAATGTCTCTACAATGGCACCTGAACTAAAAGGGTTGTGGATGAGGATTCTACACACCCAGGATTTGATGATTGGGTTCCCTAAAAACCCCAGTTGTCCTTTAAAAAGAGAAGTATATATGGTATTTCACCCACTTTCCTAGCGTGGCTTTGTGGTGTAGTGGTTCTGCACGCTGTGCCTGTATTCCAGAGGCCCGTCGTTCGATTCTCGGCAAAGGGGTTGCTAATTTTTCATGCTTCCAAAAAATACCTAATGTCTACAAACATTTCATTAAAAAATTTTGTAGCATCAATTTGGCGCCCCTTGGAAGCTGCACTTGGAGACAGATGTCCCCCCCTGCCCCACCCTAGCTATACCGCTGGTGGCAATACAGTAAACCATTTATTGTGATCCATAGAATATATTTTAGCCTTTCGTTAAATCCTTTCTTTAGATTAGGCAATCATTTATTTTTTAATTTTAAGCAGATGGTTTGCATATACTTTAGTCACACTGAACAAATGACAGCCAAGATGCATGGAGTGTAGAAGGCAGTACTGGTTCAGTTTTCAGAAAATCCTTACCTGATGAACACAAAAAAATTATCATTTTGCAGAATATTAAAATGAATTTGATAATGAAAATATAATACGTACAACAGACACAAAATTTTTAGACACTCGCAAACAAAAATAAGTGAAAATAAATTAATCGGGGTTCATAGCCACATTTTAGTTAAAAAAATAAGCACTTATAAGCACTTTTCAAGCACATTTTAAGGAAAAAAATAAGCACCTGTCTAACTACATTATACACAACTGCATAACCTTAAAAGAAAAATTAGACTTGCAATTTAAAATATGAGCAAGGCAATATTTATTAAGAGAATGAGCATTACCTCAACCATGGAAAACAATAAACTTTCTTTTTAAATTTTAAATGACAGTTCAATTTACAGAATTAGTTTACAATGAGAGAAAAAAAAAACTATGCAGAACTAAACTATATTACAAGACTTAATGATGAAATTTAAGTTCAAAATATAGAAATAAATAATAATAAGCCATATTAATGTATTCGCTTGGCACCTAATAACAAATACAATTTATTTTTCCACTCATATTAATATTTAAATAATTTAACTTAAATCAAAATTCTGAACAATTTCTAAATTTTCATTGCATAACAGTTTTCCCTTAACATATATTCCAAGCAAAGTAATTTAAATTTAAATAATTTAACTTAAATCAAAATTCTGAACATTTTCTAAATTTTCATTGCATAACAGTTTTCTCTTAACATATATTCCAAGCAAAGTAATTTAAGTAAAAAAGAGGAACATTTTCTGAAATCAGGAGACGGGAAATTGCTTCATGCAGTCATCCTTTAACAGTAAAAGCTTAACTAACCCTCATACTCGGAAATTGCCGAATATTCCGTATAGTCGAGCGTAACTGGAAAAAGAGGAGGGGGGGAGATTGTAGCCGTTCTTTAGATTTCTCGGCTAAATAAATGATTTTGACATTTCGATATGTGCATCATATAGAAATAGACCAACGGAACTGAGAAATATTCTGCTTAGAAAGAACAGTAAAACTCTTTTAAGTGTTCATAAATAAATCTCAGACTGAACATCAAAATTAATTATCTCTGCAAAATACCGCAAACGTTATTGCGCAATACGTGCATCATAATTCTTCCATACATAATATTACGCAATTGGAATCGGAATCAACAGCTGCCGGTATTCGGAGAATAAAATAGGAAAAGAAAAATAAAGGAAAAGAAAGAAACTTACTAATCTGGGGTGTTTTTTATTCTAATTTTGAACAGACCCTTAAATTTCCGAAACAGAATCATTCTTCGCTTGGGTTGGGTAGACCGCAAAACTTTTAGTCCAATTCAATCCAGATTGGACAGTGACAAAAAAAAAAAAAAAAAAAAGTCCACTGCTTCAATATAACAGATTTTGCGGAGAAAGGGGAGAACCTCCCAACCTCCATACTGTATAATGTATTGGGAAAAAAGAAAAGAAATTATTCTGACTATTTGATTACTTTCCTTTTATTTAAGCCATTCCGAATATTATTCCTTAGAATGCTAATCTGTGTAAAAATAAACCCATTTTTGGAAGTTTATCTACACTTCAGCAGCTACTGCAACTATATTATTATAAATATTCATACGTATACTCATAATATAAGCATAACGATCATAATAAACACGAATATGAACGGACCACGCGAAACGAGAATGCAAATTATTAAAATCTTGATAGAAATTCAAACGTGTGTAGTATTTGGGTGGGAGGAAAAAGAATACCGAATGTACCGGAATTTTCTACGGTTTTCGCAATTCTTTGACCAATAGAACGACATGCACCTGTCCGTACTCTCGTGTGCACCATAGGTTACGTTAATGCAGAAAAATTGGAAAAAGCTATTTCCGAGAGTATGATTCACCATCTGACGTTCCATATAAGGAAGAAAAGTTGTTTATTTAGTTTCGGCTTTGGTACGGGGGGATGCGCGTTCATTAAAAAAAGCACTAAAAGCAAAAAATAAGCGCTAAAAACAAAAAAATAAGGGCTTTAAAGAAAAAGTAAGCACCTATAAAAGCCTTTATATTTTATTTTCAAATATAAGGACTTATAAGCACTTGTAAGGACTGCTACGAACCCTGTTAATGGTATTTTTCAGTTACAGCCATACCAGTTGACACTTCTTTTGTTTTAGCATATTTCCACATCAAAAGATGTTGCCACTTAGGTTTGGTTTGGCTTCTTTCCTAGCAATAATTATTTTTATACCCATTACTTATGCATCCACATTTTTGTACTTTATTTTTAATGCAACGAATTTCAAGACTTACAGTTTGACAAGCAATAAGAAAGCTGTTATCCTGTTTCCTCACGAAAGAACTATCTCATGAAAATTAAACTTGACTTAAAGACAAAATGACTAGATAGCCTTCATTCATGAAATGAAGAAAAGTATGTCCAAAGAAAAATGTAATTTGTTGGATCAGGCATTTCTTTTACTGCTGCTATCCGATTCATTTACTTACAATGTCAGAATTTAATATCTATTCAGTTTTGTAAACTAAAGCTTGCTTCATATGGATCACAACAAAATGGCTGATTGGAATAATTATGAAAGAAGTACATAACACCATCTCTTATCTTGTCCTAATGCTAAAATTGATGGATGCTACAGAATTGTGGGACTTGATGAAAGCTCACTGATAAAAAGAAAAAATGACAGAGTATGTTCTTCCACAAAAATAGGTTTTGGAGGATTTTTGTCATGAAATCACAGAATGTTTCCCTGTTGCTGTACCCAATCTAACCATTTCATCTAGTATCATACTAAAGATGATGGAAAAGAAATAAGCCAAAATTAGTAAATATGGAAAATGCATGGTATGGCTTTAGAGAGAAGCACATAATAATTATTATAACTTCTCAAAGTTTTCACAAGAATACTTCATGCACATTGCCATATTCTGAGCACATTTAAGACAATCAAAACCCTGATCTTTTTTTATGTTTTTCAGATTTTACTGAAATGTTCCTAAAGCTTCATCCAGCAGGGAACACTTTTTGTCTCAACTCCTCCTTCATTAAAGAAACTTTGCATCCAAAAAGTCTTTTGCATCCAAATTAAGTGATTATGGACCCAAAGTTAAATGATCATGGGTCACATTACTTTTAAAAACAATGTTAAGGGAGACTTGAGTCGTGATGTTCTGATGTCACGAGCTGTTATATCTGTTATTTCAGTAATCTCAGGCATTAAATCTTGTCTTGAAATTTAGAAGTAATACGTTAATTTTAAGGACAGATTTGGAGGCAACTAAGTAAAATAACAGCTGTCCTTGCAAATGAAATGTCTGACATGTTTGTATTTAAATAGTAGTTAAATTTTGCTTAGCAAATATTCTCATGCACTCTTGTGGCACAGGCAAGCTTTCAGAGCTTAGAAAATGTTTTTAATTTACCAGAATATACTTTTTATTATAAAACTCTGCCTTTTAAAAATAGTATCACCTCAAATCATAGGAAATTTTAAATAACTTCTTACCTCAAAACCATAACAAAAGGAAAAACATAACTGGAGACTATCAGAATACTTAGCTTTAATAGTTTAACAACTTTCTGAAAAGAGAAATTTTTAAAATTCTTTAGATTTGAACATATTCTTTTAACTCCTTCATGACAGCATGTCACTAAACTGAAAACTCTCTGCAGACGGGTCTGTCATATGTGCATCAGTCCCTTATCTCACTAGCAGCCGGGAGATGCATCGGTGCTTGTATTGATCTTACAGATGGATGTAGCATATATGTACTCTCAAACATACATGTTCTTTTAGAATTCTTCTAAATCACTAGATGGCACTCTGTGTCCACTACAGTTAAGTTTATTTGAACACATACCTTGTTAACTTTGTATCCGTAAAATACTTTTGGATTCTGGAGATTCAATTAGATGTATAAGCAGATGATAAGAAGCCAGCTGATGTGTAGTTGGCTTCACGTGATATAAACACTGAACAGTTTCTGATGCTTCAATTTCCCCCCCCCCTTATGGGAAGATTGGGAAGGGAGCTGTGGTTTCAGGAACTCCCAGTTTGTATTCCATTTACATCTTCTTTAGATGGCAGACGTAAGTTTTTTTTGCACCGGGAAGAGATTTAAACTAATAGTGCAATGACTAAGAGAAACAATTTTTTTAATGGAAGAAGAGTATATTCGAATTGTAAAAGCCCATGAGTGATTATTTTGACACCCAAAACTCTAGATTTACGTGAGAATAGCGATTTTGATACCGAAATTTTCTCAGACTGAACTGGAAGTCTGTTTTGCTTTCACCTCACAATCCAGCAGATCAATGGCTACTACAGTATGTGTGTATTTAATTACGGCAAAGCACACTAGGGCTATCTGCCTAAGCGGAGGGATGCCTTTGTGGAGGACTTTCTAAGGGAAACTGGCTCGTATACACGTTACACATGGGGAAAACCACGAAAACACCCTTGCAGCCAGCCCGTTCGCGGGATTCGAACCTCGTACCGAACTACCAGTGTTCAGCGACTTTACCGCTCGGCCACTGGTGGGCCTACTACAGCATGATCTCGATCAGTTAAGTAATTGAAGCCTTATGAATTTACGAAAATTGCAGAAGTAAATTTAATTCAAATTTATGTGAATTAAATTGATCCCCCCCATTTTTTTTGATAATCTAATGAACATAATAGTTGAAGAAACTAATAATTTCTAAGAACAAAAGATAAGTCAAAAATCCAACTTCATCCAAAATCAACATACTCCTCTAGATGTGCCTAAGATGAGAGGATTCCTAGGATTAACTATTCTGCTGGTATGGAATTAAAAAGTTTGACCTGAAAATGCGTTTTATAACTAATGAAATTATAGGAACTAGATTATCACACACCATCTCCTTTCTGAATCATTTATGCTATAATATTTGATCATCTATTTTATTATTTTTTACATTTGTTACAGACATAAGATTTTACAACATTTCATCAAGATGAGTTAAATATTTTATTTTGCATTTAGATTTTAATTAAAACTTTTTCAGAAGCTCTTGATATTCTGTATTTATGTTACTGTTAGATGACAGAGCAAAGAATCAAGTCAAACACTCCTGATAGTTATCCTAAATAAACTCCAATACCATATACTGGAGCAAAGGGTTTTACTGTATATTCCAACAAAGGGTTCCAAAAAGTTGTATTCCATACATTTACTTCATTCATATCATGTACTTTAGACAAATTAAAAAGACCACAAAAACTTCAGAGGAATGTTTCATAAAATCTATACACATACAGGTACAAAAACAATGCAATTAGCATACTTGATAAGAATACAAACTAATAAAATATATCATGTACATTAATGCTAGAGTGTAGTGTTACAGTTTGAATTTTTTTTTCCACATGGGGGCAGTTTCAATATTTGGTATCAATTAGAAAATGCCTTTGTTAAGGACTTCCTAAAAAATTCCCCTTATCTTTACACTGCACTTGTTAAAGACCTACCAAGCCCATTTTAATACTGCCTGTAATAAAACTACTACTGCTTTGCTTTAGCTATTCAAGACACAGAACAAATTAAGATGTCTAAAGATAGCAGGAATTTATACCATTAACAGGAAGACAGATTTCTTTCATTTACTTGTTATGGTGAAAAAGCAATGAGTATTTCTTTGTCAAAACATGCACCAATACCTTTCATCACTTATGACAGTTTTCATTACTTGGATCATTTTTCAGAGTTATGCATATCAGATTTCTTCAATGAAGATTATACAAGATGCTTATCTTAATTTTAAAGGTACAAACTTCCAGCTAAGTCAATTAATTCCTTTTAAGGGAAGTATAACAAATTACATTCAAAATTTGATTAATGCTATACTAATTTTTACTTATATTAGGCACAATAAAAGAAAAACAGGAATTCATAATAAAAGTTAACCCTGAAAATTGAGTAAAATTTTGGGAGAGGGAAGATTGCAGTTAAAACTATTTACACAATACAAAATGACTTACCATATCAGGGCGACTAGGAGTACCAGGTGGAGCAACACATCGACTTGCATGCCCATAACATGAACAACTTCCACGTACTACCATTTCATAAATAGCATAATAGTACTTTTCCCTTATTTCTGCACTGGAATCTAGAAGGTTGTCTCCTAACGTATGAAGCTTAGTGAAATTTATCCTCAGGTTAGTCATTTTCAGTAAATTCTGAACATCAGAGCTATATGGATCATCAATAGGAATATTTGGTGGAAGTACTCTAAAAATAACCTAATAAAAATATATTAAAATAAAGTGAATAAAGACAAGAAGACATATATTCAGAAACTCTTAATATATGTTTAATAATAAGAAAATATAGCAATAAAAATATATGAATTAAATTGTAATTATTTCCATATCTAAAATAAATAAAAATAAGCTATGAAAATTTTATTTTGAATTATTTTACCTGCAAATTTATTTCTAATATTATTTAATTATATGCATTTGCAACCAGCACACATTTCAATGTAAAGCCAAAAACATCAGAAATTTCATGTTAGTTTAAAATAAATGCTTTTGCAGCTTAATGATTGGAAATTTGTCTCAACAATCATTACCCTACGGTTCCACATTAAGCATATAATCTGCAACATAAAACCATATAAAAAAAATCTTTTAATTTGTAATAGTTTTCTTTGTTTTAAACTGTGTATTTTTCCTCTCTGTCTTCTAAAAGTAGAATCGGCTTATAATAAACCTATTTACGTTGTGTCATTTCAAAATTAATAGTCGCAATACAATGTTCATGTACACTCATGCTAAAAAAAAAGAGCAACAAATGCTAAAAGAAAAAGTACCACTGTAAAAAGAGGAATTAAAACATAAAATTTACATATGAGGCAGTTGTTGCATCGTCAAATGGAAATGGGCAACCAAAATTAGGATAAAATACAATCCTAATCCTACAGTCAAACCTCACCATCTTAAAGAAGGGCATGTTAGATCTATGTGTCATTTTGCAAGCAGCAATAGTTTCGTGTCATCCGAGATAGCCAAAAATGAAAGCATGAGCCAATGCCACAATCTGCATGATTGAAATACATTGGAGGTCTATCAGGATGTTGCAAGCCGTTACAAGACAACCCACTGTTGCAAGAGAGATGAATGCATTATAGTGTCATCAAGTAGACTGTTGAATCATTACCAAAGAGATCAAAGCCCTGTGGAAGATGTGCATCTGGAAGCCAAAGGACTACCACAATGGCAGGCAATTATTTCCTTCTACTATGTGCAATATGCTGTAGATCACTAATAGCACGACAGCTGGCGCTGCATCTCTGCTGCTGCAGCATGATTCATATCCTAAAAAACTGTGTCACTTTAACTGCATGAATGTGGACTGTACACCCAATGACCTGTGGTTTGCGCTCCTTTGTCTCCATCGCATGTCATAGCACAGCTGAATTGGGTCCTTGAATATTGCATACGGACACCAGAACAAAAGGAGCCATGCACTTTACAGATGAGTCTGAATTTAACATTCAGAATGATTCTTGAAAGGTGATAACATAGGAAGAGGCAATGACATTCTATCAGGTACCAAACGTTGTCAAAAGAGACATTACAGAGGAGGAGGCTTACTTGTATGGGCTGGGATAGCAACAAACAGCTGCAATGACCTCTACGTAATTCCCATTGGTTCCGTCACAGCTGTCCAACATCGTGATGAAATTCTAAACCCTCTTGTGCATTCCTATATCACTGCAATGGGTATCCATGCTATATTTACAGATCATAACGCCTGCCCACATAGAGCTCTGGGGAACTTTCTGGAGAGTGAAACCATATATATATAGAATATTAAAAAATACACAGGTATGACTCAGTTAATTACCTGCAAATAATCTGAATTTAGAGTACAAATTATAAAGGGAACAATGTAAACAACACCTAGACATGACTTAAATTTGCAAAATTGTCTGATCCACCCAACCCTTGAAAGTACAAACTATCAGAACTCTAATGTGTTGGCAAAATATTCTAAGTTTTCTATAAAAGTTAATACAAAATACACTAACTTCTCCTTCGGTACTTGGCTCAATACCTGAGTATTGAGAATCGCAAACAACATCAGTAATTTTCCGCCGTGGTCCACGAGGTATTCCAGGAAATGACTCAGCACAATCATAAGCAAAATACTGATACACCTATTAAGAATAAAAAGCAATCACATCTTAGAACAGTTAAAATAAGCCAATTATTCACTAAATTTCTTTTAAAGCTAATAATTCCTTTTCTTGCAAAAAAAAGTTTTCCCCTTGTTTCCTAATGAATAAACGAGATACACGATTTCAAATAATAATTCAAATGAGAAAATTTAAAACAAAATCAATATTCACGCTTATGAAAATGCATTAATTAACTTACATATAGTTTTCAAGTATATTCTAAAAATAAAAAGATCACTGCAAATTAAACAGCACAGATTATAAACTTTTCTAGTAACAAAACAGTATATTCTTGTCTCGCAAAAAAGGAGGGAGGCATTTATAACAAATGATAACTTGTGTACGAAATGATAGATTTGGCAAATTTTAAGACTGCTCAACAAAGTTTTGGCCTTATATCCCAAAATAACTCGCCAACAATTCTGTTGCCAATTCTTTTTTGAAACCTGTAAAAATCATGCATACTGAGAGTAGCCATGTCTTTACCTACGCAAATAATAACCTAGTATTTGCATGTGTTTTTCTTAAACTTTGTATTTACTGCTAATTGATTTCTTTATAGTACTTGCAGCACGTTGTTACATATAAAGCATATTTTAATGGTATTCTTTGCTTTATTTTTATGATACTTCTTGTTTGATTATGGGATTTTGATATTTATTTATAACAAAACTGAAGCTATTTTATTTTATTTTATTTTATTTTTATTTTTTTTTTTTTCAAAATATTACATACTGGTAAACATTCAAGAATGTACTAATTCTTTTCAAATGAGGTCGGATGCTCAAGAAAAAAAAAAAAAAAACCTTTTGTGGAAGTGCAACATCAAAAAATGTAAACAAGAAACATTAATGTATATCAAAAACTAATTCAAACAAAGCAATTCAACATATAAAAGCCATTTGATATATTCTTTGCTTATATAAGAAGCTGATATAGATCAAATTCTGCAAGTATCTATAGATGGTATATAAATATGTTGCAGACTTAAATAATCATCTACAGCACCTATGCACCTGTAAAAGAGATGCAAAAAAACTTGAAAAAAAAAATGAATGGTTAAGGACAGACTGTCAAAACTGATGATTAGAACAGCCCTATCACCTAAGAAAGCCAACTGGTGCTGGCATCAAAAGGAGGCCAAAACAATGATTTAGTATGTATCAAACAGGCCTTCAAAAAGTGCTAAATTATGATATTAGCTTGGAATATAAACTAAAAATAATGCAACAGATTTCCACTATGCAAGAAAGCTTTTATGAGCAGCAATTGCTTGTTCAACTGTCTTAGTGTCACAAAAGAGGATGAATTGTATAAAAACTATCTCACTGACTAATGTCTTTAAACTTTTATTTCCTAATTTGTATCTCATTCAGTAAATAATTTCAGAATTAAACATAAAGGGTATAATAAAAAAGAAAATATTTTTATAATCTCTGAATAGCATTAAAAATACTTCGTACATATTGATGCAGATCAAGCTAAAAGATATGCGGTAAAAGTTTCAAATTTAAGAAACAGAAAATGACTGAAGGAAAAAAATAAAGTTGATTTTATGCAGGAGGGGAAAAAACAGCATTCTAAAATTAATATAAAAGTTCCTATGTATACATTTCCAGACCATTAAGAGAACTGAAGCAGGCTGAAGAAATCTTTTTGAGAACTGTGACAAAATAAAAACTCATACTACAATGTACAATGCCTCTTGATAATGAAATGGGACTTATGCTACTCTCTCTCAAAACACACACAAGAGAAAAAAAAAAAAAAAAAAAAAAAAAAAAAAAAAAAAAAACCTTATCAAAGAATGCAAAAAGTAAAAACTGATACATATGCAAGTCTGAAAACTGAAGAAAATGAACATGATTTATTTTTTCATGCTCAAGCTATAAAACATTTTTGCTCCCAATGAAATTGTCATTATATAGAAATAGATAGCTTTGAAAACTATTACATAGGAACAACTTACTAATCAAGCTATACGAGTGGTGCAAAAACATGTGGCTGCACATTAGGTCCTTTACTCAATAATGGTGTCATTGAATCATTGCCATTATCACCAGTAAATCAGCTATCTAAAGATGTTTTTGAGGTTACCTTAAGTAAGGCAAAAATATTCCCATATTTCATTTTAAAAATGTCAAGAATGAATACAAATAGCGATGTACTGAAAATAATGCTCATATCAAATGTGGTAATCATCAACCAGAAAACTAGAAAACAAAAAATTTCACGAGGTGAACGCCTGACTTAGAATTCTAAATTTATTACATGAAATGTCCATAAACAGCACTGACCTTTATGACAGTGTCTATCATATTGATGGTTACCACTTAACAAGTATCTAAGTTAATAAATACCAAATTTTTCCTATACATTTATTTTACAATAAACAGATAAGAAGGAATTTTTATCTATTTGAATCATTTTTGATGCTTATATATAATGCACCAACAAGAAAGCTATGGCTTCTATTTAATACTTCTCACATTGAATCTACACAATTTTTTCCCAATCTTCACATAAATTCCAATACATAATACCATATTCTCTCGTATATAAGATACACATTTTTTCACAAAAAAGGAAATGAAAATCAGGGGTGCAGCTTATACATGCAACTGATTAAAAATTGTTACATAACAAAAACAAAAAAAAATTCAGCTGGATGCATTTCCCCCACATTCTAATAGCTAAAAACGCAAAGAATAAAAACGAAGATAAAAAAAAAATTTCCCAATGAAACAAACAAACACGCCGGTATCCCTTTAACTTAAAGAGCTGTGATTCCCAGTTTGTTTCACCAATAAATCTTTCAAAACCAGAAGCACAGAACAGAAACTGATGCTCATACATGAAGGTCAAAAGTCACATGACTTAACCAATGTGAAAACCATTAACATTTAGCACCATCTAGTGGCATTTAAAAATTCAAATAAATTGTCCCGTTTTCATGTTATGTATATGCGATGCTGGGCAGTAGAGATTGATGGGAGACCTTCGTGTATATGCAGCGCTTGGCTAGAAAGAGTGGAATCATTGCATCGAGTATACGCGACGTTGGTTCTGAACGGGTTAAAATTAAAAGATAGATATATGTTGTGGGATATTCATGGCTTATCTTCATGTTTTTGTTTTTTCTAAAATTATACATATAAAACTTAAGGGTGTGGCTTATACACGTGAGAATACAGCATGTCAAATAACAGCAGCCACTAAAATTACTTTCAAAGGCATAAAATAGTCTTTCAATCTAAATAGCATATTTTGCAGAATATCTAACAAAACCTCTAAATTAACTTATTTTTACTGATAGCACCAGAACACTTACTTTAAATGTGATTACATACAACAAGAAACAAGTTATGTTGTCAAAGGTAACTAAGTCAAAGGTTATAAAACTTTAAAAGAAAACTGATTATTCTTGAAAACAAGTATTTTGGCATCAACAGGGAATATGATCTCTCTCCTATGAACTCATATGCATGTAGGAATCCAACTCCATACTGTTAATAAAGTTACAGTGAGTGGAAGAAAGTTTCATTCCTCTACGAATATGGCTAAGTCACTGATATATCAAGGAACATAATTTCATTATGCAACATTTTTTTCAAGAGTGTTCCATAAGTTTTTTATAGGATTCAATCTGGGAAATATATCTGGCCAATTCCTTTAAAGAATACCTTCAATTCAAATTCAGAATAATTACGTTTGCTCTATATTGAAGCTCGTTATCAGACATAAAAAAGAAACTCAAGATCCACATCCATTTTTAGATATAATAAAGCCATTTTAAGACTTCATCTTGATATTTTGAAGAAAATACAGGTCATCTGCTGCACACATACAAGAACGTTTATCCTTTCATCATTACTGCTTCCCACATAATCATATCTGCATTACAGTAACAATTCAATGCCTTAATGCTGATTAGAATATTTCATATTCTTGGCTACCACCAAATGTAAATGTGTTTATTATGAGATATTAAACAGAACCTTGACTTGTAGCCAAACATAACTTAAACCCATTATTTGCAAACTGAGCTAATGCTCTTATCACATATTCACGTGTACCATATTTTTTTGACAGTTCAATGAACACAAGCATTTGCTTCTCTGGAATAAAAGCTTTTCTCATTAAACCTTTAGCGTACAGCTTGCCAAGATACAAAAATTAACAAAACTAAATTCAGATACCTAGATGTTAAGTTCCGGCTGCAACAAGTAGCTACAGAAAAATTTATCCACAACCTTTTCCTAGCTCCTAGTAATAGCTTCAGAATAATTTTTAAACTGTTTCCAAATAACAATAGCAATCTGTCTGGAACTATTTAGTAATCTCGTCTTTTCTTGCTTGCCTTGCTCCTAAATAATCAACAGCTCTCTACTTGAAAGAATCCTCCAAACAATACTTCTACACCATTCAAAAAAAAAAAAAAAAAAAATGTTTTGACTTGATAAACATTGAAATCAAATCTTGAATTGTGAATTGTAGAAATTCCGAAGGAAATGAACTTTGTGTGAAGGATTTTCCATGTTATGCCCTTTTTAGCCTTTTTAGCATAGACACTGTTATGCCCTTTTTAGCACTTTAGAATCTGACCAAACTGAGTGATAACAGTCAAAGTTTGCCCTTTGCTGATTACATGAAAAGTAAATCAAAATGACTGACTACCTAAAGAAAAACCATTACTTTTACAAACATAATTTTTCACAGCAGTACATATAAAAAATACAAACAAAAATATCAAAAATTAATGTTATGAAAAACTGTAAATTACCTTCCATGTTCGACCAAAGTCATGAGATCTTTCAATAAGCATTGCAGCAGGTCTAAATGTCTTGAATGTAATTATTAAATGTGTAAAGTGAAATTCCTCAGTTAAATCTAGTTGAATTTGAACATTTTCAACCCCATTTTCAGACTGCCACCATTTACGAACTTGTTTGGATTTTTTTCCAATTCTAAAACAACAACAAAATTTAAACCTTCACAGTTTCATAGTGCTATACTTCCAACTTATATTTGAAAGTCAGCAATAAAATCCATACACATAAAAAGGCCTTAAGATGAAGTCACAGGTTATGTCCTTTAACATTTAGAATATGAAAAACTGTACAACATTTGATTTCTTAAATCATATGTATGCCTTACAAGTTGACTAAGGTGAACTGTCATTAATTAGGTATTGTATTGATTATCAAAACTGAACTATTGAAAGTATTTCAGAAATCATTCATATTTTAGATACTTTGGTTTTAATTAAATTAACAGAAATTTTGAATTATACAATTCCAAATACATGAGAGTTAACTATATTTATTTTGACAACATTTATATTTATTATTACATGTTATATTTATTTTGAAAATTTCAAATATGTGGATTCAAAATTTAGTTAAATTTCTTTGTTTGCATGAAATTTGGTTTAAATTACCAGAAGGAAATTCTATAAAGATATCAAATATATTCAAAATTACCAGAGGGAAATTCTATGAAGATATCAGATATATTCATAAAAAACAAAACAAAAGAAAAGGACAAAATCCTTTAATTTGGAATAGCATGTGGCAGGTAACCATGCAAGTAAAATAAATCATGCACAACAGCCATATAAGTTACTGACCACAAAGAGCTGAGTTATTTAGAAACATGAGATGAAATGATCTGACAGTGCAATAGTAATACTAACATTCTCATTAATGTCTGTACCTTGCATTATAAAAGTTGTAACTTTATGACAGCATCAAAGGATTTTAGCCATATGCACTGTGTCCGTCATTAAAGCCACTCAGATCACATTGCTCAGGACTGGTTTTCAGAGCATGAGGGTAAACTTTTACATTTACCATGACCACCACAGTCACCAGATATCAATATTATTGAGGCTTTGTGGACTAATTTGGAGAGAAATCTGCATGAGCGCTATCATTATTAACTGAACTTGCCAACATTTTACAGGAAGAATGGTACAAGATTCCCTTGCTAAGCAAACAAGACCTCTATAGTTATCCAATCAGAGATGACTGCAAACTGTTTTGAATGCCAACGGTATTCTTACACCATATTAGTCAGAGCAATATGTTTTTATTTTGGTGGATCCATATTTTTGTCCAACCCCCTGTAAACTTTCTCATTAATGTTTATGCTTTGCATTATAAAAGTTGTAACTTAATGATAGTATCAGAGGATTGTAGTAATATGCACTGTGTCTATGATTAAAGCCACTCAATTTCAGAAATTCATTAACCAATGGTTCTTCAGTTCTGATATTGTCTTCAACTGTAACAAATCAAAGGACTATAATGAATCTCACTTTAAATACCCAGTTCAGATTACAAAATGTAAAGGAAGTACACAGAATGCTCAGGATTTCTCAATGAGATCAGTGTCAGGTACTTGCTGTTAGAAAGAACTGTATCTTGCTTGAAACTGTACTGTAAAGAAAACTCAATGCATTTATTCTGGAAAGTATATACGTTAACACAGTGTAACTGCTATTTGATTGTTAGCTTGTCATTATTTTTAGCAATGTCATTATTGATTTCATACGCTTTTCATACAGTGAGAGTTCAATGCTACAGTTGTTCATGATTCAGAATATACAACCCAAGCAAACAATTAAATCAACAGCTGCACCAAGGGTTCCTTAGACCATACTGAAATATTCACAATTCTTCTACAGAACAAGTATTAATAATGAATGTTGAATTAAAGCCGCAAAAATTTACTAAAATATATTAAAAGATACATGGTTATGCTGCAAAAGTTTAAAGAAAATATATAAGAACACAAGGATCAAACACTCTCAGGAATTAATTTTCATAAAATGATAATAAAAGTATATTCTAATGGTATATTCTAATACACTAACTTTCTTAAATACAAAAAAAAAAAAAAAAAAAAAGGTGGGGAATACAGAAAGCTAGCATTAGTACACAACCCAAAAGAAAAGTCCTAACCAATCTAATTTTTTTTTTTTTTTTTTTTTTTTTTTTTTTTTTTTTTTTTTTTTTTGGTCAATGTAACTACCAGAACCATAATCTTCTTGAATGAACAAGTGAAGTAAAATTTATGAGCAGCTTTCTGAGGGGAAAAATTATTCTCTTTTTCTGAAGGTTTAAAGATATACAACTGTGAGAAATTTAAATGTAATTATGCTCAAATGCTTTTTAGCACATACCAAGAAAATCTTTCTTTTAGTTTCAACTTTATTAAATTCACGTGCTTTATATTTTACTGCAACCTTCTAGGAATTTATAGATAAATGTGAAAATATAATAACAATCATCAATATTTTCTTTTAATCTTCAGCTAAGTAATATACCTTCTCCAACATTTGGTTTTACTGCATGCACACACACATTTAACACTGTAGTGAATTTTTTTAACCAGGTATGGAACTGTGTAAAAATAGTATTTTATTATTCTTTTCTTTTCCCTTATTTTCTCCAACTTTTTTTTTTTTTTTTTTTTCTAAATTTCAACAGGGATTAAAGCTTCTAAATGCTCTATAAGAACAGGCAATATTATAAGAGTTACTCCAGTTGCCTTCTAAAGGGATAAATCAATGGTCATGGTGCCACCTAAGACAATGCACAAATGATTTTATGACAAAACACTTAGTTCTGCTTATGCAAATTGTTTTACTCACTTTCACTTCTTACAGAATAAAATCAAAAATAAATTTCTGTGTAAAAATATTTAGTTGGATAACTATTAAATAAATCCTCAGTTACTTGCAGAAATAAAATTTGAACAGAACAACTCACTGGAAAACACTTTTCCTGACAATCAGGAAACATTACGTATAACAATTTAACCCTATACTGTATGATGCTGCTATTTGTCAACATAAATCATGGTTATCCATCTCATTTCCAATTGGGAACATCATACATTATGATAAATACTGATATGGGTTCTCTGCATGTAATTCTTGGTTAAGTTCATGCATGTCACCGATGCTTTATTTGTATTGAAATATAGGTGATGGCATAGTAACAGGTGTTACTGAAATATGCATATTTGTAATATATTTCAGAGCCAATATTATTTTTGCCATTTTAAAAATCTGAGTGTTATATGTGTAGAAGAAATAAAAAATATTATTTTTGCCATTTTAAAAATCTGAGTGTCACATATATGTGTTGAAGAAGTAAAAAAATGGAAATTTTTTCCATTACTCTCTCGGTATAAAATTATGTGTTGCTATTTAGCAATACTATGCATTCAGAATTTGCTGGTATACTTATGTAAATCAACTGACTGCTTGCATTTTTTACTGTTTCCACAGTTTTATGGATTGTTTATGAAACTTATGTAATAAAACATTAAAAAATAAATAAGTTCATATTGTGCATAAATATCATTATTACTAAATCTGATGAAATATGGTTTTCAAACTCACAGGTTAACAGTAAAGATGAAAGTGGGATGATGATGAAATTTAGGAGTAGTAAAAATTCACAAAAACAATGACAGTCAAACTTATTGTTTCTGAAGTGAATCCAAAAAAGGCCTTATTCATTCCGAATAATCTTCTCTAGTAATCAAAACTTCAGTTCTTTCCAGGTATGTAAACCCACAATGCAGTATGTTCCTCTTTTCATTACTTCCGTTTTTTTTTATTTCCGTTTTGCCAGCGCAGGCAATAAAGTCACCAATAATGGTACAACTGATGCCAAATGGAATATCCTCGCTGGTAACCTTTTACGCCTCATTTTCAAAACAAGTAACAGCCATTTCTTATCAGATTGATTGTTTCTTTCAGTACTGGCATACAATAACATAGAATTTTAACCCAGATAGATGAATTTTATGCCCTAAAGCCATTCGTGGTAATTAAGTCAATTAGAATGCAATCACACCACTCACCCGAAAGGAAAGATATAGAAAAGGCAAAGTCAAGGGTTAAACTCATCAATTCTAATGAGAATGCACTAGCAAAGTAAAGCACTGCAGTTTTACATAATTTCTGAGTAAGATATTCATATGAATTGAAATAATTCTTTCATTTAAACTTGTATTCCAAACTAAGAATTAGCTTGAAATTAATGTAGATAATTACTGAGAGAATTAGATTTTTGTAGCGTAGTTTACATGAAATGAGAGCACTTGGTGTCACGTGATATGAAATGCGAATCGAGATGTTGAACCATAAAAGCATAATAAATTCTCAAATTAATGTCTTTTTACAAATTTATTGTCTTTATTTTATTGGCTTTTTACAAAATTTTAAAAGATATTAAAATGTTTATGCTTTCAAAATAAAAAAAAAATCTTAGAACTAACATTTGCTAAAATTTTTTATGTGTATACTGTATGTTGTCGCCAAAAAAGTCTGCTTGATGAGATTTGCGTCGGTGAAATGGAAAAGTACCCTTTCTTGGAACCCTGCATATGGTAAACATCAACATAGGTTTGTAAGTTTAACATGTAATTTCACTTTTTTAAAGTTGTTTACACATAAAAACAAATCAAATGTATGTAGCTTCCTTGAATTTAATGAAATTTTAATGACATTTAGCTTTTGTATTTTAAATTTAAATTACCAACATTTTCCATTTTGAAAGCAAAAAAATAAAGAGTAAAGTTTGCAAAATATAGATAATCCCTGTGCACATCAAATTAACATGCTGTTGCCACAAACATCTCTTAAAATGAAACCTTTCTATGATTAACACTTTGTTAATGTAAGTAAAATATTTTACATATCAAAAAACTCATTTACCTGGAGACAATATTTTCAATTCCATGATATAATTTTGGGTCATTTTTATTTTTAGGTAGAGTTTCACACTGAAAACACTTTTTTTTGTCTGTTAAATAACTGACAATACAATAACGTTCCGAACCCTTTGTTCCACATGTTGATGATGCTCTTAAATCATTTTCTCTGCCAATTAGGAGATTGCCAGTAGCCGGATAACAACTTGATTCTTCACAAGCATGGATGGGGAATGATCCCTGAGAAAAGACACCTATAAAGTAAAAAAGATTAGGAAGACTCATGAACATCCTTAATAATTTAACAATGATTTAAATGACAGTTAAACTCAACAATATAAGATTTTGGAATAGGCAAGGTACTTAAAATTTACACACTGAATATAATAATTGGAACATTTTCAAGCTTGTATTCATAGCACTGCCATGAAAAAATGGCACCGCTCATGAAACCTGACACTACTTTTCAAATTTTCAGAACAGTTATAACTTTGTATATGGTATGCTATATTCCTACCAAAAGAGACTCTTCTTTAACTAGTAAAACTTCATAATGATATTTATAAGAAGGTAAGTATAAGTACGGAATATTTGAAATACTGCAAGTATATAAAGTTTGCCAATGTTAAAACATACAATAACTATTTACACTAATATTGAAAAGAACTAATAATTTCAATACTGCAGACATTACAAGTTTTCAATATCATTTTGCTTAAAAAAAAGTTGATATGGTAAAATCTTGGATTGTGAGGAACTTAGTCCACAAGTGTTTTATATAAGATGAGCAAAATTTTTTATGAATTCTAACTTGATAAATGATCGATGTCTCAAAATACAATTAATTCATATACATTCTACCAAGCATCTACAATCAAGCTGATAGTTTTTCTTCCTCTTATTGCTGGAGTATGGGTAATCATCATCTATGCTCAGCCTCAGACAGCTTACCTTACTCACATAGTTTACCTTATAACCTCATGACCACATTGGTGCATATAAATCTTTTTTAATATTTCCAAATGTAATGATTATTTAGTAACTATACTGCAATGCTTACCTCTAAGAAGAAAAAGGCTTAAATGAAAGAAGTAAAGAAGAGGAAATTATTACCATGGAAATCACTGAGAATCAAACAAGGTACACCTTGAGACACACCTACTAGCATTCATGCAAATACCAGGCATTGTAAAATTTTGATAAGTTTGCATCTATGACGTGTACCATTTATAAAAAACAATAAGGAGACAAAGTATAACCAAATGAGTGACAAGAGTATCAAAGCTATGGCCACATGTTCTGGAAGAAGTAGAAAAGTTGCTTCACATCTGAATAAATGGGAAGAAAAGTACGAGATACTATGACCAGGAAATTTTATGTGTGAGAAGGCAAAGACCTTGTTCACTGATATCAAAAGTAAACTATCAGGCTTTAAAAGACATGCAAGGGATAATTTGGTAACTTAAAAAAGAGAAATTGCACTCCTAGTGCTAAGAGGCATGGACAAGCTATGAATTTGGATACACAGGCAGCTGATGCAGTTAAGTTCCAGAAGTTCATGGTTTCCTACAGTATCCATTCCTCCTGCAACAAGTTAACTGCAATCATACAGAGTTTTTTTTTTTTGGGGGGGGGGAAATGCCAGGATGGCAGAAGTAAATACAATGCCAAATCACAATTCCAGTTTCCCATCTTGCTGTGTGCTAATGCAAGCAGATTCCAAAAACTAACCTCTTACTTGTGCATCACTTTGAGAACCCACGAGCCTTCAGGAAATGAAAAATGCCAAACAGCTAGTTAAACATCATGCGTGAAAGTCCAGTAGCCAAGCTTTGGTTACTTGTATTCTTTTTGCTGAGAATATCAAAAAGTATCTTCAGTCTTGCAATGAAGAAATACCTTTTAGAAAGAAATCTGCAACTCAAAATCTTGCTGCTTTATGGTGTCCCTGTTCCCCCTCACAAATTGAGAATGAATTACTGAAGGAATTCAGGATTCATAAAGATTAAGTTTCTTTAAGTTTCTTCCTCCCAGTACCACTCCACTATTCTATTCTATGGATCAACATGTCATTTTGAACTTTAAGAAGCATTACACCAAAGCACTATTTAAGTAATGCTCTGAGGTAAACAAAGGAATAAACCTTGCCCTCAGAAAGTTTTGGAAAAGTCATTTCCATATGATGAACTTCAAAATCATTGACAAAGCCTGGAATGGAATTGCCGACAGAAGCCTCAATTCTGCTTAATTCTTTAAGCAGAATTCCCCACCCCCTCTTGGACAAAATTTTGAAGAATTTGCTCATAAACAGGAGCTTCTTGTTGATAAAACTTTGTTCTTGGGAAAAATAATGAATCCCATGGAGGTGAATAAGAATGACATTCAAGAACTGGTGCAGGAATGTGACATCTTCTAACCACCAACAAACTTATGGATCTGCATCATGAACAATAGCAAAATATTACAGAGATCTTGTCTGAGCAGGAGAAACTCCTCACTTCAGAAGATTTGAGAAATATGTAAAATGCTTGGAAAACAGTAAAATTTAATCAAAAAGCAGAACCCAAATAAGGCTGTTGCAGAGTAAGCAATGAATTTGTTTAATGACAATGCAATATCACATTTCTGCAAAATCCTCAAAAAGAGAGAAATATAACTGCCCTTGAATACATTTGTCATACAAAAAGACTTCAGTAAGGCAATAGATGACAGTGTTTCTGATAGTTAGTCGTTATTTTCAAAGATAACATACATATTTATTAATTTCATATCTTTTACTTTACATATACCTCTTTTATTTACATGTTTTACTCAAAATTTATACTAAATTTTTATAATGAACATTTCTGGGTTAAGGAGCGAATCATTCAAGTTTCCATTATTTCTTATGGGAAAGTGCACTTTGATATTTGATTGTTTTCAATTGCAAACATGTTTCAGAACAAATTATGCTTACAAAACAAGGTACCACTGTCATAGCCATAGCCTATAAAAAATTTTTAACCTTTTCGAAAATTCCTGGACTTCTTATTCCAATATATAGCAAATTAAAGAGTTGTTTCCAGAAAATACTTTTCCCATAATACCCAAGCTAAGAAAAACTGAAAAGCCCATTTCATATTACTAAATTTCTCATGAAATAATACATTGTGTTTATTTTCCCCTGGAATAATATGTAAATGAAAGTATTTAAAACAGATTTTTGTTTAAAAGTAATCATGCAGAGTGAAAACAGAAATATATATGCCAAAAAAATTAGTAAAATTTACAAAATTCTGAATACATATACTGATTATGTGATAAAAGATAAATATAGAGGTACATACATGCATTCACTATTTCAAGTACAGTGCAAGAGCTGTTTGTAAACATGAGCTCATTATGGGCAGGAATTCATCCTAAACACATTCTAGTAAGTCCATGAATGACTGCAGCAAATGTATGATGCAACAAAGTATCGCTGAGGTATAATCTTCACGATAGGTTCAACACAGCTCCATGCTTGAATATCAAAAAATTTCATTTCAATGAGCTATCATTTTTGTAATACAAAATCATTAGCAGTTAGTCCTTGTTAACCCTTCACATATATAAGTTTTCTTGTTTCTAGTTAAAATTTCAGCAGCATTAATGACAATTCCACATGGATAGCTTTAGTAAAAATTAAGCAACCCCACCATCACACATTAGACAGAAAAGTTCCAGTAAAGATATGCATTAGTTCAAGAAAAGATTTCGATCCAGAAAATTCATACTATTAAGATAAGCAGGTTATGATGTCAGTAATGTGCTAGCAAAATTAACAGCATAATAAATAAATCTCAACCATAACAACTACTTCCTCTCAATGATGGCATCTTCATGCGAGTGCAGGATAGTGCAGATGATCTACAAATACAATAAATTAACTATGATGTCATTGTAGATTATAAACCTAATTTCAACAACATTCTGAAAACTAAATTACTGGTACTAAATGTACAAAATAAATAAATAAATAAATTGTCAAATATATATATTATAAAATATACCAGAAAAACATTCAAACTCAAAGTGTTTAAAATTTTAAAACTTTAGCTGAATAATTTAACAAGTTAAATATGATTTTATCTGTTACAGAACACTGTCAATATAGAAATGTTTCCAAATGCTAAAATAAGACACATTATAAATATCAACAACAGCCTACTTAAACACAAACAGCAGAGTCTCACTTATCATGAACGGGTCAGCAGAACATTGGATAAGCAACTCTGCCACCTCATTTTCAAAAAAGATTCCATAAAAAGGTGGAACAACAATTATATTAAATGTAATGCTGAACAGAGCAGTTCCTGTATATTTTTCTTTGACTGATTCCAATGCAGCTTCATTTTCAGTTGCTAGTAAGATTTTCAGCTTTATATTTTGATCATAAAACGTATGTTAAAAATGTGCTGATGAACTCAAGACCTTTCTAAACAGCTTCAGCAATGCTGCAATTACATTTCTGGATTTTTGAAATTAGCTTTATAAAAGTAAGGGATTTCTGACATTTCATTTGACTGCCATATTAAGAACTTGTGACGGAATATTCTTGTTCTGTTGCATCTCAGTTCTCTTCTACAGTTTCTATGAAAACTGGCTGGTTCTTTACAGTATGGCTTTCAATGGAGTCATATACTGCGTTCTGATGTACTTCCAATGTTACATTTAAAACAGTTAATTAAATTTGGTTCAGACAAGACAGTGATTTCAAGAATACATCATGACTTAGTAATATTGGATGCATTTAAATCTTTAGCCAATAATTTACCTATGAGTGTTGAACAACAAAGAGATACAAGCTGAAAACTACTTTCCAATTCTTTTCCCATTTTTTTTTTCCATTATGTGACATTATTGAATACAAAAAATTACAACTTTTTACATTTTGTTTCCAGCTATTTTAATGACACCAACAGCATAATCCTTAAATTTTCACTTCTATATAGTGTACAATATTACACCAACTAGCATTATAAATACCATTTTCAAATATCTTAAATTTTCACTTCTACATGGTGTAAAATATTAGACCAACTACCATAATACATACCATTTGATTAACTATGCATTACTACATTTCTCTATGCATTCTTCATAGCTACAATTTTCTATTCATTCTTCATCTATATACTACAATAATTTACCATTTAAGTCACTTTCAGATAAGGGCTTTTACCCAGGATGCAACACCTCCATTAATTTTAAATGAAAATTTTCTAAATTATGAAATTATGTATTTGCAGCACAAAAAATTTTACTTATTTGATGTTATATTTTAGATGTTTGTGAAAAGACATTTCTACAACATATTTACTTAAAACAGGAACCATATGTTTTGAGTGAGTGAGTGAGATTTTTGGCGCAAAACCAAAGATGATTATAATGCACCAAACATGAGGTAGGATGATCTAAACTGATGAAATAAAAACAAATTTTTAGTAAAAAAGGTGGACAAATGTACCAAATCCAGAGGATGAAGTCATAAGCGCACATTAAAATACCATACACAATCTTTCAAAACAGATTAGATTAAGTAATAAAAGACAGTCTCTTTTTAAATAATAAAATAAATTACAATTGACCTCTCTTCCAATTAATCATATGTTTTGAATTGTAGCACTCATCACCGGGTTTATGTTCAAGTCCAGACAGACATGTAAGTGACACTTTTTGCATTGTAGTAACATGGCTTTTTAAAAATATTTTAAACAACTTTACTTCTTTCAAAAATTCTACTTTTTGCATTTGATAATTAGTCTAAAGGGGCTTTGTCCTTGAAGGACTATTGTTTTCGTTTTGCAGTTTTGCGTTGAATAACTATAAATGTCGGTTTCACTTTTCAAACTGTTGCCACCAAATGTTAAGAGTTCTGCATTATATTTGAAGAAATTAAATAATAAAAAATCTGCATAAATGTATGAATATTTCTTGTATTGTGATAAAACAACGGTCCATAGAGCCATCGAATTTTGAATGATGTAATCCTACTGTGAATATGGGCATGTGGAAGCCCAAATTTGAAATTTGTTTTATTATTGATTTCATATTTTGTAAAACTTTAACGAATTTTTGAGTAACAAACTCGATTTAAAAGCGAGCAATAGCAACACTCTATGAGGGGGGGAACCTTTTTATCTCCAGCGGGCGCAAAACTGTCTATCGGAAATTCTAAAGATATGCTCATTTTAAAATTATTTTACGACATTGCTACTGAACTGAATTTTATGGTTCAAGTGCAAAGAATATGATATTTAATAAATAAAAGTAACATGCAAAACGTTAAAGAAAAAACGCCCCTTTGGACATAATTTAAAATCTGACACATTTCAGATTTTTTTTAAATCACCACAGATTATCTTAAGATTTGATTTTAACACATTTCCATCACTTGGGAAAATAAGAGAATATCTCTTTAATCAATGATGATTTTTTTAAAAAAATTGCTAATTAAAATCAATGAAACCTGAGTAGAACACTTTACTTTCTGTATGACAATTTTTATCTGATTTAATGCCTACTGATGTTCCATTCCTGCTTCCACATGCAAGAACTTTAATTCTCATGCCTAGAGAGTTTTTGTCAGCACACATTTTACCTTTAAATTTTAACAACTGATTTAAAATTTAATGTCTCATAAAACAGCCCAGTTTCATTGGTATTGAAAATATCTTTCACTGCAATGATGAGAGATATCATCCTAAAAACAATTTTCCAATTCCAGCATCAGTTATTAAAGCACAATTTCAACATCAGTTATTCAAACATTGTTCCTCCGCTAATTTTTTTATAAAAGAAATGTTAGTTTGCTGCTTCAATCAATCCAGTGAACCACTTTAACACAATAAGGCAGGCTCTTGGAATCACTTGGTAAATTCAGCCTCTGTTTTTACAAATTTATGCAAGTACACAAAAACAGTGGTGTTCTCAGAATGATGAACCAGTTCAATCATGTTTATGGAACACCCTTATAATTTACCTTTGTCAGCTTCTTTTCTCACATATTGATATCACAGGCAGGAAGTATAGTCTTAATTTCTCCATATGATATGAGCTTCAGATTTGGAAAAGTTATATCCCTGGCAGATACCAGTTTGAATACATCCATTTTGTTCTAATGTTTATGTTTAATGGGGAACACGTTATAGTTTGCCACATGGATGAATTTTTGATGCAATAAATTTGCAACAATATAAACTGAAGAGAGATAAAAATAAAGTTTTATCCACGTGGAAAAGTTGGAAATGAAGATCATTTAAATCACCTATCTATCTGATCAAATGTCAAGATAATTCTGCTTGCTTTCAACTATGATGTTCTTCCAAGAATTATAAGTTGCTCTGTCTTTACGTGAACTTTATTTGGAGAACAAAGAAAGATGGAGGCAACAATGAAAGAACCAGTATAACAAAAATATTTATTACCCTAACAGAACAAACAAACAGGGCTGATTTAATGTGCTAAAAATTTTTCGATTAATCCTAATAGAAATCCTAAAAAATTATAAAATCATATACATATTTTCAATCAAACACATCAAATTTTGTTTCATTTGATTTTCATATAGTTAGATATTCACTTGAAATGTCACCAAAATCTTATGCCTACAAGAAATTCAATAGAACCTAAAATTTCATTCATCACATCCAGTAGTTCCTTTAAAGATGGATTCACTGGTCTGGACTTTGATTACATTGCGGTTATGGCAGTAAAAAGATTAAATCTTACACATACTGCTACTGAGAAATGGACCGATTACGAAGATGACAAAATAAAAATACCGGGTAACTAACGAAAGTCCTGGGAGGGAGGAAGTCACGATATATTGAGCATATATTTGGCAAAATTACAATCATAATGAAACACTGCGTTTAATAATCGTAACCAGAAAGTGTACAGAAAACTTAATTTATCCAATAATGGCTGAAGAAGTTGATATGACACATCTCTTTACATGAGTCCCTGACTCTAGTATAAAAGATTTTATGTAAGAGAATATGCTGACCCTCACAGAAACCCTTGTTAGCATGCATCCCTTAAATCTATGAAGTTTTGGAGATTTATAGCAAAAAGGTCACACGACTTTTGCTATAAATTGACTTTTGTTATAAATCATATGATTTTTGTTATTACAGATTTGAATTCACCTAGTATCAGAACACATAAAAGCTTTTCATTTGGTGTGGATTTCACAAGTTCATATGAAATTGGTGCTCGTTACATACTAAATGCTAATACCGTTTATTTTCGTATATAAACCACTAAACTTTCCTATGTAAATGTAATTTTCCTAGAACTGTAGGCCTTAAGTTATAGAATATGCTCAAATGTAACTTGTTTTGATGACATAAACTGCCAAAATATTACATGGAAAATACAAATTAAATTGCTATCTAAAAGTTAAATTATCTTTGAATTTACACCTGGTTAGATTACATACATGCACATACGCACAGAAGCTTCCTTAATAGCACGTG